GTATTCACGATTTTCATCGAAAATTTGGTCATTTGCATTTTGAGGCAGTATCTAAAATGCCTGCCTTGGTAGAAGGTATGACTATTAAACCCTGCAGGTACCACATGAAGTGCAAAGCATGCGCAGCAAACAAGGTGAAAATGGCTGCGAAAGGTAAGGTGTCTAGTAGGAAAGCTACAGAACCATACCAGGTTGTTCATGCTGATTTGGTTGGACCACTAGCGCCCTCTTTGGGTGGAAATAGATACTTCATGGTTCTCATTGATGCATTTTCTAGATATATTTTTGTGTACAATCTCAAGCAGAAATCGGAGGCTTTTCCTAGGTTCAAGGAATTCTGTGCTTGGTTGGAAAATGTGCATGGTAAGAAGATAAAGACTCTTTTCAGTGATCGCGGGGGAATTCACTTCTCAGCAGTTTGAAGCTTTTCTGACTGAGAAAGGAATTCAACACGATTTGTCTAGTCCTCGCTCGCCATGGCAGAATGGACTTGCGGAACGGGCAAATCAGACATTGCTTCAAGGGTTAAAAACCTTGCTGCATGATGCCAATCTTCCAGAGAGTTATTGGGCCGAATCTCTCTCGTGTTTTGTTTACAGTTACAATCGCAGGTTATCTTCAGCGATTGGTTGTACCCCCTATGAGAAGATGTTTGGCAAGAAGCCATACATCAAACACATGAAGAATTTTGGTTCTGACATGTGGGTTCGCTCACCACAAAACTCCAAGTTAGACAAGCGTGGATTGCATGGTATCTTTCTAGGTTATCAGAAAGGGTCTTACAGAATAATGATGACTGACTCTAAGACAATTAAGCTCACGAGAAGTGTTGAGTACGATGCAAAGTGGGGGGAGAATGTGGGAATTTTCCAATGTTATCCTGATGACGGTGATGAGACTGAGGATAGTCAAAAGCAACCACAACAGCCCACACCCACTGATGAAGGTTCTGAGTCTGAATCTGAAACTGAATCGGGTGATTCAGAGGATTTCAAGAGTGCGAAAGCCTCTATGCGACCCTCTGAAAGCTCTGATCAAGAATTGGAGGAACCATTGTTCACAATAGGTCGTTTTTCTCCTAAGAAGGAAGAGGAGAGTGTTGAAGACTTAAGGCTAATTCGTAGGTCACAGAGAGCCACAAAAGCAAACCTCCAAAGAGATTTGCTGATGAGTTTGCTACGATAGCAGTAACAGCTGTTAAAAGCTCCAAGAAGGTATTTGAACCTTCAAGTTTCCAAGAAATCCAGGGTTTGGATTCAAAGGAAGCTGAGCCATGGTTAAATGCCATGAAGGCTGAGCTTGATTCCTTAGAAAGGAACAAAACATGGGAGCTAGTTCCAGTAGTTCCAGGAATGAAACTGCTTGGAAGCAAATGGGTCTTCAAAGCGAAGACAGATCAAAATGGCAAGATAGTCAGACACAAAGCCAGATTGGTAGCCAGAGGTTTTGCACAGGTACCAGGTCAAGACTATCACGAGACCTATTCACCCACAGTGAGATATGAAAGCATTAGGCTTATGCTCAAGCTAGCTGCAGAGGAAAATCTACACATTAGTCACCATGATATTAATACAGCTTTTCTGTACGGATCTCTAGATGAATCACTTTCTATGCTTCCACCTGATGGCGTACAGGTAAAACAGGGATTTGTTTGTGCTCTGAAGAAATCCCTTTATGGTCTCAAACAAAGTGCACGGTGTTGGCACACAAAACTCACTGAAGTATTGTTTTCTCTAGGTTTTCAGCAAGGGAAAGCTGATCCATGTGTATTTGTCAAAGAGGAGGGGCAAAAGAAATTGTACTGTTTGTTTTATGTTGATGATTTATTATTCTTTTGGAAAGATGTTGCAATGTACAATAGCGCCTAGCTCAACTGAAAGAGCACTTTGACATGAAAGATCTTGGTGAGGTAAACAACTACCTATCTCTGGAAATAGAGAGAGATCAAGATGGTAACATTCTAGTACACCAGTCACGGAAAATTGCTGATGTGTTAAGCAAACTAAATCTGATGGATGCTAACCCTGTAGACACACCGATGACAACAGGTTATCAGGTAGATGACACTGAAGAAGCATTTTCTGACACTACACTGTACAGGAGTGTGCTAGGCAAGCTAAACTTCATTGCCAGATGTTCAAGACCAGACATTGCTGTTAGCTGTAATTTGCTAAGCAGACAAGTCAACAATCCTAGTGTCAAGGATTGGAAAGCTCTGAAACGCATAGCGCGGTATTTGAAAGGCACTATGCATTACAGACTGAGATTTAACAATCAGAAGTCTGGTGGTCTTGAGATATTTGCAGATGCAAGTTTTGGAAGTGACGCTACAGACAGGAAAAGTACGTCTGGAGTTTGCTACATGTACAATCAGAGTCTGTTTGATTGGTCATGCAAGAGCAAACAACAGTTAGCTTAAGTACTTGTGAAGCTGAACTGAATGCACTGTCTTATTCACTTAAGGATTGTGAATGGTTAGTACAATTGTGCAAAGATATGAAAATTCCTGTCAAATGTCCAATCCAGGTTTACCAGGACAACAAAGCATGTTTGGCTTTGCTGAAGTCTGAAGGTTGTAAGCAAAGCACAAAGCACTTGCAATTAAAGTTGCAGCATGCTAGGGAATGTATTCAGAAGGGACTCGTAACGGTGTCCTATATGCCAGGTAATGAAATTCCTGCTGATGTATTGTCCAAGATTGTATCAAGGGATCAACACTGTACCTATGTGCAGAAGTTGGGTTTGTACTAATATTGTGCAAACACGCTGCCCAGTGATGTTCACAGAAAGGGGGAGGATGTTGGTTTCTGCTTTCCTTCACTGTGCAGCTCTGCTTGTCACGAGACAGGTGTTTACATTCCACAGTCTGTACTGTTGGAGTTTCTCACGGGAAAGGGAGGCTGGATGTGACGTACACTGGTTTCCTGTTTTTCACTGTGTGATTCTCTCCGAGCTGTCGAGGAGAGAGGATGCATTTTCTGCTCCGGCAGAGGCAAGATGTCTTTCTGTAATATACCAGCTTTGAACTGTAAATAAAGCAATACAGAGTATGCAGCACGTATTCCTCATCCTTCCGCTGGGCACAAGACTCTGCTTAAATCAACACCCCCTACCTGCTGCCCTCCAAATGTTTTGGACTACAATTCCAGTGAGCTCCAGTCAGTATGGCCGATGGTCAGAGATAATGCGAAATGGAAATCGCAACATCTGGAGCGCAGCTGCACTAACATGCGATGCAATGAATTCAGACCATATATTTGGGGTACAAGCAATAGGACTGGTTGCTACAACTGATACTAGCTGAGCATTTTGTATTTATCACAGTTCTCTGTGTAGCTTTGCTGAAAGTCTTGAACATCAATTGGCTGGAATTTGGAAAATCAAATGTTCTCAAACATGCCACAAATACAGACCCATGATGATGACCACCTCTATTTTCCCAAAAAAGCATGCTTCAATTGTTGATAATCTAAGTCTTTAAATGAGGATGATGTCCTAGGGAGAAAGTGGTTGTTTGTTTTGGGGATTTTTTAGCTTGTTTGTAGGTATTAGAAAATGCTAGCATCATTCTGAGAAAATTCTGCAACATCCCAGCCTGGCCAGAGCCAATTAAAATCATTGCAAGATGACGTACACGTCTCGACTGGGGGCAGGAGAAAGTCAACCAGCAGGAGTGGAATAATCAGATCCGAGTTGATTTCCATCTGTAAGATTTAACAGATGGGCTGACTCTTCAGACTTACATAAAAACGATTAAACAAAATCCTCATGATGACTACATGATGTCTTTCACCAGACAGGACAGCTGGCAGCAAAGAAGGTTTTTGAAAAATTCCATTGCCCCAGGAATGGAAAACTACAAGATCTTTACAGTTATCAGACTGCATCTCATAGGTCCAGTATAATGAATCCCTTTCACTCTCCATAATTTAACACTAAGATTTCACCATGGGCAGTGAAATAGAGTCAAACTATGGTAGTTTTCTACCTTCAAAGCTCAAAAACATGGATGGTTTTCTTCCAACTGAATCCTTTTTCCATTTTTAAAAAATGAATATTTTTTTCTTTATGGGTTTGTTCCATTTTGAGTGATTTTATTAATGGTAAAAAAAAAAAGCATCACAGAAGAAATGTATTTCTGAAGTACGTACATCAAAATATATTAAACCTAAGCAATTCACAAGGGGGGGACAAACAACACACTCTGCTGCCCTCATATGGATGTAAATGGAAGCTATATCTGAAACAATCATTGTTTTCCCTATTCCTAAAGCTCACAGAAGGAATTTCCATTTGAAAAGGTTATAAGGTTATAATTTCTCGAATTTCCATTTGAATTTGTCATTTTGGTCCTGTTCAGTAAGCTAGAAGTTGCTAACTTGGCACCCGTGGGTGCAGCAACAGCACACTGGAGGTGTCCTTCAGCTGCCCATGTGAACCTTCTGATCTTCCTATTCTCCAACCAAATGACTCAGGGAGCAGACCAGGTGACGGCAGGTTTAATATGAGCGGAGACTTTTGCAAAGCTGGGACAAAGGCACTCTGGCTTCATCCACACCATACATTTAAAGCACATTGTTTAACACAAGGTATACGGCTAACTGAAATTTACCCCTCACAGAGCTCCAATACTGTACGCAGCACCCTTAACAAGTTGCTTTGTTCCCAGGATTCTTGGGGGAAGTAACATGCTTTAAATGTATGATGAGTATGCAGCTGCAAGCACAGGTATTTTGCAGACCCCATCACCCCAAAATGAGCACTCGGTCCTAAAAAGTGCCCACATTCCAGCTACAAGCTTTTAACTTGTACCCCTGCTTTTCTCCATGGGAAGCAGGCAGGCAGACAACTAGCCAGTGAACTTATACCATCAATGCAATTACAGTATAAATTATGGCTTTCAGGGCACATTGTAAGCAAACCTGTCTCATTATCTATTTCAAAGACAGGCACAGCAAAAAACCACAGTGTTTGTTTATTCTGATGCGGAATATTTTTCATCAGTGCATCTCAGTGTGTTTTATAGTAATCGTTTTCACCTCAGTGAAAAACTCATAGGAATCCTTTGCTCCTTCTCTGCCTACTCCTGAGGCTTTCATGCCGCCAAAGGGCAAATTCAAGTCCCTGATAAGCCAACAGTTGGTCCACACCAATCCACACTGGAGTTTCTTAGCAACGCGATGAACCCGCCCCACATCCCTTGACCAGACAGTGGCTGCCAGTCCGTATTTGACCCCATTCGCTCTCCTGATCACTTCCTCTTCCGTGTCAAACACTGTGACGCAGGTTACAGGGCCAAAGATCTCATCCTGCATGCAACTTGAGTCATCGGCAATTTCAGTAATGACCGTCGGAAGCATGAAATACCCATTCCGGTTTCTTGTTGGAAGAGTCAAAGTATCGATCCCCTCTCCACAGAGAATTTTACCCCCTTCAGACTCTGCTTTTTTGATGTAGTTCTTTACCTATTAGGAGCAAAAGCAACAAATCATTTTTTGGAAGGGTTGCAATTTCTAATTATCCACAGACTGGCTGCAGAAATATTTTATTTATTTATAGGTATAAAAGTATTTCTGAAGCATAAAATATCAGGGCAGTGCACACAAAAGAAATGCTTTTAGAAAACCTTAAAAGCATAATGTAGTAGTTGTGAAAGGTTTCAACAGCTCTGAAGGCCTTTCGGTGTAAAAAAAAAAAAAAAGGTCTTCAGGAGGCTCCTGAAAGTCAAAAGTGAAGATGCCTGCCAAATCTCTGCTGGAAGATGGTTCCACAGCATGGGACCACTGACACTAAATGCCCCTGACATCTGGAGGCCAGTCAGGGGGACAACTAACAGTGCACCTCCAGACTCCAGTGATTGGCCGGGGTATAAGGGCTCAAGCAGTGCTTAAGACAGCCTGGACTGTCCAGGGAAACACAAGGCCCTTGAACCTGGCTCAGCAGGATATGGGAAACCAGAGCAGGTGCTTTAGCCGATGTGTCGCACGCTGCTGGTCAGCTGCCCCCACCAGCACCCTAGTCACTGTGTTCTGCACTAGGTAGAGCTTCTGGACCAGGCCCAAGGGAAGCCCCACATAGGGTGCATTGCAGTAATCCAGTCTAATCCAAATACAGTGGTACCTCGGGTTACATATGCTTCAGGTTACAGACTCCACTAACCCAGAAATAGTACCTCGGGTTAAGAACTTTGATTCAAGTTGAGAACAGAAATTTTGCGGCGGCAGTGGGAGGCCCCATTAGCTAAAGTGGTGCTTCAGGTTAAGAACCGTTTCAGATTAAGAACGGACCTCCGGAACGAATTAACCCGAGGTACCACTGTATGGGACTTTTTCCAAGTGATTTGTACTTCACAGGCATTGCTAAATGTCAACAGCAAGCACATGGGGGGGGCAGTACAGCTTTGGGAGAAGCTTCCTAGCTCCACCTCCTTCTATCACCTACTAAAGTTGTGGAAGGTGATAGTCCAAAACCTGAAGCTCTTGCCTCAGAATCCCAGTTATGCAAGGGGCCCCCACAGACACAAAAGGCTCTCTTCTTCAGAGTGTCACCTTCCATGTGTTAGAAGGGCATGGAGCTAGTGCACTCATTTGCACTGCATCTGTTTGTGGATGTTGTTTGGTAACACCTGAAGAGAGCTGTAGCGTTAGGGATTTCAGGTACTTAACTAATAATGTTGATAGTAATCAATGCTGGGGAAACCCTTGGAGCATTAAAAGTTGATATTGGCTCTTGGAAATCGGAAATATTATTTTCAATCCTGCTGTCAACATATTTGGAAAACAAGCTTGCAAGAGGAAGCAACATTTTTAATTCCTTGTCACCTGGAGTGAATTTACATGCAATTCTAACAACTGCAGTGCTTAAATTTTGAAAGGTATACTGGGCCTCAAAATCAGCTAAAAGGTCTGCCCTGTTCCCTATCCCAAAATGACTGTGAATTTACAGTGATGTGAGAAAAAATCACTCTCTTCATGTCCTGAGGTCCTTTATTTTCAAGCCAGAAAGAAAAACAGCACTTTATTTGATCACAAATAATCAACCTTGGTTTTTGTTTTTCTTTACCTTTGCTAAATGTTCTTTACTTATCAGTGCTCCCTGGTCAATTGTGGGATCTGAGGGGTTTCCAACTTTCCACTTTTTGACAGCTTCCACAAACCTTCTCAAGAATTCATTGTAAATGTTTCTCTGAACAAAGATTCTGCTGGTGCAGAGACATATTTCACCCTAGTAATAGGATGGAGAGGCAGGAGGGAAGAAAAAATATCGGTCAGGGATGAAAAATGTGATTTGTCTTAATCCAGATTCATTTATACTTGTCTTCTGCTTTCAATATATATTGATTCTAGATCCTAGCTGTTCACCAAAGTAGGTGTGGTTACTTACTGCCCCATTCCCCAGCACATGCTACCTGAGGCCCTGGAATTACTCCATCAAGTGCAAATATCAGCATGTGGTTATATTGTTTGCCCCTAGTACCACATAGACATTAGCTATCTTAACAGATGTGAGCTCCTAACTCCATGTTTGCCCAGATAACAGGGTGGAAGGTCACTTACAGGGACAATAATTAGGTATGAGAAGGGATATTTAACTCCTCTTGTAGCTACTGATTATCTCCTGTCAATCTACACACACACACACACACACACACACTTTTTCCCCTACAATCAAATTCACTTCTAATTTCAGACCCAGATTGGGGGCAGGGGCAGTAATCTTTTGGAGGAATTTGCAGGGATGAATTGATGGGTGCTCTCTCCCACACAGATTCTCTGCTGGAAAATCCCTCCCTGGGATGTCCTGGTCCTCACCCTCTCTATTTCCCATTGCAAATATTATTCATCCCATCACCACCACACGTGCCTGTTCACAACAGCAGTGATGTCCAGCTCATGTGTGAAAAGGCCGTCAGACATTTGACTGACACCACTGAGTGAAGGAATATCAAGTAACAGATGTTTCATGTTTGAATCAGCTGAGGACAGCCTTTTCAAATAGATCTTTGGTGATCACTCGTGGCCAGGTAAGACAGTCTTCCATGAACACAGTCTTAACAATTCTGGATCCACACGTCCTTCCACAGTGGGAATGCAGCCTATATGGCCACAGCGCTGGATGGGGCAAATGAGATGACAAAGGCTGCAGCTTCCAAAACAATAACTGAATGTTTAAAAGTGTTAACCATTTCTGCGTGGAAATTTGGAGCAAATTACCCACACAAGCCTGTCATCTGATTGATGTCACACTGTGCTTCCGGAAGAATAATTACTGAACAGCGACGCCACTGAAGTTTGCAATTAGTCAACTTGGAAAACAGATCTGATCAATTTGTGATGCTCAATTAACAAATGCCATCCCTCTGGATCTTAATGACTAACAAGCTTCTGCACCTGGACAGCCAACATTCAGCAGACGAGGGAGCTAAAGCAAACAGTGCATGTGAGGCGATCACTGCAAATTCCTTACCATTTATTGAAGATTTTGTTAAAACTCTGATGGGCTGTGTGAAATCAACACATAATTTGTGCTGCATGTGAGGAGGGGGGGAAAACACTTATCTATCATATTCCACAACCCAGCTTTTTAAATGTGTGTGTGTGTGTGTGTGCGCGCGTGCACAGATCTATGGCATAAAAACAGTTAATCAAAACCTCTAGCAACAATTGCAATAATATTTACCTAGGCAAGTTTCTAAATGTGGAATTTAAGTGTGGGTTCCACTTGCACTGCAATGGCATATAGGCTCTACAGAACTTTGTGTGCAGCCAAGGGACCCTCGTTGCACCTCCTCCAAGCATCCCATTCAACAGCAAATTGACTACCCAACCAAATAATCAAATCAACCAAGCAATTCTTCCTTGGTGACCATATATTCTCTGCTGAGGCATCTCAAGCCTTTTGATTGTAGCTGAATGAATTTTTCATTGCCTCCCACTGCTAATTCTACCAAGTACTCTCTTACATGTATATGTGATTCCAAGTGGTACTACAGCACTACACATGGTGGGGTTTAGGGGGGTGTAGGTGGCAATTAATGCATGTTTCATTGCCATCTATCATACCCAAGCACTCTTCTACTGTAGGGGGATTTCTCCAAGTGACCTTCTGCCACAGGACTATCAGGGTGTGGGCGTCTTCTTGCTGTTGTCAATATGTTCCTCAGATTCTCAAGTATCTCAGATGCATTTGCTTGGTATGGCAACTAGACAACAGTTCCCAATGTGCAAGTGGAATTATACGCATGGCACCAGATAATACCAACACTCACGGGGTGTCAGAAACACCATCTGTGCACTTGCATCAACACATCTACGGACTAGGAGGGAATTCTCAAACAGAACTCAAATTTTCTCTGAACATGCTCTGAGGAAGCTGAAAAAGCACCAGCCAATAATAAATCAAGAGGATTAGCATTTGCTTATTCATTCCTATCACTTGATATTTATGTCTTGGTATACACTCAGTTTGTCCCTTGTGGGATAGCCTTGTAGAAATCAGTTCCCGCATTCAAAATTACCCCCTCAGGATAACATTCTGTTAGGGAGGGCATGCACATTTTTGGAGTTTCAAAAGCAAAGCAATGAACTTAGTATCAAGAGACAGGGAGTTGCCCACTTTCCATACCTGATTCGCAAAGCTGGATCTTACAGAAGTAGGAACACATTCATCTAAGTTGGCATCCTCAAAGATGATAGCCGGATTTTTTCCTCCAAGCTCCAGAGAGAGCTTCTTACAATACGGAGCACTCCTTTCAATGATGCGCTGGCCAGTGAGAGTGCTTCCCGTGAAGGAAATTAATGACACCTTGGGATGGGAAACTAGAGCATCTCCAGCTTTCGGACCACTCCCAAATATGATGTTCACCACACCTGGAGGAATACCTTGCAGGTAGAAATAAAGAAAACATCAACACTCTTTCTCTTTGTAAACGTGGTAGCATGCTGCTTTAAAGACTACCCTGCATCCTATAGCAATATACAGGTATACACATTGGGATGCAAATGTGTCAACTGTTTTGTTACTATACAGTGGTACCTCAGGTTAAGAACTTAATTCGTTCTGGAGGTCCGTTTTTAACCTGAAACAGATCTTAACCTGAGGTACCACTTTAGCTAATGGGGCCTCCCACTGTTGCTCCGCCGCCGCCACACAATTTCTGTTCTCATCCTGAAGCAAAGCTCTTAACCAGAGGTACTATTTCTGGGTTAGCGGAATCTGTAACCTGAAGTGTCTGTAACCTGAAGCATCTGTAACCCGGGGAACCACTGTATTGACACTATGCAGATTGATTTACAGAAAATATGACACCCCTATACTAATACATCATTTGGGGAATTACCTGCTTTATTGAGAAGCTTGCACATCATCCAAGCAGTAGCAGATGTCATCTCACTGGGTTTGGCAATGACAGTGTTTCCATACGCAATAGCCGGCGCAATTTTCCAGGTCAGCAAGTAAAGTGGCAAATTCCAAGGACTAATTAAGCCAGCTTTATTTTTATTGTCATTTTTTAAGGAGAGAAATGAAACAAATTGGTTTAAAATGGGAGTCTTGACATTTTGACAAAAGTTGAGATTCCCCAATACCCAGCATGGCAACACTGCATGAGCTTCAACTGTTTTTCCTTCTACTCTACCCTCAAGGACTCATTCCGGCTGCTAGCCTACAGAGGAAATATTCATCTGTGTAGGGCGAGGGCAAAATTTTTCAGCCAGAGGATCATATTTCCTTCTGTGCAACTATCCAGAGGACACATGCCTGTGGTGGGTGGGGCCAGAGGGAAAAGTGTGTTTAGAATCATAGAATTGTAGAGCTGGAATGGACCACGAGAGTCATCTAGTCCAGTCCCCTGCAATGCAGGAATATTTTGCCCAAGATGCGGCTGAAACCCATGATCCCGAGATTAAGAGTCCCATGCTCTACTGACTGAGCCATCCTACCTCGGCAAAGCAGTGTGACTCTTGCCTTCGTGCAGTAGGCTACACCCCTCTCTGTCCTCCATCCAAGATAAGCAAGAAGCATTATGAATTTCAAGACCAGACCATTTTAGCAACAAGAGAGAGGCGGCATATGCTGCCAGTTAAAATTTGACCCATATGCTCACACTAAACAAACTTTATAGGGCAGTCCAGATTTGAAGATTGAGAGGCAGACTTTTTTGTGTGGAAGGAATTTTTTTTTTGAAAGGTTTTTTATTATTAAAATAATTCAGCATTAATACACACATTTTGTGTGGAAGGAATTGAATGAATGTGGGATATATAAGGTATATATTAGACTGGCTGAGAGGCTCAGATAAAGAATCTTTGTTATTTCCTGTTTTACAACTTAAATATCAATTACTGACTAGTGCAGAGTGGCAATAGCTGCGATTGAAACATTTGCTGGTGTCTATTTATGGCATACTTGCTTTGTGTGCTTCGGCACTTCCTAAACTGTTGGAGGGAATCACTGGGTCCTTACAGAAAGCTAAACCTTTCATTGTTGCTTGTAAATGCTTAATTACACAGAATGTTTCCTTAGATTTGAAATTGAGATTGATCCAGCAAAAGTTAATATTTTGAGTATACTGGAGTCCACAAGGCTTGCATAGGAAGCAGCTGTCCAATGCACCAGGATGTTGAGGTATAATGCTGAGAACACCTTGTTGAGGCGTAGTAGTAGTAGCAGCGGCAGCAATAATATTTTAAAATTCTGAAGTAAAATTGTGACACCTAGTGGCATATCTGTGGAATTCCATAAACAGAAAGCACATTACGTTTTATCAGAATGTGGGATTAAAAGCTTGTATTTAAAATGTGAAATTTATCTGCTCTTCCCATTTACAAAAGCTTCATACTCCATTGAAGGTTATGGGATGTTGTGTTTTGTTGTAAAATCTATGGTGTGCAAAACTGTAAAAACAAAGAAACAAGGGATGGAAATTGTAGACATATTCTGGGGCATGGCTTGATGTAGATTGGAATGTGATTTATTTTGTTAAATTATCTGAAATACTTTATTCAGACCATTGAGCTATGGCCCTTCCTCGTGTTGTCCTCGTTAACCTTTGAGGTGGTAAATTCTGGAATGGGCTCAGGCCGCAACAGATCCTAACAAAGGTTTCAGGGTCACAGCTGAGCACAGCTGGGTCGTGTGCAAACAGCACACTCCATAATAGGCCTTACCAATTCCCACAGGTGTTCTCTCAGTATAATGCATACAGCCCACATGGTCCATCTGTGTACATTCTGCTGTCTGGTGAAGGATGGACGTCGAAAAGAAACGGAAATTGTATACAGATCGGGGGATGTCCACCATTCTAGCAAACGTAATGGTTTTCCCTGAAACAGAGAACCAGTTGACAAATACCACGGAGCTTTTGTTATTTAAGCAAGGAATTAATTGCCCAGCTTTCATAGCTAGTGCCCCCACCCCACTGCAACCACTACAACTTACATGCAGTTTACAGAAATGTGCAGGGAAGCACGCAGTTGTACTTGATGAGGCGTGCAAGTATTATGTATTGATTATGCAAAACGAAGAGCAAGTAGGAAGGTGAAAACTCAAAGAGAACACCATTTCCTTCACCCTATTACCACTTGGAAGCGCAGCCCAAACAGGCTTCTGTCTTTACCTTGATCCTTTGATTCTGCTTGAGCAAATGACTCCAGATCTTCTTCAATAAGGTCTGCCAACTTGCTCATTATTTTTGACCTTTCCTGGGGGCTTTTGGCCGACCAGCCTGGGAAAGCATTTTGGGCAGCAATGACAGCCGCCTCCACCTTAAAAAGATGAATGAATGCAGTTTGGGTGGTGTTCAGCAAAACCAAAATGCACAGTGTATGTTAACAGAAATTATGAGGAAAAGGGGGGAAAGGCCGTTGCTTCATGGCAAAGCACCAAGTTCACTCCTTGGCATCTCCAGGTAGGGCTAGGATGGACTCCAGTCTGGAACCCAGACAGTCAGTATAGACAATATTGAGCTAAGAAGATCAATAATTTGAATCTGCATAAGGCAGCTTCCGATGTATTTATTGTATCACCCTTTCCATGACTCACTTCAAGCCAGGGCACCATTCCAAGTAGAAAACCATAGCAGAAATACACGGGGGAAATTAATAAGTATTAAAAATAGGCTCTAGAGCAGGGATGTGGAATGAGTGGCCCTTCAGATGTTGTTGAGTTTCGATTTTTTTCAGTCCCAACTAGCATGGCCAATGGCCATGGACGATGGGAGTTGGAGTCCAACAACATCAGGAGGACCACAGATATTGCACCCCTACTCTGGTAGCATATATAAATTGCTTCTTAGCTACCTAGATCAACCACAGCCACCAGCCATGTATGAGAGTAGTGTTCAGAATCAGCAGTTATCACAACTGTTGAGGGAAGCTTTTAGTGTGTGATGCTGTATTGTGCTCTATGTTTGATGAGAGCCACACAGAGTGGCTAGGGCAACCCAGTCAGATGGGCAGCATACTACTGCTACTACTATTAGACTTATCTTCTGGGCAGCTGTGATACAGGCACCTCTTCTTTAGAAGCAGAAGTTAAGCTATTGCCAAGACTATCGCTTGACTTGCCCAATGTTAGATCTACAAATGTTGTTGGGTCTATAACTTGCACCATCCTCAGACACTGGCCATGCTGGCTAGGAATGATGGGACTTGTAAACTGGGGACCCAAAGTTGGAGAAGGATGTGTTAGCCCTGTCTAGGAACAAAATACTCTTCCGTCTGTATGTCATCTTCCAATTTATTACATTAGGTGGCACTGTTAAGCTTTCGTTTTAAGGGTAATAGCAAGAAACTACAGTAGCTGTTTCTCCAGTTCGCAAATGTGCTTATGGGCCCCAAAAGATTAGCAACTCCTGTGCTAAGCAGCAACCAGGAACAACAGAAACCCATCTGGCCTCAATGAATATGAGGAGCACTGATGACCCAGTGGAGTGGAAGAAGAACACAAGCACTGAAAAAGCAGCAGGCCGGTCTGAACAGTCATCTAAAAGTCAAGTTTACACATTTGCCAAAAGCTGTTGTCAAACTCTCACCAACCCTATCATGATGTTTGGGTGAGGAAATGTTATCTTCCAGATGTTGTTGAACACCAGTTACCATGAAGTCTCAGTCCAGTCTGGCCAATGGTTACAGTTCATAGGAGTTGGAGTCTATCATCATCTGGGGAACCATAGGATCCCCACCCTTGGTTTAGGACCAGTCATCACACAGACAGAAGCCAGCAGATTGTGCATTTTCCCAGTCTCATCACTGACTGTCGCTGGCAGGGAAATGCAGAAAGTGGGGGCCCTGATCCGCATGAGGAATGCTCTTAGATGTTACAGCAAGGATTACGAGAGTGTTCCACAGCAGTTACCAAGCCTTGAAATAAAAATGGAGCCCACTGCAAGTTTTTTTCCCCTAAGGAGTACACAAACACTCCATCTCTATCTCCATCTATGTAAGTGCACATACAAATGGAGGACACAGCCTTGGGGAAGGCTGGATCACAGGTCAATGCAAGTGGCTACTTGAAGTTCTTCTCTAAACATACTTGATGAAATATAAAATCACCCCTTCTGTTTACATACAGAAGCAAACTAGGAAAGCACAAAGCTTCAGGCAGCAAGTTTAAACTTTAGCAAACCCAGCTAGTTACACTTCAACCATTACTTATCAGTACTTAGCAAATATTTGATAGACTGGCAATGCTGAAGGTTGACGTGAAACTGCAAAAACATATATGTCGGTTTGTTTTTTTGCAACTTCAGTCATTACAAATAGATATTTTGATTTAACTCAGTTCTTTTCAAAGCCTTAAGGAATAATGCATTAGGTGTAAGAGGCCATGAACACAGTCATGTAACAAGCAATTAATTGCCTTCTCAAAAACTTCAAGGGAAAGTACATTAAACTTGGGTAGGAACATCGAGGGCTTCAACTAGTGGAAAGTTTTGATTCAAAGATTTTAAAGCTTCAAACCAATGCCATTAACCAATGCCACACAGACGTTCTATGCAAATATTTAGCAGCATAATACAAAACATAAGGCAATTTCACTATTAGTTTTATACTGGAGAAAACTTAAATAATATCAGCTGCAAACCATTTTTGTTAATTGTCCAGGCAATTACCCTGATATCATGACAAGGAGTTGAATCTATGCAGGAACTCACCTCCTCTCTGCCACTGTCTGGCACCTTGCAATAAACTTCTCCTGTAGACGGGTCATAGGAATCTAAATATGAGGAGCAAGGAATAAATTGGCCTCCTATATAGTTCTCCAAAACCAAGTGAGTCTTTGAGCCGGCCATTGTGACTCCGTTGGCATGATCTGAGTACTTTCAGTGAGCTTTCAGTTCATAGTGCACATCTATTGATTTATGCTTGTAAGCCAGAGCTCCTCCCTCCCTCCCTTTAACTTTGTTAACTGGATCTCCGAATGGGAAATTTCCATCTCTCTTCAGACAATGCTAGATACCATGGACATATGCTGATGACAATGCCCAATTCACTTGTTTGTTTTCTAGATTATGATGCCCACACAGGATGATTTTACCATGTACATGTGGTGGTGAGTGTCTGAAACTGGTATTGGTACAACTTTGCATAAAATAGCCAACATGTGAAAAAAAATCCAAATGCCTCTCTACACAAAATACATGATTGATTCAGTGCAGACTTCAAATGTGAACATTACTTGATGCGAGAGGAAACAGGCATGGAATGTATAGGCTGATAATTATTATATGTAACAAATTACCCTACTGTAGCAGGCCTTCGGCTGGGTATATATTAAGCACACACAACTTTCCCTTTAAATTTATTAATTCATCTTCATGGGCTTAAGGCTAGTTCCAAAAACATTTAGATCGCTGTAAGTGGTTTTTTACTTACCTCTAGAAGCAGGTATATTAGCTGTTGCTCAGTTAAAATTGTGCAGATGTATTGCATTTTAAGCTATCTGCACAATAAGAATCCAAAATAGACTTAAAAAACCAACTGTAATGCAATCCAGCATGCTATGACCTCCAAATAAGAAAGACTAGGGATTATGTGCATTGAACACACATGGAAATTATACAATCGATATTTCAGTGGCCCTGAAACCATCTCCCTCCCTCTTGACTTGCATGATAAGCTATCAGGTTCTTCTTTAGGAAACTGCAAGTTTTCCTCTAAAAGTTCAGTAAAATGTCCAAGGATGAAGTGATTCCATTGTCTCCATACCACTCCCTCTTCGAGAAATCATCTGGGCGGAAGATGGAATAGTTTATGTAGCACACATACATAGCTCATCAGAACTGGACATTATATAGCTTCATGAAACTTCAAGTACGATACATTACACCAGAGCTTTCCAAACTTTTCATGTTGGTGACACACTTTTTAGACATGCATAATTTTGTGACACAGTAATTCAGCTTTACTAGCAAACCGGAGGTTAAACTAACCCCTTTCCAGCCCTGGAAGGAGCGCAGGGAACGTTCATGCGACACACCTACACACTGCAGCTGACACACTAATGTGTCACAACACACAGTTTGGAAGGCTCCCTACCAGTGCTTTGGCCTTTTAAAAAATCCTATGAAGATTGTATTTATTTAACTAGATTTGCTGGTGCATGACATGGGGAGCAAAAAAAGGGAGCCAGGAGCAAATGCATGTAAAAATGTACACACTGAGCAGCTCTTCAGATGTTACTCCAACATGAAGAATGAGATTGATTTAATGTAATGGTGATCCTCAGGGCTGCATCCCACCAAGTTATCCCATTTGCACAAGGACCTCCAGCTTCACAACAAAACCTTCTCCACCTTTCATTCTGCTGCATCCCCCCGCTCCTCAATCTGTTCTGCGGTTCCCTCAAACCTCCAGAGCAGATGTGGGTGTGCACAAGGAAGATATGGAGAAGTTCTGTTGTGCAATCAGTTCCAGAGCCACTGCCGATCTGATGAGGCAAAGTACAGGGGCAGAATTCCCATCCCCAAATACAGTGATGACCACTATCTACAACAACAAAAGGTAGACTGGTCATCTTCATTTTAGAAGTACTGGCATTGTAGCTCATTTAGACCATGTAATTGATAGGTGAAGAGAAAATCAATACACTTGACCTGTCTTTAAAAGATGGCACATGTGGGGGGCCACTAGGGGGCGCATTGAAAGATGGCCGACAATACCATCTCTCCGATCCACACGGGGTAATTAAGAGGCTGTTATGGGAGTAGGCAGCCTCCCTTGTTGCCCCAAGGAAATGGGGAACACTGCCCTTGCCTGCTGTGCCCATAAATCACCCCCTAATTCGAAAGAAGGGGTGAGGGCCCTAGGCAGAATGCCCCCGTGTGGACATCGGCTCTCCTGGACGCTGTCTCTGATCGCGCACTAGTTGCAGCAATTTGGAATAATTAATTACAAAAGAAGCAAATGCACATATTTCAAGTGAAGAAGGGGAGTGAAGTCTGCTAATTTAAGTGACCTCTGCGAAAGAAGACGACGGGCTGGAGAAACAGGAATATTTTACGATGAAGATACACCAAAGGCGGGGTATGTTGACAATGGGGCTGACTGGGGGGGGAACCTTTTACTTTCCTTCTATGTGATTTACAAGAACCCTCCTCATTAGAACCGTCGGTTGAACTGACCCAAGCAGGATGATTAAGGTCTGTGTGGAGATAAACTTTAACCAAAAGTATGCTTTATGGAGACCGAGAAGCAATAAGAGCTTTTGGGAATGGCGCAGCAATTAATTCGGAGTCGCCATCTTGCCAAAGGATTTATAGTCGGGAGGAAGAACGGATTTGTTTTCAGACTGCATTCCTAGTGAATCTCCTCAGATGTTTTGAGAAAGGAGGCAGATTGGTGAAGATTAATGACGCTAAGACTGCTTTGATGTATGGAAGTGATGTTATATGGAAAACGTCTGGATATGGCTACTGGATAAAAAAAATAATATCCACGCAGGATTACAAACTGTTCTAACCAGCTTGCGGAGATTATCAGAGGTCACAAAGAGAAAGGAAAAATATATGAAAATAACAACAAGAGATGTGGAAAAATAATAAGAAAGGACTGGATAGTACTGTGGACATCATAAGGTTAGATTTGTGGACATTAAAACAGCAGTAAGAAGCAAGAAGTTGATTGGATCCCTTCGGAACTTGAAATATGGGTACCCCCAACAAAAATTTAAAATTCGGCTGTGTAATTTGGAATTTATGTAATTTGGTTTGATTTGATGTGATTGGTCGGTTAATAAAAAATTATTCTTAAAAAAAAATAAAAGATGGCACATGTAAAGGTAAGATTCCAGCAGTTGCTGTAGACTTCTTGGGTGTTCTGAGATGTGCAGAGTGCTTATACACCTTCAGACTTAGGTGTTATCTGCTGGTATGCACCTTTGTATTTACAAGTTCTCATCATTTGACAAGGGGTCTTGTTTACTGCCCCTCATAACCAACTGTACCCCTTGTGCCAAGATTTTATTTATACAAGACAACATGAACAGAAACAAATATTATGCTCAGGCCAAGCTACTTTATTCTTCTACAATCTAAAAAATAAAAATAGCCATTATTGGACTAACTAGGGCTACACAAATAAGTTTTAAATTAATTTGGAATAGAAAGAAATTAATGGTTAATAATGGTTTCTAAAACAGAAGGAAACAGGGTTCTTTGAAAATGTATTTGTATAATATCTGGAACGCTATAGCCCAATTGAATTAATTTATGAAATAATGTGCAGCAGGTAAGCAGTGCCCCCCACCCAAAAATAAATTGTAAACAATGTTTAAGGCTGGAAGTAACATGCTTTCCCCCCATGATGAATCATTGTCCTTTAACACATCATTCTGATAAACTTTTCATAAAGGTCCTCTAGAGTTACCAATGATGGTTTAAATGGGAAATAGAGTGAAACCTGTGCAGTAAGAAAGTGCAACGTGTATTTCCCTATTGGCATACTATTTTGAAGCAAGGACAGCTTCAAAATGTTTGAAGAACACCTGGTATTTCATCTCCTCCTCTTAGAAAGGTAATTGCCTTTGCTCCTTCCACTGACATGACTGGATTCATCAAATAAGCATATTTGGACATATGATTTCATTTGGTTGGATTGCAGAAGTTCTGGCACAGTCATCATTCTTTTATCTAAAAAGAAGAAGAAGAATTAAAAATTTTCAGAGAAGACATTGGCATTTATCCAAAGTGTACAAATGCAAAGACCTGGAACCAGGTTTGAAGATGTTACTGGGCAAGGCCAGCACACAAGCTGACCAGATTTTATTTATTTTTTACCTTTCACAGCTAACAGCAGGGGTGGGGAGTGGTAAGAATAGTAAGAGGGAGGGGAGAATTTTATATTGGGGAAATGGCATAGAGGAAAGGTGTTTTTTTTAAAAAATAAAAATAAAACCCTCTCCTAGCAGCACAGCTCCAATGCAAAATTTCTTGCCCTCACAACCTGCTTTTAAACAAGTAAGCAAAGAGACATTTGGTGATCCAAGCGCAGATCCTCCATCATCACATCTAGTTTGGCGCTTAACCTTTTGTGAAAGAACTCAGCAAGACTTCTCTGCCTAAGATCACTGCGAGGTTCCCTAAACAAAATGTCGGTGTGTTTGGAACTTTGGAAAAGAATGGCAACTGAGCGGGAGATATGATAGAGGTTGAGGAGATTATACATGGTGTGGAGAAACGAGAGACCCAGAACAAACAAAAGTGTTCTTCACATATTACATAGTTTACAGACTCTGTTGTCACAAGTTGTAATGGGCTCAGATGGCTTTAGTTAAGATCTGACACATTTATGAAGAACAGGTTTTTATCAATAGATATAAGCCATCGAAGACCAAAAAAACCTCTGGGTTCAGAGGCAGTATTCCACTGAACAGTAACTGAGTCTGTGCACCACTAGTGAATAGTAGGTGGTTTGTGTGTGTTACCTTTATGGCCTAGGAACAAGATGTTGGACTGGGTGGACCATTGGTCGGATCCAGCATGGCTCTTCTATTAATTGGGACTTGTGTAAGAGCAATGGGGTATTGCACACAAGGGCTACCTTCTTCTAGCCATGTTGAGCTTGGGATGTTACTAAGAACATAAATGAGTGAAGAGCTGCAAGCACAGCTCTTTGAAAGTGTACTGACACATCATTCCATGAAGCCATTTCTGCAGTTAGCTAAAATGCTGCCCAACTGTAAGGTTTAAAAAGTGCACACGCAAAACCTTCACAATTTTCGTTCAGGAAGATGACTCTTATGCCACCCTGCCTCAAGAAAAGTTGTGCCACTCAACTGCACAGACAATTCATCACATGACCTACTTGGCATCTCTGAAATACTAAAAACAAATAAAAAATGCTTACATATACCATAGCCAAATAATGCCTTTTAAGCAGTATGCATTTTAACATAGCAGTCTCCTCTGAACTAAAACCACAACTTCGCCTTTCTTCACATTGTACCTTCTAAGAAGTTTGGATGGGCAGATAAGGCTGAATCAAGCTATTCAAACATGTACCTCTCAAGTGACATGCTGTGGATTAAGGGAAGTGAAATGCTGCCACTTTCTGCATTACAACAAGCAGCTGATCCACCATCTAATTTTCCGAGACAGACCATCTTGTGAGAGCCTGATGCCCAACCTATTGAGGACTGGGATGACCAAGCCTCTTCTTACAGATTCCCAAACCCCAATCAAAGTAGGAGCGATGCTGGGCTAAACCACCTCCATCAAGGAAAAAAACCCCACAGTCAGCTAATTAAAGGATAGCATAAGAAGGAAGGCAAGATATGATTGCCATCTTCAAATACCCAAAGGGCTGTCACGTGGAAGATAGAGCAAGCTTCTTTTCTACTGCTCTGGAGGGTAGGACCCATACTAACTATCAGGAACAACTTTGTGTCAGAAAGAGCTGTTAGATTGTGGAACAATCTCCTTAGGGAGGTTGTGGCCTCTCTTTCATTGGAAGCTTTAAGCAAAGGTTGGATGGCCATCTGCTATGGATGCTTTAGCTGAGATTCCTGCATTGCAGGGGGTTGGACTAGATGACTTTGGGGGTCGCTTCCAACTCTACAATTCTAAGATTCTATGAGAATTGAGACCTGGACCGAAAAGCGTTTACAAAGATTTTGGCTTGGGAGACGAAAAAAGTGCTAATATTTCTAAGTGGTTGTTGTTTATTTCCTTTAAAATGTTTAATAAAAGAGTCTCATTTCCAAGCCTGATTAGCTACTCAAGTAGTCTGTAGTTCATTGTGGGTGATTTTTTGAAACAAGTGGCTGGAACCTCAATGCAAAGAATATACCACTTCATGATCTATTATTATAAAGCATGCATACAAACACATGCTATACCTCCGTCACAACTCCTGCAGCTATGGTGGAGCCACTGTAGCGCAACATGAACCTTCCAAGTTCTTTGAAGTCTTTATAAAGTTCTAGAGCAACAGGCCTTTGTGTTTGCAGTTCTACTAAAGCATTCTGTCCTTTAGTCAAACACCTGTAAGGGGAAAAGAGCAACAGTTCATATACATTGTTATTGGATCTATTATTGTGCCTGTACACATGTGCTCAAGGAAAACACACATTTTGGGGAATTAGTAATAGCAACTTTGGAATATTTACTGGAGACAAATGCTCACTGCAGACAGGATTGCATTGTAGATTCAGGTAGGTAGCCATGTGGGTCTGACACAGTCGAAATAAATAAGCAAAAAAAATAAAAATTGTCCAGTAGCACCTTAAAGACCAACTAAGTTGGTTCTGGGTATAAGCTTTTGTTTGCATGCATGTAGTATCTGAAGCAGTGTGTACGCACACGAAAGCTTATACCCAGAACAAACTTAGTTGGTCTCTAAGGTGCTACGGGAACATTTCTTTCTTTTTTTTAATTAGAATTGCATTGGTTAGAATTACTGAGCTTACTTTGGAGAATTTAGCCGTACCAATGAAAACCATTTATTGACAGGGCTTGCTTCAAAAAGACAGGAGTGGTCACACTGTAATCACAGCTGTGTTTTTTATTCATAAAATAATTTGATTTTAAAAATAATGGTTTCATGGCTTGAAGCACAAGTACAGAATTTTAAGCACAAAAGGGGCTAATAGCACATTAAACAGACCATCTTCTCCACATGCCCTGGACTTTATTGTGGAATAGGGGGAATGAGAATGTTGGAGAAAGAGAGGAAGAGCTGATTTACACAGTAAGAGGAACCTAAGCCTTCAGGATCCAGCCGACTTAGAAGGAGACTGGGGAAAACAAAGCAGAAAGATTCATATGTAAAATACTGGCTTTCCTGATCTCACAAGAGCCAAGAGACAGCAAAAATAAGGAAGTTGGAAAGAAGTCATACAGTTAAGACTCTAATATTTACCTGCCTTGTTGGGGGGGAGCAAAGAACTGGATTTCCACTATAACCTTGAGGTGCACCAAACCTAAGGCCAGAGTCCATGTCTGAGAGGCTGGACATAGCATCATTACGCAATAAAAGCTCAGGCTAACGGAATTTTCCTAGGTCCACTTCAGTTGTATCAACCAAGTGTAATCCCACAAGGCTAAAGTACAGACACATGGTTACACTAGAGCAAGATATGCCGGCTGGCATCCATTGCCTTTGCAAGGGATCATTTTTTAATTAATTATAAATCCCATGGAGTCCAAGCAACCTAAAAAAGTTCCAGTGTTGGTACTCTCAAAATCTCTTGTTGGCACTTCCACAAGATGGAATCTCATACACAGAATTTTTAAAAAGGCAATTTGGACAGGAATATGATACAAGCAGAGAGAATATAAAACCAAGAATGGTACTTCAAGCACCTACTTCTCAAGAACTAAGAAAAGGCAGCCAAATGACATGCTCAGAACATCCTTAGCAACATATTTGTTAGTTTGCTCCAGAATGCTTTGAGATCTAAATGTAAGATCAACTATTTGCATTTTATCTGCCTATCTGATTATCTCTCTTCCCATTTCCACTAGGCTTAACATGATAGAAATTCGAGTTGGACTTGTTATGCAACACATTTTTCACAAACATTTCCTCTTAAAATACTTACTTAGGCTTTTTCTTTGTGACTTCACCTGTACTCTTGTGAAGCACACTCAATAACCTCCTAATAGTGGCAGGCTCGCTTACAGTTTGAAAATGTAAAAGCACCTGAAACAAGAGTTTGTTTTAATTGACAACTGTCTTAAAACTATTTTCAGCAGATGACAGAACGTGAACAGGACCGAAACGCTTCGATAAATGCATTTTGCAAGCTACGAGATCAAAGATTTTGCACGAATAGCTGGGAAAGGTTCAGAAAAGGATAACCAGACTACTCAGGGGTTTGGAGCAACTGACCTCTAAGAGGAAGGGTTACAACATTTGAGGTTTTTTAGTTTAGAGAAAAGGCAAGTAAGGGAGAGGGACAGGATAGAGACATACAAAACTATGCATGCATGGTGCAAAGAAGGCGGATAGGGAAAAGTTTTTCTCCCTCATCAAATTATCCAATGAAGACGAATGTTGGACAATTCAGGACAAAAGGAAGTACCTTGTCACACAGCATGCAGTTAAACTATGGAATTTTCTCCCACAAGAGATAGTGATTGCCACCAACTTGGATGGCTTTAAAAGGCAATCAATGGCTACTAACTATGACAGCTAGGTTCTACCCCCATTGATGGAGGTAGTATGCCTCTGAATAAATATTACTGGGAATTACAGGTATGGGAGTGTGTTCAGGCTCTCCATGTGGGCTTCCTATGGCCACCTGATTCTGCACTGTGAGAACAGAGCACAGTATGAAACAAAGCAGTTCCATTTGCTAAATGATCTCCGTCTGTAAACACAACTTGCCTTTCTTCTCATGGGTCGCTGCCCTCCCCAAATCTACTCCGGAGCATTGAAAGATCCCCCAGTATACATTTAGCGGGTGCATGGGGTGAGTGGAAGGGAGTTCTGTTGTGCAGTCAGAAATCCTTGCACTAACGTAAATACTTTTTTGGCTACCACCCAGAGTTCTGAACTAGATGGATATTTGACTTGTGTGCAGCAAAGCAGGGACACATCATTGTGCAGTACATACAGAATGAATCTGATTAAAAAGCAGGCACATGCATGACTGATAAAATGCTAAAACACAGAACATAAGGTCTTCAGAAAACAAAGACAGCGCCACACTTACAGGGAAGCCTTTGGTGATAGGAACTTCAATATTGAAGATGAGGATCCGAGCTCTGAAACGTGTGCAAGCTTTAATAGGTTCCTTGGGGCAACAAAATATGCACGCAACGCTGCAAGAGAGATTGTGAAGAAACAAATCAAGCTAAGTGCATCTGGGTTTTAAATGTGGTAACACCAAGAGGCATGCTTAGATGACAAACTAACATGGAGACTGCATCAATTCCCACTGTCATCCTTTGGCCTATACCAGGCTGATGCCTTCCCACAGTGGTCAATCCTATTTGTGTGTCCAGACTGTGCCAGGGTGAGGTTTGCCCTCAGTTGGGCTTGATAGGATTGGCAGCAGCAGTGCTACCAACAGGTACCCTAGAAGTAATGCATTTATTACTGTTTGGGGATTGCTAGCTCTTCTACACGCATTCTGTTAGGCAGGAGGAGGTACGGAAGTGGTTATTTTATGTAAGTTTGGGTAGCACATTGCTTTCTACCATACTGTCCCAAATGCTCTACAAAATTCCACATACATAAAACAAAGTAGAGAGTAGCAGTTTGCTATGGGTTCTCCAAGTAATTTTTAGTGTGATGTGTGGAGGAAGGTGGTGCTATTTGTTCACAACATTATAAGTTGGGCAGAATTATGGCTTACTGAGAGCTTTCAGCAGCAGTCTTCTTAACTCTTTCCCCCTCTCTCTAGCTACTTAGTCCATCATGACTAATACGAACAGTGATCACCATATCAAGATCACTAAATCTCTTTCTTTTCTCATCTCCATCTTTTAAGTCAAATAATATAGATTCAGTCATTCATTCCACTAATTGGTAACAAGTACAGAGAATCTCTGAGGGTGCAATCCTAACCCCATTTATCTGGGAGTAAGACCCACTGAAATCAAAAGGGTTTCCTCCTGAGCAAATATGGTTAGGATCATGCTATTAAATATTGTTAATAATCAAGTGACCCATCTCCTGCTTCTCTCCTTCACACATACCCAGCACCACCAAACCGAATTAACCAGTTAAGATTCCCTTAGTATGTCAACTCCAGTACTGCTCTACATAATAAACTCGAATGGTGCTTGTTTTTATGGAGATTAGTACCTTAATGTAGAGTGCCACTTTTAGCTCTTGTTCCCCCCCCCCCATATTTATTTGGAAGAAGACAAGAGCTAACTCTTCCTTGGTCATCATAGTCTCTTTGATACTTTCTGCCAAATTTAACCCCTTTCTGCTTCTTTTTTGAGCCCCATCTTCTTTTGTCACCCTTTGACTGGTCTATCTCAGTCAAACAGCAGTCACATTGTACTGTTTCTCTTCCTTACAGTACCAAGTGTATTAGTAGTGTTAAAATAACTGTTGTTCAGTGGCAGTAAAGATTTAAACAAAAACAAAAACCCAACATTGTACTCAATCTATTTGAGCACTCTTTTGCCTCCCAAAACTCCAGATGAATATACCAACAAATCGTTATGCCTGGCCCTTATTAATTTTTTTAACCCAACAATTGCCTGACTGTGATCAAGACCACTGCCAGTTTCACATCGTCACTTGCATGCAGGCTAGGTGATTTGCAGTGCTCTTGCTATCCAGGTAGCAAGCCTCCTACACCCTCCCTCCCCAACCGGTAAACCACTGATTATCAACTGCAACGGTTAGAAAGCTTCATGTTAAATATAAACCGTTGCTTAGGCAAAGTCTTTTTTGTACTCACTTGATTTTGATGATATCCATGCCAGTCAAAGTGAGAATAACGTGATCTCCCGCTGCAGCCCAATCCACTGGTTCATCATGTAGGGCAATTCCTAGAAATGAGTAAAACCAGAACTAAACAGTGAACTACCTTGGTTTAACTGCTACAAACAGCTCTGTTTTTGCCAGTTCTGCTGCATCAACCACGACTCATCAGTTTTCAGTATGAATGAGGTGATAGTAAAAGCTGTTGACTAAAACCTCAGACAGCTTTTCTTCTCGGGAACTACCATCATCTAAAGTCACCTTGCCTTACGGAGTGATTTTTCTGCAAGTCAGTGTTGAGCTATATGCCTGCACAGGTGTCACAATTTTGAAAGTATGACTGCACAAGAATTTAAGAAGGAATTTATTATTTATGGTACAAGCACCCAGTCCGCAAACTTTTAAAAATCTCGGTCGTACCTGCTTTCATTTTTCACCAAATGAGTTTTTGTTTGCTTTCGATGTAATGGTGAAACAAATGGGTGTGCTATGAAGCACACTAAACTCTGTACTAAATCATATGTATGAGTTACTGAAGAATTCCTGCACTTATATGCTGATGGCTAAATGCACAAACATCTAGAGCTTTGAAGCATTCATAGGGTTGCTGGAAACCGTAACTGGAAAAAGGAGGCAATTTTGGAAAAAGTGTTCTGGAAATGCTGTACTTAATCTGAAAGTGTTAAACTTTTAGAAAAAGCACTGTACTGTTATATTAATTTAATGCTTGATTTTACAAAGTTATCGCCTCATATTTGGGATATACATAAAGTAAACCCAAACTAATAATAATGCCTCGTCCATTAAAACAGTATAATTGTTCAGTTTAATCTACAATAAAAATATTCTGAAAGTTGTGAAAACCTATAAAGTATAAGCTTGGAATGCAGTCCAGCTATGCACACAAACACACTGACTCAGCTAATTCTAATGGAAATTAATATTGCTTTGGAATGTGACTTCTGTAAAGAATATTTTAAGTAGCCATCCTATATAAAAAATGTTAAATGAAATAAACTGAATCCTGACTACTAGGATTATTTTCTCACAAATGTTGAAGTATTACAGTCTGAAAAAAGCTGCTTAGAGAAATCTCTATATCACTTTCTCTCCCTCCCTGTCTATGGCATTCTTACTATGCCAGCTATTAGTGAAAAGTTCAACAGTAACATGACAGCAGCTATATTATTGTTTCATTCTAATAACTGAAATAATGCTAATTATTTAAGTACTTCCATACGACCTTTCAACCTAAGGAAATTTTAAACTTTAAAAATTTGTAAACACACAACCTGCAATAAAAATTACAAAATATTCAGTAACAGTATCTTACTAATAAAATCAAATAGCAGCAATTAAAACAGCTGCAAGGAGTGAGCATAAAACTGGGTCAGATAAAACAACCAAGAAGAGCATAAAGACTCCAGCCAAATGAAAAGCTTGATGAAGGGGTGGGGAGGGGAATTACCACCTTACATTCAATAGAGGGAAAGCGAATCAAACATATCTAGATAGGGAATTGCACAACTGGGTGTTGCAACTGGGTGCCTTCCATTGCCACCAGCCACATTCAATCAGAAGGCAGCAGGATGTGGGGCAATACCTCTAAAATGATGACAATAGTGAACAGGTTTTTGTAGAAGCATGTCATTCAATATCTTGGCTCTAAACCCCCCCCCCCCCCAAAGTGGAAGCCAGTAAAGATGGGGGGCGGGCGGAGAAAATATGCTTCAATAAATGTAAGAGTGGTGCAGTAATCCAATATTGATGTCACCACAGCAGTTAACCATTTCTGCTTCATCCAGGAATGCCTGCAGCTGCTGCAAAAGTGCTCTTGGACACAGCTGCTCTCTGGACCTCCAGGAGGAACATTCACAGTTCAGAAGGAGGAATCACCCATTTTTCTTTGAGGTTTTCACATAGGACAGTGTAGATTAACGCATTCTAAAGCTGCCTGCAGGGTAACCCAAAGGGAGATCATCCATCAGACTGTATACTATACCTTTTACAGTGCAAGTTTCATTAGGAGGCATCGCTAGCAGTCGGTCTCCAACTTGAACATATCCTGCTTCAATTTTACCAGTCACACAAAATCCCGATCCTTGATCTGCAACAAAAACGTTGGTTGGAGACAGCAAAAGGATCATGCAACTTCTTTGAAGGTTGCACCACCAGAGATGCAATTTTTGATAAGATAAAAATAGTTGCACAATTGATTTTACATTGTAATGCAAAGCGAGTCTTTTATTTTATCAGTAAAACAAATCTCAAACATTGCAATAAGAAAACAATAAACATCCAACCAGTAAGTTTTCTATTTGAAAAATGTTCTCAAATGTTTTATGTTCCGTTGGGCTACCTATCGTGCTTCAGTGGTTTTAAAACTATTTCTCACCAAACCTACAAATATGTGACTGGCTGGAGATGTTAAAACAGAGGGATTATGCTGGCACTATGGTTGCTATTCCAGCACCAAGAACTGTACTCTTCTGCAAGCACAGTTCTCAGTTCAGTCGGGGATTCATAGTGGATGCAGTGTCTTCTTATTTCCTATGGTAGCCCTGACTGTCAGCTTCTTCCCTCTTTGCCTCAGCTTTGCCCTTTGCAGAATGAGTAGGGAGGAGGGTGGGGAGAAAACTATAATTAGTTGGCTCTGCCTGCCATTGGCTCCAGCTCTTCCTACTACTGCCCACTTTGCTTTCCATCCTACCAGTCCCAATGGGCAACAGCTGCCACTGCATACACAGAATCTTTATTCAATGTGTGCCTAACCATTATTGGAGAACCAGGGTGGAAATTCTTTCAGGGCACTTTTGTTCTGCCCTCTCTACGATGAAAGTATCGGGGAAGGGGAGTGGGAGAAGCATCCTAGATTCAAAAACCATTATAGGTGCCAACGTTCCCATGTGCCGACACATCTGCTGAACTCAGCAGGTGTTTATTTATTTTCACTTAACAAAATGTATAGATTGCTGTAGCAAAGAAAAATCTAAGCCGTTTACATTAAAAGTTTAAAGTACTTATTTTAAAAATGCAGATAAAATCAACAAAATTTAAGAACAAGTACACTGAAAATACAGATAAGAACAAAGGAACTTAATAAAAGTTACAAAAAGTCTGGCCAATTCTCCAAATTTAAGAACTGCAGTGATAGAAAAAACATTTATAATTGTGGACACTGTGCATTGCACTACTGCAACAAGCTATGCAATGACCCAGCTACACCAGTACATGCACTTCAGTCAGTAATGAAAAGCAGGATATTACCTATTCTAAGTAGCATTTCTAGATTAGTTTTTTTAAATAAATATTTTTAGGAAATTTGTTCACCAGTGAAGGGAAATTGTATGACAGAAATTTTATTTTTTTTAATACTGGAAGAAAACTTACTAACCTTTAAAAACATCCGATACACATAATCTGAATGGTTTCTCCACAGATCTCTGAGGTGGCTTGAAAGAATCTGTAAATAAACCAATGTGCTCTGTGAATAGCTATGTCCTTTACTTTCTTACAGCAAGCGATATTAATTTGTCTCTACTGCATTCCCCCAGCTGTGTACTGAAACTGTTCTAAAAATCTTACAGAAGTAAACACATACCTATTTGTTCTAACAAGCATTTTCCTTCATACCATTTGGTCAGCTCACTCGCTTGACTTCTTGTGACAAGATTTTCACCACCAAGCCCACTTGTAGGTATATAAGCTACATCCGACTCCTGGTTGAGAGAAGTGTTTAATTTGCAGCGTGAAATTGGAAAGCAACTTTTCCAGTAGTATTTCTAAGCTTTTGAAACTCAAACTAAGATTCTTCTTGTGGAAGATAGAAAGCTAATGCTACTTTATCAGTTACTGAAGTTAATTAATGAGTCCTGCACTTCACAGAATATTGAAGGAGAAAGTAACACCTATAGCAATCTGATCCTTTCATGACATCACTGTATAGAACATCTCTCTCATACACATCCCCACACACCTTGAACTGACCAATGACAATTCCCTTCACACCTCACAAAAGGCAGGGCTCAATAAATCTATTGGTCTTCTCGCCAGTGACAAAGGGCCTCTCCCTCACCTTGCAAGCCTTGCTGTAAAGCTTTGCTTGGCTTAAACTCTCTCTCCATCCTCTGCTCACCACGGAGGAAAGGAAAGGAAAGCAGAGGACTAGAATTCTAGTTCATTAAAAAGGAATTCTTGGCAGTCGGTAGCAAATTAAAGTATCAGCCCTTTGAAGAGCTGAAAACCTTTTTGCTAAATGCCAGCATAATTTTCAAGTCATAATTAGCCAGTCACCAGAAATTTTGTCACAGCCCTATCACATATCATATCCACACATTTAGAATGGGGCAATATCATTTTGTGACCTTCCCTGTACCCATAGCAGTGGATATAGTCATTGAAAACTCAGATTTTTAATCAGTCTCTTGAATTCTATATCATTTTCTTTACCTTAAAGCCAGCTTGCTTTAGGAACTGCCCGAGCTTACTGACGATCTCCCGAAATCTTTCCTGTTGCCAATTGACCTAAAATAAACACATAATATATCACCAAAGAAAGATAAAGTACAAACACCATTCTTAACACAAGTGAAAATTATCTCTTGCTAAGAAGTAACATTAGCAGTAAGACACCCCACTGAAAAATAATTATAAAATAATAAGGTAACCCAGTAGAAAGAACACTGAGTGCTGAAAGAATCAAGAAAATATTCATTTAAGTGCCAGCTAAGCCAATAAAACACTTTGTACGTGTACCATTTTTTCCACAGAATTTCATTCATCTAGAATTCAACAAAATATTACAATTTCCTTGGAAAATAACCAAGCTCCATTTGTAACAACTTGTGTGTTCTCTTCTTGCAGAAAATAAATTTTAAGAAAGTCAAGGGAAAATACCTGGTCCATTTTATTGACAGCAACTGCCAGCTGTGTGACTCCAAGAGATCGAACCAACAGTCCATGTTCTCGTGTTTGCCCACCAGTCTCAAATCCTGCTTCAAACTCCCCTCTGCTGGCATCCACCACTAATATAGCCACATCAGCCTAAGGAAGAATAATTGTTACACAGTATTTCTTGGCATTTATTAACCATACACAGCCGAGCCCAACCACATCCATAATTTCTTCACAAATACGCTTCTTTCCCCCCTTTATGATAAAATGCATGCATATCTGAGTCACTCCAAAAATGTAAAGCCCCAGTGGCACCCATTGTATTGATACAGTAAGAACTACAAAGCTAAGATTCGCTATGCTCTTGCACAAACAGTGGAAAATGTATGGATCTATTATATATTTGGGAAAGCTATTGTTTGTTTGCTTTGCATTTGGACAATGCTTATGATATAATAAAATTTTACACAATGGTTCCTGAGATAAGAAGCAGGTCTGTGTCTATGTTTGAAGACAGCTGGATGCCATTTTGAATCAAGATGGCATACTGAACATTTCAAAACTGCACAGATTTTAACCACTAAGTACTGCCAATGAATGAACTGTTACAAAACTCAATTCAATGTGTTATCACTTCTTATTTATAGACAGGTGACGCCAATAAAAAGTCTTTACCATTGCAGCTCCTGTGATCATATTTGGAATGAAGTCTTTATGGCCAGGAGCATCCATCAATGTAATAACTTTTGTTTTTGTCTCAAATTTGGTCATACCTACATCCATTGTCACTCCCCTAAAAATAAAGCACAGGCATTAAGTGTGTCACTTACAATCCTTTCCAAAGTTTACCTTGTATTAATAAATGAGTGCTAAAAATAAACCACCTTCTTTGGGATAAGGATAAAAGAGTCTAATGTGATTATAGTGCCATTCTATGATAAAGGCACCCACAAAATAATTTTTTTAATCATGGTTACAAGAAAAAGCTATCACCAAGTTGGTACAGTTAGCAATCCTGAGAAATGTGTCAATGTATGAGCTTGCAATATCAGAGGAAGCTATGAAATGAGAATGTGCTTACATGCCAGAGCACATCCAAGAATGGTCACCACACCAAAGAAGAGCAGTCTCATGGCTACTTCATCATGGAAACTAGTCATGCAATTCAGCACTAATTCTGCTACATAAGCAATGGCAACAAACAAAACCCAGTATCAATAGCCTTAGAGAAGGATATTTGCAAACTGTATGGAGCATCCTGAGGTTCCCTGGAAGCTGATCACGGGTTCCTTAGTGAGAGTGAACTAACCACCACCCCCATGCAGTTATTACATCACAACCAATTACATCACATCCAAATATGCACCTTCACAGGAGAATTTGGGGTATGTTCTTGAGAACTCCCCATTCATGTGGAGTACTCCTTCAATTATACTGCTTCATATGGGATAACACTGTGGCCCAAAAAACCAAGTGTTCACTCCATAAAATGATCCAGAATCTTGAAAAACACATATAAGGAGTGCATAGTGAACAAGGGTTCCATGGCAGAGGCTCAGAACATATAAGTGGTCCTGTTGGATCAACCCAAAGGTCCATCTACTCCAGCATCCTGTAATCACTGTGGCCAGCCTATGTCTGAAGGTTTGATGAGAAGGACCTGAATGCAACAGCTCTCTCCCCCACTTGTGGTTCCCAACAACTACAACTACAACTAAGGCATACTATCTTAAATCGCAGAGGTAGTATGCATAGTAGCCATTAATGGTCCTATCCCTCTTCCAACATTCAGCTTCAATGGATGGTCCTCAGTTCTAGCATTATGAGCGAGAAAAAAATATTTATGCTTTCTCCGTGCCATGCATAATCTTATACAGCTTTTTTCTCAGCTAAAAAGCCACAAATATTGCAACAGTTTCCTCAAGAAGTGTGGCTCCAATTCCTAAATCATTTTGGTTGCCTTTTTTCTGAACCTCTTCTGACGCTATATTATTTACCAGGTGAACCATCTAGGACTAAACACAGTGTTCTAAGTGAGGTCACAGGAGATTCCTCTACAGGCAAGTCTTTGCAGAAAAGATTCCTTTCATGCAGAAAGTATGAATACAACGGCTTCTTTCCTCAATTCACAAGAAGGGAGAACAATTCTATCAGCATAGCATTTATTGCACTAATTTAATCGTATCTTATTCATGCTAATGGTAAACATCAATGTGCACTATTAAAAGTGCATTACAAATAATACTTCATACACACACACACATATATATTGTATATTGCTCACCTCTCTCTCTCTTCCCCTGTCTCATCCAAGACCCATGCATAAGCAAATGATGCCTTTCCAGCTTTCTTTGATTCTTGCTCATATTTGTGCATAGTTCGTTTGTTCACATTGCCCAGAAGATACAGCAAATGACCCATGAGGGTACTTTTTCCAGCATCAACATGTCCTAAGAATAGGAAATACATGTGGGATTATCTCTGATGGATACATGTTAAAAGCCACTTGAGGGAAGAATTGTTTATGTGTATTCAGATCATTTTCACTCCAAAAAAATATTACCTATTACTACAAGGTTAAGTAGATGTTTTCCTCCTTGTCTCTTCTCCAGCTCAGCTTTCACATCTATTTGCTGTTTTGTTTTTCCGGACTTTTTCACTGAAGTTGGTGTCAAGGTTGGTTCTTCTGATACTTGAACAGTCTGGGGTGGAAAAGCTGGTTTAGGTAGAATCTCAGTAACCCCCACGTTGGCATCTCCAGCTGAGAGTCCCTTTTGTGGCATATGCCCATTCTCTTCAGCATTCACACTGGAAAAAGCAAAGAATGAACTTTAAGAGAAGAAGAGTTTCACAACTATACAGAACAAATGAAATTCATTCTTACATGCAAAATAAACTGCAAAATAAAGGAGCAGAGGCAAGCTACCAAACAGCCACAGACAGTGGGTAAATACAGACAATCATTTACTAAACTGTGACTTACTACAGTGTGAATGTCAAGCAGTTGGCAGGGCAGAGCAGAATCAGTACAGAAGGGACTCATAGCACTCTTCTTCCCTGGAGTTATGAGTAGGCACAAAATTGTGGCAAGGTGCCCTTCACCACTTGGTCAGACCATAGCCTGCCAAATTGTCCTACTCACTCTGTGCTAAGTTCTCACTTGGCAAATGGTCATCTGCACTTACCTGCTGAATGGCTTGCTTGAAATGCTGGCTTTACAAACGATAAACTGTTGTTTGGTAGCGTACCTCCACTCACAGAAGGCTCTTTGATCCAGCTGAGACTTCTGCTAGCAGAACAGGTAAGGGGGCAATTTTTGCCAATTCTCCCTCTGCCTGCAACGCCCCCCCCCCAAAAAAAAACTGCTCCAGAATGGCGGGGAACCCTTCAGAAGAACATGGGAGATGGTGTGCAGAAAAAAAGGGAAATTGGCAAAAGTCATCTCCCTCTCCACTGCACAGATAGAAGCCTCTGCTGAAACAGAACTATAAGTAAAGAGACACCACATGACATAAACCTCCATGTAAGCAATATTGCGGACGCGGGTGGCGCTGTGGGTTAAACCACAGAGCCTAGGGCTTGCCAATCAGAAGGTCGGCAGTTCAAATCCCCGCAACGGGGTGAGCTCCTGTTGCTCCGTCCCTGCTCCTGCCAACCTAGCAGTTCGAAAGCACGTCAAAGTGCAAGTAGATAAATAGGTACCGCTCTGGTGGGAAGGTAAACAGCATTTCCGTGCGCTGCTCTGGTTCGCCAGAAGCGGCTTAGTCATGCTGGCCACATGACCCGGAAGCTGTACGCCGACTCCCTCGGCCAATAAAGCGAGATGAGCGCCGCAACCCCAGAGTCGGCCACGACTGGACCTAATGGTCAGGGGTCCCTTTACCTTTACCTTTAAGCAATATTGCTGTGAAGGGGCTGTTTCTGCAAGAATTTAGTGGTCCTGCTGCACACAAGGAGCTCTCCACACAGATCTTTGGATCAGGACCATGGTCTGCCAAGAGTAATTCTGAAATGCATACTTTACTCAATTACTCTCAAGAAGACATTGCTGCTACATATGCTTGAAGGCCTACCAAGAGGGGATTTGGAACTATGTTTGTGATTCTGAGTAAGTCTGTGTATACACACACAGAGAGAATCTCCAGCAAAAGTGTCAGGTATATATGCACAAGTATGTGGAGGTACAGCAGAACATAAAGAAAACTAATAATAGTGAAAGTAGTTTAAGGTGGACCACCTGTTGAACTGTGGCTCAAGAGCACGTCATTTACGTTTGGTTCTTAAGTAAGAGTACACAGTCAGGATTACTTAACACAGGTTTGAGCCATAGCTATGAAGAGATGCTGAACATACACACTTGCTTTATAAATTTCGAATGTAAACTATGAAGACTCCAGCAAGATGCTGACCATGCAAGATTGAAGTTGCTCCATTTGTTTTAACGTAATGTTCGATCACAATATGTGGTCATATCCATTGCCCTAAATACAGGTATATGTATGTTGCATTCAGACTATCTGTTACTTCCACTTTACTGATTTTATTTCAGAATTCCCCCTCTTCAAACCTTCAGGCATAGGTCAATTGAAATGTCTGGTTGAGAATAACTGAGTAAAGAACACATTTCAGAATTACTCTTAGCAGACCATGGCCCTGATCCAAGGGCCTGTGTAAAGAGCTCCATGTTTGCAGCAACGCCACTGGATATTTGCAGAAGCAGCCCCATGCATTCTATTACCTGCCATGCTATTTATACATGAAGAGTTGTATCTGCTTGTAGGCGGCTCTTTAATCTAGCAGAGGCTTCTATCAGTGAACCAGTCCATTGTCAGAATGGCCGTCACAGGTCTACAGATGGACACCATAAAACCTCTCCTTTTCCCCTCTTTCAATCATTATACTTCAAATAACTGAGCTTGCAACAATTCAATTTGCAAAGTTGTATTTTAAACTAACCTCCAGAAAATTTTGCACCCTGTGAAACAGATTATTTTAATGTGGCTAGCTGTTTTCTCTGTGCTACTCAGAGTGAAAGATTCTTTTTCAAAAAAACTCACGAATGCAAGATGCCTTTTTCTGAAAGTAATTATGAGTCAAACAAGAAGCCATGCTGCTCAGTTTTGTGACATATTGACTAAATTTCTGTAAAAATAGACCCCCAAAAATCTTGATACAGGTGCACCAATCTGAAGGAAGATGATGCCAGTATACCTTGCAAGGGGTGAAGGCTTACCATGGAACTTCAAAGCCAGTAGTTTGTCTCTTTCCAGACACAGTCATTTTGGTAACTTTTGGCACGACATCAGATTCAATTCTGCTTGTCTGGGAATCTCTGACTTTTCCTAGTAGGAGAGAAAATAATGCATATATAGCATAAGCGCAGTGCAAACAGGCTTAAATTCAGTGTAGTCCAATGTGTTATCTTGGCAGATTTAGCAACTGATAACTTTTAGCTTTCTAAAAATCAGGTTTGCTAAAAATAAAAATTTGTATAGTTGTATCCAAGTAAAAAGCTGCTTTTGTAGCAATGTAGACTATACATGTGAACATTCGGAGCAGCTTATTAAAATTTTTAGCCATCCTGAGCTTTTGAAAGTGGAAGAAAAGGAAACCTAAAATTAACAAATAAAATATTTATTCTGTATTCTATCTCAAAAGGTGTGCCAAAAACTTGCAGCCAATGCCCATTGTATTTGGCATACTAATAATGGAAGTTTTCTTATGTAATGTTTTTGAAACTCCCCTAACTTCAAATAGGAGAGGTTCTCATTTTTTAACCTTCTGTTGATGCTGTATTTGAGATAATATCCTTTTTAACATTTTCTTCCCCACTCTGAAAGACTTAGTTGTACTGCCCGTATTTCTCCTTTTATGTGTGTAAAGCACATGTAGTTATATTTGTCTGAATGCACTTATAATTCTTTCTCCCTGTATGTGTTCCCAAATAATGAGGTCCATCTTTCCAGACATTTGTTTCTTTTTGCAAACTTCTGAGTCTGTGTGTTTCTGCTGCAGTATTCTAGGTGTTTTTATTCCACTGTGGCTGATGTGGCCTTTTAAATGTGTCTTGCTTTTTCTTATTATGTTATTTTGTGGTTTTATATGCATTTTATGGTTTTATATTGTAAACCACCCTGTAATCTTCAGATGAAGGGTGGTGTATAATTTAATTCAAGCCAGATATTGACAGGGAAGGGGAATGACATTTTCTTAAGGGATAGGGTGAGACAGCAGTTCGCAGCTTGGCGCCACAACCAAGTGATTGCCTACTTTTATGCCATTCCATTTCAACTTTTGCAATTATCCAGTCCTTAAAAGAAATACACACATGCACAAACAAAATCTTTCAAATCCTCAGTACTGAAACATTTATTTATTTATTTTTAAAGTATGTTTGACTAGGGACATGGGTGGCGCTGTGGGTTAAACCACAGAGCCTAGGACTTGCCGATCCTTAGGTCGGTGGTTCGAATCCCTGCAATGGGGTGAGCTCCCGTTGCTCGGTCCCTGCTCCTGCCAACCTAGCAGTTCGAAAGCATGTCAAAGTGCAAGTAGATAAATAGGTATCGCTCTGGCGGGAAGGTAAACGGCGTTTCCGTGTGCTGCTCTGGTTCACTAGAAGCAGCTTAGTCATGCTGGCCACATGTACACCGGCTCCCTTGGCCAATAAAGCAAGATGAGCACCGCAACCCCAGAGTCGGCCATGACTGGACCTAATGGTCAGGGGCCCCTTTACCTTTACTATGTTTGACTAATTTGCATAATTTATTCAACTTACGGAATGTAGACTTCCTTGGTTCAGAATTTAATTGTCCCAGGGCACAAATAGCCTTCACAGTATTCAGTAATCTCTCCCTCTCACCCACACTCCAGTGTGCTGTATTTGGTTCTACTTTGTTAAAGCTGTGGGCTGCACTAATGGTACATTTCAAAACTGGTGAGTTTAACATGTTAACAGAATGTACTGAGCAGAGGAAGTCTCTCATCCTGCCTGTCTAACGCTGCCCTAGATTCCCTTGCCTACTGATGAACTGGGGTCATCACCCAAGTGTGTGACTAGGTATGGCCTCGCTCTACTTCGAGACGTTCAGCAACTTGCAAGCTGTTTTTGAATAATTCCCCAAGAAAGAAGAATGAGTTATTTAGAAAAAGGTTATTTCCTAAATAGAAGTTACACCAGGGGGTTTCCAAGTAAAAGCCCTGTTGCTTTCAGCTGCAACTTCTTTATAAAGCTTGTGAGCCTGTACACACACGGTAATTTCTTGTTCAAGTAAGATGTTCAGGGCCCCCAAGTAGACACACTCATGTATGGTGTGTGTGGCAAAGAACCAGGCAGGCACACTTTCAGACTGGTAGCAATTTCCATAACTGCAGCAACCACAATAACTAAGAGCCACCTGGATCTCACAGTGCATTTGTCATATGAGCAGAGCCTCATATAGCCTGCAAAGACACACAAAATGCTCTGAGGTTTTTTTTGGGGGGGGGACTTTGAAAATACCACATACAGATATCTTAATGGCTCCCCCTGCACCCATGCGAGTTCTTAAGAATATAGGAGTCATCTGGAGTAGGCCAAATGTCCATAAAGTCCAGCATTCTGCTCTTACTGTGGCCAGCTATCTATGGGAAGCTCACAGCCAGAGCCTGAGGTAACCTAGAGAGGATAGCCAGATCCAATTCTGTGAAACGTGCCTAGATAACATGCAACCTCTTCCTGATATAATCCAGCGGGCTATCCCGAAGTAATTCCCATCAATGTTTTGCCCATAAATGTGTCACCTAATGATAAAACATTGCCTACCACCTACTGGAAACAGAGAGCAAGATTCAAACTTACTGTGCTATTGTTTAGTATGGAATCATCGTCATTGTGCAAGAAGTGGTGCGTAAAGAGCAACTGTCTCAGAGTATGATAAAAGTGGTTATACACCAACTTTCACAAGCACAAGACAAGCCCTGGATTCAGCTCTAAACTAAGAACAAGGTTCCGTTAGCAGAATGGCTTGTGAGAGCAGGGTGCCACAACTGGTTATCACCCAAACTGACTACATGCTCAGATGAAAACAGAGTTTTTTAACTGATTAGTGCACATTTGACAGACATGATGTGCATTTACACCACACAATAGAATCAATAGAGTTCAGTATGAAAATAATGTCACTCTGCTTGCAAGAAAAACACACAAAATCAGATATTGCTGTGCGCAGCTTAAACTTGTTCATGGGATTTTGCTTCGTTTTACAACTGCATTGCTCTAGTTACATGTGAACCACCAAATAAGTATTGTTCAGCAGGGTGAAACAAGCTACCTGCCCAAACTGACAGAAGATTTAGGGAAAAGAAAATGCATGGGAGCACAGCAAACAAATGAAACATGACTAGCAGCCCAAGATAAATGAGAGTCCAAGCTGTATAAGATATAAATGAAGATATCCATGGTGCCCAAATGGTCTAATATGTTCGGTTCCATCTCAAGCAAACTGTTGCCTTCAAGCTGTGAGAACAATATTTCAGGAATCATTTGCGCAGTAAACATGCTTCCCAAAGGCGGTCTCTGATTATCTGATTCTCACATTCTGCTATAACCACAAATGTGTTTGTGGTGTTTCCTTATTCAACGTATCTTACTAAATGACTCCAATGTGTGTTTCATTGACAATCAGGGAAAACATTGTGTGATGTTATGCGCAGTTGTCTGACCATAAATAGGCATGCAAAAAGCAGTGTCAGCACTAAATGGGGGATAGCCCTACCAACATTTCTCTACAAACCAGTTAATCTAAACTGAAAGTTTATGTAGTCCAAGGTAACGTTCAACACAATTAATAGAATTTCTGTTGAGGTTCTGGTTCGTTATGAGTATGTAAAACTGAAAGTACAACATGTAACGAGTCGATACTTTTACTGCAATTCAGTCATGTTTCCAGAAACGAAGTAGTATCAGGCAGCAAATCTGACGTTACCACACCAGAGGATGGTGCTGTTAACAGATCAGTTACCAGTGTGCTTTAGAAATCAAACATAACGAAACCTTTAGGCCTAACTTATGTTCACTGATTTCATTGTGTCCACTCTGAATATGATTTAGTCAGAGGCAATCCTAAATCTTAAACTCATGATAGCATCCACATGAGTGGAAGTCTCAAGTTTAAGCAAATGTGGCTGCAAATCTTCAGACAGGCTCGTCTACACAGGAATAAAAATTACACCAGCGTGTGACCTTTCTATTATGAGGAAAGCATTTCTTCATTCCAAAACATGTTAAATGATAAAATCAAAGTTCATACAGAAACCAGATGCCCAAAATGCACATAGGGTTGGGACTCTGGGGGTGAAACTACATATATGAAAAACAAGGTTGCCACTGAAAACAGCAGTCCCAATTGAGTTCTCTGCCTTCACATCTGTACCTCCAACTTACTGTGTCCAGATGTCATTATGATTAACATCCCCCACCTCCAATAACATGGAGTGATGGGTGTCAAAATGTTACTGCTACCCCAAAAAAGTGCACAACCCAGGCTGCTGCTTTGGGTGGAAGCCTTGTGCATCTTCCACAGAGTCTCTTGTCCAACACAATGTTGCTGCATACACTCAGCATGTGTGCTATTAAAATATATTTCACTTTGCCCTTCTAGATGAGCTATAGTTTCAGGCATGATTCATCATCAAGTATATCCCATAAGAAGCTCTGTGGACAGAGATCAAAGCACCCAGTCCTAAATACTATGGGGAATGACACTGCTCCTCCCACCACCTAATAAACGTACATTTCATACACTACTGTCCAATATTCTTGCTACATTATCCACAAATTAAGTATGGAAAAGAACTGCAGTTTTCCAGCCCATTATAACTTTATACTTTGTAATAGTAAGTTAACCATTCTAGGGACAATAAGAATTGACAACTTGAATAATTCAGCAACTTTAAAAGATTTTCAATTTTTGTGCATCTGACATCAAGTTTACATTTAACCAGCAAACCAAATACAACTTTCTGTGATGCCATTACATTGGAAACTATATAAACAATGCAAAGCTAACTGGAAATTAAATAATAATAATAATAATAAACCATCTGTGTGCAGTGAAATTAAACGAGCCCCCCCCCCCCTACACTCAGTCTTGTTCACACTCTGTGTGCTTGTTGGAAGTCAATTACACCACTATTTTTTTTCCATTCAGCAGCCCAACAGCCCACTGTTGGTGTGGCTGACTATACTTCTGTATCTCTTGCCCGAAGGATTGAAGAAGTGCTGGCCAGGGTGTGAGTCATCCCTAAGAATTTTCCTCGCTCTCCTGAGGCAGCAGTCTCCCACGATGTCATCTGGCAAACTCCGAGGACAGCCCATGATGTCATATGCTGTATTCGCCACCCTCTGTAGGGACTTCCTGTCAAACCAGTGTACCACACTGTTATACAGTATGAAAGGACACTTTCTATTGTGGCCCAGTAGAAGGAGATCATCAATTTTTGTTTGACATTGTTCTTTCGCAAGACCCTAAGGAAAAGGAGTCTCTGTTGGGCCTTCCTAACCACCTGGGTGGTATTGATTTTCAAAGTGAGGTCTTCACTGGCGTAAACTCCCAGGAATTTAAAGGAAGAGACTCTCTCCACACACACACCCCTGATATACAACGGGGCTAGTTCCTCTCTCTTCCTCCAAAAGTCCAACACAATCTCCTTTGTCTTGCTGTTATTCAGGTGCAAGTTGTTCTCTAGGCACTATGTGCAGACTTTTTGAACCTCCTCCCTATATACTGATTCATCTCCACCTGTAATTAGACCCATTATGGTGATATCATCTGCAAACTTAATAATTGCAGTGGATGGATCAGATGAAATGCAGTCATATGTATACGACGAGTACAGGTAGGGACTCAGCACGCATCCCTGTGGGGTGCCAGTGCTGAGCTTCAGAGAGGTAGATGTAACAGGCCCAATCCTCACTATTTGTGTGTGATCCCTCAAAAAGTCTTTAATCCAATCTCAGGTGGTAGGGGAAAGGTCCAGGTCCACCAGCTTTTTAATAAGAATGTCCGGAAGGGTGGTATTAAAAGCCAAGCTATAATCAATAAACAGCATTCTGACATAATTCCCCGGTCTCTCCAGATGACTCGCTGCAAGGTGAAAAGCTTGGCTATGGCATCATCTGTTGACCTATTTCTCCTGTAAGTGAACTGGTGTTCATCAAAATCCAGTGGAAAACATGTCCTAAGTTGTTGAAGAACGAATCTCTCAAAGCATTTCATCACTACAGATGTTAATGCAATGGGTCTGTAGTCATTTAGGCAGTTAATTGCTGTTTTCTTTGGGACTGGGACAATGGTGGCTGCTTTCAAACATGATGGTACACAAGCAGTCTGCAGGGAGATGTTAAAAATCCTTGTCAGGGCCCCTGCTAGTTGATCAGCACCGTTTTTTACCACTTTCCCCAGCACCCATCCGGACCAGCCACTTTGCTAGGATTCACCGCCCACAATGCAGTTTTCACTTGATGGTCATATAGAATAAGTAGCTGAGAATTTATAGGCTGGCAGGCAAGAGCCGTGACACTTGATCTTTCTACCTCATAGCGGGCGAAGATGTTCAGCTCTTCCGCTAACACATCATCAGCCTTAACTGTGTTCCTCGTATTGCCCTTGTAGTTGGTTAGGTGCTGCAGTCCCTGCCACACTTGTTTCGTGTTGTTATCGGCTAGGCAATTCTCCACTTTAAGCTTATATTGTTGTTTTGCTGCCTTAATGCGTTTCCTGAGCTTTGTTCTTGCCCCTCTGTATGTATCTGTGTTCCCTACCTTAAAGGCATTATCCCGAGCTTTCAAGAGTAACCTTACTTCAGCAGTCATCCAGGGTTTGCTGTTCCCATAACCTCTAATGCACCTCTCTATTGTTACATTATCGGTGCACACTTTGATATAGGAAAGCATAGGAAATAAAATAAATACACACTGTTCTCCTTTGCACATGTAAATGAGACAGATTTCATAAAAAGATTTTATACCTTTTAAGTGCACAAAAATAGAAGGCAGATGACCTGTAGTTATTGAAACTTAAAACAGCAAGTTAATTCATTTTATAAATCCCCATCCGGTGAGCTTGCTTTGGCTTAGAAATGGAAAAATGAGCTAGTAGTTTGAAAATTTCAGTCTATATTGTCTTTCTAATATCTCTGCCTTGCTAAATATTGAGCATTCCCCTCCCTACTTATTATCTGCTCTTCTCATTATTATTAAGTGTGAAAATCCACCAGTTCCCAAGGACAGTATCATCTAGAAATTTTTAGCGGCAACACTTACAATGTAGTTTACACCAGGAGGGGCAACCTGTGGCCGTATACCTGTTCTTGGACTGAAACTCTCATCAACCCCCAGTCTGGCCAATGGTGAGGGCTGACGGAAGCTAAAATCCAACATCTCACAAGGGCCCCCATTCCTGTTCTATGTCTCTTACACATATAACCACGTATATTGGATTTGTTAATTCATGTATTTTTCAATAGTAATTTTTGTCACAGCAGAACAGATTTCTGAATACACTGTAAAGTCAAACACAAGTTCACACTTTTTCCTTTCACCATTAATATGCATGTTAGCAGCACAACTGTTTTGTAGTACTGAGATCTCTTACCTATATACTCAGATTAGTTTACGTTTGAAGCGACTTGCATGATAAATGAAAGTCTGCTAATAACTACGTGACACATGCACCTGTCCATTCAACATCTTTTTTTGTGTATTGGGGAGATTACAACTGTAGCATCGGAGCCAACTCTGCACATCCAGGCACTGTGGTCTAAACCACTGAGCCTCTTGGGCTTGCCAATTTGAAGGTTGGCGGTTCAAATCCGTGTCATGGAGTGAGCTCCCATTGCTCTGTCCCAGCTTCTGCAATCCTAGCAGTTCAAAAGCACACCAGTGCAGGTAGATAAATAGGTACCGCTGAAGATCAGTGTGCTATGGAGCAGCCAGACCACATGGAAAGATAAGACTCTTGAAGAATACAAGCACAATTACGATAAGAGAGCGAATGAAGGAATATACAGAATGCTACCCAAGATACAGTTTCAGGAGAGAAAAATAGCCAAACCAACACTTTTGTTTTTCTGCTAAATTTCAGATTATAAGATGGGTTGTGATTTATTTTCCTTTTTTAAAAATGGTTTAGCTGTTTCCATATTTTATTTTCAATTTTCAATAATTTAACATCCAAATTACTTACTTATTCATCTCTTCTAGACCCCCCCCCATGCTTGGTTTCCAATTTCTCCCCTTTATTACCTTACACATCTTGTATTTTTATCTTGTGAACCGCCCTGAAATATATTGATGAATCTAATAAATACTCCTCCTCCTCCTATTTATTTTAAAAAAAACCCCCACAAAAACCCACTAATTTTCTTTCTATACAAAATTAGATAAGAAGCCAACACAATTTGCCATTCTATATTGTTGGTAGGCTAGATTTATATACAAGAATGTCAATAGCAGCAGCACCAAGCTGAAGGATATTAAAAATACTGAATAGATGCTTTCACATTCTTTGCTATCTAAACGTGTTAGCAGTAACACATTGACAGAAAGAAGTATTTGAAATCAGAGTGTGAAACTGCTAAAGCTGCTTTGAATCTCATTTGCAAAAGGTAATACAAAGCTGTATCAATGCAGTAGGCTGATTAAGCACCTGAACTAATCAGCCCTCATAGCTTCTATGATATCAAATGTTACCAATTCAATCAACAATGAAAAAATTAGCACACATCATATGTATGGTGACACTTATTGTACCTGATATATAGAAAAAGCTATTACAGCACTTGATTAAAAAGGTATCCTCAGTACAGTGAACACTAGAGCTAGGCCTTGCATCATGAATGTATACTGAACAATTGAAAGTATATTCTTAACTTTTTAATGGTTTTTAGTTTTATTCTATAAGCAATCTTGACCTATTTTTGACACAGTATATAAATATTGTTTTATATATAAATAAAAGTAAACTAACAAATGTGCACAGATGGTTACTATTTTTTTAAAAAAAAAAACAGGGTCATGGTATCAGCTACGTGATTTTAAATAAAGGAAATACAGAATTATGGTTGCGCATTAATGCACATTAATGTGGGTGCCAGTCCCACAAAAGTTAATAGAACTTACAACTGATTAAACGCACACATATAAGGCTTTAACACCTGCTGAGAGAGGAAAATGTATGTCCTTGTGGGTGAATCCCGATAACTAGTTGCAGGCACTGAATAAAGTTCACAGCTCAGTTAGGAAGATTGGGAACTGAGGCTCCATACAACACAGAGGCAATAACAACCATCTTGTGCTAAGAAGCTGCAGTACCACTCTCAGGAATTTTAATTTAAAATATTTCCTATGTGATACAAGAAAAGAAGTAGGCTGAGAAGCAAGCAAAGGACAAAGAATTGACCAGCTTCATAGAGTCCTTCCTACTATGTCAGATTCAAGACAACCCTTTAAGCTGATACAACTCTGTGTCCCGAAATTCAGAGTATAGAAGCTTTGTAGGGAGTCAGACAAATGGTACTCCTCTTCGTATGACACCAGCTTGCCAGTGGCTCAGCAGAGATTTCTTCTTGCCTTCAATGACCCTGTAATGAGAAACTTTAAAAAAAAGGACCTTTCACATGCAAAGCCTGTGTTCACTGAGCTATAGCAGTCTGCAGCTGTGCTGGGCATACCTGAACCCATAGCTCTTCAAACAAAAAACCCACTGAATTTCTAATACATAAAACTGCATACACTACAATTCACCACCGACAAAGATTAAAATATGTGTCAGGGTAAACTTTGAAAGCTCTCTCTTCTTTTTAAAATCATAGTGCAGTATTAGAAGAATCACAAACCTGGAAATATTTTTGTATACAGTACTAAAAGAATTAGAACAATTTTCTCTCAAATTTTTAAAAAACTAAACGAAGAAAGACCAGCAGATTGAGGTTCCCAACAGCGTATGCAGACAATGCAAAGTTTTAGACAGTGTCATAAAACATTAGGATATACTGTACTACCAACCTTAGGTTGGCTGCAGTCTTAAAAATCTGACACTTATGTTAAATTTAATCTGCACTTAAGAAATTAAGTGACTTTTCAAGAGTCTAATTCAAAGCACCTGAGGTCTAGAATAATGGGTAGCGATATAGTAGATATGCTGTAAGAGTGTACATCTGTACCAATGTTGTGAAAATATTGAGGGTGAGGGGTTGAGATAACTGGTGTAAGATCATTTCTGATTTGTTTCCGAATATAATGGAAATGCACAAAGCTAAAATTTTGAATATACACAAAGCAATGGCTCCTGGCAGCTAGATTGGTGGCAAAGTGATAAAACTAAATGCACTGGAAACGTAAGAGAGCTCCTAAGAGATTAAACAAATTAATCAAATGATACATCTGGCAATACATGAAGTATTGCATTTATCTCTAGAAAACTCTTTACAGACAAATGAAAGAATTTTGACTACTTTCTTAGATAGGTTTAGTGTTTGAAGTTCTGATGGTGTCAAACACTTATTCTGAATATTCTTGAAAATCTTACAGAGAAAACTGTTACATGTGACAGTTTTACAGGCAAGTTCTGTTTCCAAATGCTTGATATCAGTAAACATAAATATAAAAAGTGTGGGATTAGTAGAGTGATAATTCAGGATTTTTATTCAAATGATATTAGAAGGTGCAAGTTACAGCTCACAAGACTGCAACAAAGAAAATGCCATACAATACTAATAATAATAATAATAATAATAATAATAATAATAATACAGTGGTACCTTGGTTTGCAACTGCTTTGGATTACAACCATGTCAAACCCGGAAGTGCGTGTCCATTTTTTTTTATTACAACCCATTTTTTATTTTATTTTTTGGATTACAATCCATTTTTGGGGGGGGGAGGCCCCATTGGCGAAAGTGCGCCTTGGGTTACAACCTGTTTTGGTTTACAACCAGACCTCTGGAACGGATTATGGTTGTAAACCAAGGTACCCCTGTAATGGAAGAATGTAATGGAAGATTTGTAATGCAGGATCACAATTCTGGATGTGCACGGTCAGGGTGGAGTAGGGGAGCAAAAAGTTGCACAAGAGTAGGGATCATAGATGAGAGGGAGAAGAAAGGAACATCAGAAAGCTATTTTTCCTTGTTAAAACTGGTTGGTTAAAAGAAACACCAACACTCCATGTTTCTCCATCCCTGTTTTAGTCAAACTCTGCTGTTGTTTATTATTCACAAGCAAACACCCATACATGCACAGCAACCATCAACTGAACATAACTATCTCTAACCGAACAAGCTACCTGACAAGCTTGTTCGAAAGACTCTATTCATCTTAAAGATATAGCATATATCAACGCCAGCTGGAGAATAGCAAAGCAAGGAAATGAGGATGATCTGCATGCAAGAGAGAGTTGGGGAGGGAGAGGGGGGAAAGAGGTGGTACAAATGGGCTTGCAAAGAAAGGAAGGAGTAGGAGGCATGGGAATAGGGGTGAAGATGAGAGCAGGGGAATGAAAAGCTTTGAAGGAAAGGAGAAGGCAGATGGTGGAAAAGGTGCTAAGCAGTTGCAATGTGTGGGAGAAGGAAAATGCAGGTTACCATGGGGGTTGTTTGTGAGCAAGGGGGAGGGTTGCACAAAAGGAAGGAAGGAAGGAAGGAGAGGCATGGGCATGGCAGTGAAGGTAAAAATGGGGCTGCAGAATAGAAAAGTGGCTTCAGAGATGGGGTTGGGATGGTGAAACATGATAGCCAGACAACAATAACTAGGAAGTGGTTTTCTACAAGGACCAAAGGACAAACCTTTATTTATAAAATATAGATTATTCTTCTGCTTCTAGGCTCTAAAATATTGGGACCTACTCTAAGCCTTTGGCAAAAAATCCAAACAAATAATTCCAGTAGAATATGTATAATTGCTCTTATCTTTAACATAACAAATCCCAGATTTTCAAATATTAACAGGGTTTGTTTAAAACAGAACTATGTAATAACAGAAGAGAACACTAAACATTATTTCATTATTCAGCCGTACATAGCAGCACATTTCCACTGATTTCCTGTTGATATGCAAAATAAATCTGCCCTAGCTTTTAAAGTGGTGTTCTTTCAAAATATAGTATGCTACCTTTAAGACTGCAAGATAAAACATCTCAGGGGAAAAATATTGGGAGTGTCATTTTTTCCAGTGTAGGTGTATATACAAAGTGAAGCTCAAAAACATTTTAAAATGTTTCTCACTGCTTTTGATATAAGCCACTTCCTTTCTAAAGCCCACACACAGCTGTATCAAAGAGAATGTGACTCTTGTTACAAAATGTTCCCCAAAAGAGACTGATATGGTCCTATTCACTACCCCGTATTTTACTAATGTGAAAAAATGACTGAAGCTTTTTTTTATCATAGCTACATTTAAATTATAAGGAACTTTGACATTAGGCATACACTGTCCAAAGTACGCTTTGTAGTAGCCTGCATCAAACATGAATTCTTTACCCAGTGAATTCACTCTTAGCTACTAAACATTTTGTAAAGTTGATTAACTGTTCTCCATGCATTTGGATACCTCTTAACACAATGAATCAAGATGGCAGAACGAACCTTTTAAACCTGTACTGATTTTAATCAAATTTTGCCATGAAACGGGATCATATGACATCTATCCTTAAATATCAGCCCCAGCTGCCTCCTTAGGTTGCTGACTTTGGGCTCTAAGTACTTGAAATATCATTTTCCCTGTTACAGAGTAACTCATGCTATAAAATCTGTGGCTCTGGTCATAGTTCCATCTACAGCTACAGTATATGGTAAGACCGTATTGAACAGAGCCTTTTCTGTTGTGCTATCCCAGATGTACAATCGCCTCTCCATGGAGATACAATTGTCCACTACATTAGCTGTATCGAGATGCAACTGTTTCCTTGGGCCTATGGAACAAGTACTTAGGATGAAATGCCTCTTAGCTGGCACACCAACAACACAAACCAAGACAGAAACTTTATGACGCTGTAGTAGATGCCATGGGGCACAATGGATTGGGTTTAGGAGGTCATATATCACATATCAGCCTGGAATCTTCATTAAACTTGCATGCAACAATGTTATCTTATCTGTATGACAACTATTTTCCAATACAAAAAGTAGGCTAAATCAAATCTCATTGCTCTTTTTCAACTACTGCAACTTGTCAGCAATACCCATATAAGCAACAAGAAGATTTTAGCAGTAACAGAATGTTAAGCAAGTGGCCACCAAGTGGAAAAATACAATGGATCTAGTGTAGATATATGACCTTTAGACAGGAAGGAAAACACTCAAGTGTTGAGTCACATGAATATCCTCCCCATCTCTTTTGCTTTTTTCTGAGTTTTAGCTATTGAATCCATGTGCATATCTTCAGTTAAAGCACACTTCTTGTATCAACTAATCAATACACACATGAACCATTTGATATAGACAAGCAGACAAGCAGCAAATTCCTGAGTTTTAATGCACTTAAATTGTTTAAGAAATAGACACTAATTCACAGAACTATGGAACTCTTTCTAAGTTTTAAGGCAAATCTCTTTAATAGATGTTGCCACAGATTTAATTGTCGTGGGACCAAGGGTTTTATCCACATTTTTTAAAGGTAGGCAGGGAAACAGGAGACCAAAACTGCAACACAGTTTATTCAGGAATACCCATTTCACTCCTGCTCCCAAAGAACCTATTTTACCTATAGCTCAGAACCTCAAAGAACTACAGACAGAAAGCTGTGACGAATGAAGTCAGCAGTTCTAAACAAAATATAAAAAATACAATAATGACAAAGATAGATTTTCAACTTTTGGACTGTTGTAGTGTTTCTATATAGCCTTTAGAATGGCCATGAAACACAAGTAACCAAACTATTCAATGATATTTAAACAGCTTTCCGACAAAACAAAGAGTGAGCAACCATTATTTTCACTTCAGTTCCAATTACTAAATTCAGGCACACTAAGGAAAAGATTAATTTTTATTTATTAATTCCACAAAATGTGAGTGCAAATTTAAACTATTTTTAGAGTTTTTAGGAATGAAAATATACAATTCTGTTTTTTTTAAAAAAAAAACAATATTAATGGAGAAGCCACCAACACAAGGCACTGTAAGTATTTGAACCCTCACAGCAAGACACGGAAGACAGCGTGCACTGATTATTAATCCTCAAATTAAATTTATTTTATATATCTATATTTTTCATGAAACAAGCTACAGGTCAATTTTACTTTAAAATTTGATTTTGAATACATAAAAAACCTAAGATACTGCTTTCACAATGCTCTGAATATTTTGACTAGCACATTTTAGATGTCCAAAATACACATCCAAATAGTTTTTTACAGTTTCAAAATATACACTATTTATAAAAAAATGTACCATATATACACATGCAAAAACAGAGGCTGGCTTCAGAGCAGTAAAATATCAGTCAAATGTAAAGGCATGATGCACGTTTGCAGAGATCAGGATTCAAATTTGCTGCCTCACCTCCAGCTCGGGTTCGCACACATTGTACAGCATGCTGGCTGTTATCATAAAAAGGAGGTCAATGCACACCACCAATATAGCAACCCACATGTTCTTCATTTCCACAGTACTTCGGGCTTGTAAGTTACCACCTCTCTGAACTCAAATGAACTTGCATATTCAAGATATGGGAAAAGGGGCAGGTGGAGAGAGGCATGCAGCAGCCTTGCACTGTTATCTAACAAACACAGCGCAACAATAAGTTTGCAAATGCCTTTCAGCCTGCCAGGAGGGAGAGGATAAATTTATTCAGCTCCATGTCAAGCCCCTCCAAGGGGTGCAACCATATCCAAAAGAGAATGGGTCATGTCCTAAGTTACCTGAAGAATATGTGCCATTCAGAAATATTCTCAAAGCTAAAAAATCTTTTCAAAAAATCTAGGAAGCAAAAATATAGTTACGAAACAAGGTAACGTTCATCTTTGGTCAACCATTGTATTATATACATCTACAAAAAAACCTGCAGCATCATAACACTATTATATCTAAATATACAGTGTTTACACATTTACTTAATGACCATTTCGGAACCTGTCTAAAAAGGTAGTCCATGGCTTCAAGCTGTGGTCAAATGAGTGATGGTCTATACTACAATTATTCCAGTCAAGCTGCCTAAACCACACCTGCCACAATCTACCACACTAGTCCACCTACATCACAACAGCCTCTTCCCCTCATTTTCTATGGAATCCCATACAATTACGGTACATGGGATGACTAGGAGAAAACTTTAAGCAAAAGTGACAGAGGAAGAATTCCACTGAGCAAGAGATACTGGAAAAACACTATTTTTGTCATCTGATGCAGTAAGCATTTGGACATAGTGATATTTAATGAGACTGCTGAATTGTGACAATAAGTGTCAAATCACAACAATAAAATAAAAAAATAAAATTGCACCAAAATGCAATGGAATGTACCTTACAATAAAAATATATTTTCAAGTTAAAAATCAAAATTATTTTACATACTGACATGGCTGTTTGTTTCTTAAAGCATGTAAAAACATCTCTCCAAGAAATATATATTTTACCCAGTGAACTAAATAATAGCTGCCTGTTAAATTAAATACAAAAGTTAAGATAGGGTTCTCACTGAAAATACAGCAATGCATTATGTTCTGTTCAAAACACATGATACTATCAAAAACATACAAAGTCTTAACTTGACAAATGCCTATAATCCTTGATGAAGATAATAATAATAAAGACAAGTATGGAAAGCAGCAGAAACAGAAAGCTAATAGACAAAAATATAATCTTATCACCATTTGAATGAGATTTAAGATACTGGTGCTCAAAAGAATAGTATTCTACAACATATAGTTAAAAAGATTGAAGAAGTAGGTGTTTTGGTTAATAATTAAGTTATTCCTCAGTTGGACAGAGAACATCCTGATCATTCTATATTAAAAACATTGGGAAGTTTTAGCCTGAATCTTTTAAAGGACCGCTGCACACATTACACTTTTTACAGGTACATGTAAAATATTTTGCTTGTACCTTAGTAAGTTTTATAAAGTGAGCACATGGCTGGCATATGTCTGCTTATTTGTACAATATATGTTTGAACCAGGAAGACAGACTGGGCTGTGGTTCCCTGCTATGCACCTATATGACAGCTAACACACATGACCTCCTGATTTAATATGAAGGGACAAGAAAGCCAGAGAGTGCAGGAAAGTACAGTAATGCCAAATAATTTGTGTGAAAGAAAAAATGCATTTGACAACTACCCATTAAAAAAAATTTCACAAGCTGTGCTCTTGAATGTATACTTCTGGTCTCACCAAGTTTGAACATGATGGTAAGCCATTTGTAAATTAAATATTTTTGCCATGGGGATTTCAAAAACATGCACTGACAAATCAATTTTTCAAAGAAAGGGACAAATTAAAAACAAAGCAAACAAAGCTCTAATGTGCCACAAGGCAGCTACAAACAGTAACAGTGCCATATTAAACACATTAGAGATTTAAAACATTATGGAAATTCATTCACAGCAAATATTTAATAATTTGGTCCCCAGTGTAATTTTTGTTAAAGGTAATCCTGAAACCATAAATTAATATGTTGTTTCTAGCAGGAGCTAGCACACTCTTTCTTAAAAATATTTTTTCAATATTAATTATTTAGAAAAGATTCAGCACCTTAACACATTATTCCAAAGTTGAGGTGCTAAAGATTAAGATCTACCTCTATCAACTACAAAATAAAAGGATAAAAAGGACTGGAATTCAGTGCATCTATTCAAAAACTTTACTACAAAAGTTTGTTAACCAAAATTAACTGACAATTGTCTTTGCATTTAAGACATCCATTCCACTTAGCCGTCCAAGTCAACCTGTTCAAAATATCTTTTTTAATGTAAAAATAATCAAAACTGCATTAGTTCATTGTGCTGTTATCTAGTGAAGGCTTTCTTTTGGCCTAATTTTACAATGTCATCTGGAGATGGCGATTTGAAGTCAAAAGGTGTTATTGCTAATAAGGGTCCAGTTTCATTAATTTTTACTTCTCGCATTTGCCTACTGTATAAGAAAGCCTTATGAAGATTAACTGTTTGGCGCTTACATCTCTTTGGGGGATAATGAAGACACAGAGTTATAGCAAAGGCTGATGGTGTTGCAGAGAGGGCCTTTGCCCATGGAACAGTGCCTTCCAAAATATGTGACCTCATTTTCTTTTGGTTCTTCTTCCTTCCTTTAGCTACAAACATTTGTCGTCCTTGCTTTGAAAATAAAGCGTCTTTTTCTGGAAGTGAAGTGCCTGACTGTACATGTACATGTTGAGGAGATAATGTTGATTTTCTAATAAGAACACTTAGATCAATATCTGAATTCACAACTGCAGGTTGCACTGTTTTAGGTATACAAAGCTCAGAACAGCTGCTTGTTGTCCGAGGCTTATCCAATGCAGTTGATTTTGCAATTAAATCTGAAAGTGATAAACTCTCAAGCTCTTTTACTGGAGAAGACTTGGAGAATGTTAAGGAAGATAAAGATCCTGACAGATCTGTCATTCCAGATGAAATCTGAGGTTGGTTGGCTAGTTGGGACAATGGTGAAAGTTCTAATTCCAAGTCTGTGAAACCTGCTGATGGGTTGCAAATATCAGATAAGGATTGAGGCTTGTTTGAATTACTTCCTTGGTGTTCCTGTAGGAGATCAGCCAGTGATGGGCTTTGAGACACTGAAAATATTAAGCTATTCGCTTCTGAAGAGGTGCTGATATGCCCTTGGGAGCAGCCCTTACTGTGTGAAAATGAAGGGGCATTTTCAGATAGTTCAGCCTTTTTACTGAGCTGGTAACTTCTCTTGCTGTCCAGCATCAAATTTCCAAAAGCATTTATAAAACCAGGAGGATTATCCAAACAGCTTTTGCTATCATGACTGTAGTTTTTCTGGAGAAAAATTAATGCACTATCTTGGGCATCTGCTGAATCACCTGTTTCATTAAGCCTGACCAGGCCCTTCAAGTCAACTCCTTTAAATTCAGATGGGTTCCAAGACACATTTTCTGAAGAATTTTCCTTCAGCAATTCAGCCTCTGAACTAAAGCATGCATCACTTTCATTGCAAGATTTCCATCTTGTGCTGGTGCTGTCAGTTGGTGGGAGTGTTACCTGCTTGTTCAGTGGTTTATAAAGTGACTTATCATTGTCACTGAATGGTATAGGAAGAGCTCCCGAGGAGTTACAAAAGGATTTTTTCTTTTTTACTGAAGGTGTTTTGACATATTTGGGTCTGAAAACTGTTTTGTCACCTGGAGCTGAAGCGTTACAAGATTCAAAACTGACCACAGCGTTGCTGAGACTACAGCAGGACTTAGTGGTATCTAAAGTATTTTCAATGGAGTTAGCCAAGTTGTTAGTGCTAGAAAATATTTCTGAGCAAAATAAGCCTTACCTTACAAGAGCCAACAATTCCAAGAGAGACACAGGGTCAAAGCAAAAACAGTTCCAATTTGTGGCAAAGCAGGAAAGCCAACAGCAAAATAGAAAAAACACAGAAAGGCATTTAATTAACAAACATTATCAAAACTGTATTAGATGTGTAAATCATAGCCTCATGAATTCAGTTTACTAACTACGGTAAATATAGCACTACTAAGCTAGAATATGCCATGTTTTTCAATATTATCTCTCTAATTACACAATCTACATCAAATTTATAACTTAACCATTACATGATATAATTTTAATTCAAATTATTTAGTACAACATATACATAGTGCTAATGATATTTACAGATCCTTAGAAGACTACAGATTAACAGTACTTTAGGCATTCATCACAGGATGCCTCTATACAGTGGTGCCTTGCAAGACGAAAAGAATCCGTTCCGCGAGTCTCTTCGTCTTGCGGTTTTTTCGTCTTGTGAAGCAAGCCCATTAGCGGTTTAGCGGATTAGCGCTATTAGCGGCTTAGCGGATCAGCTGATAAGCGGCTTAGCGATCAGCTGTTAAGCGGCTTAGTGGATCAGCTGATAAGCGGCTTAGTGGCTTGGGGAAAAGGGGGGGGAAAGGAAAAAAACCCCGCAGGAACTCGCAAGACATTTTCGTCTTGCGAAGCAAGCCCATAGGAAATTCGTTTTGCGAAGCACCTCCAAAACGGAAAACCCTTTCGTCTAGCGGGTTTTCCGTCTTGCGAGGCATTCGTCTTGCGGGGCACCACTGTATATGTAGCTTTGTCATTTAAGTTATTAACAAACAGAAATGGTAAATAGAAGCAAAAAACTTCCTATACAGCTGCCCCTTATGCAAAAGAGCCACATAATAAATCACACAAAAATTAAACGTAAACATACCTTTTGTTGCCTTCCCTGCAATTACGGCATCCTCGTTCTTGATCTTATTTTGCTTATTGTCTTGGGCAAGTACAGAATCCAAAGCTTGTTGTACATCAAATTTACTGCTCAATACTGCTTCCACCATCACTTTCTCAGGCACAGACTTTCCAAGCACTTCTCTCATGCGATCAAGGCACAAATCAAGCTTAGCTAAAAAAAAAAAAAAAAAAAAGGACAAGGGACTCTCATATAATGGCTTTAAATAAATATGCACAGTTGCACCAAATTTTGAACCAGTGCTCTCTAAGTTTCCTTAACCAAATCACAACCATCTTTATCCAGGAACAAATAGCCATTCTCCACCCTTTTAGAGGAGTGGTCCCCAACCTTTTTGGTATGGTGACCCACAAGTCCAAATTTATTGTCACATCAATTTTGGACCTTATGACTTCGGCAGTTGTCAGTTTCATAATTTAAACTGTGTCTGCCTATTTTATAACAGTTATTTAAGAGATCTAAGCAAAAAGTAACTTAATGCCCCTATTTATGTGGAGTTTGTTGAAATGTTTATAGTACTTACAAAGTTATTCACAGATTTGTTTATGAGAATGTAAGAACACCAAACATCTGACTGTAGGCTATTTCTTAATAAGTTATTAAAAAATTCTTTTTAAAAGTATTGCTACAGAGTGTCAGATACAATGAAGTATGAATATTTTAAATTGACTTTATCATGAATAACATTATTTTTGAAGGTATCAATGGGAGGGCTGAGTTTGCATTTTACCAAACAGCATAATGTTGGGTTTGATGGTTGCCAGACATAGCCTCAGATCATTATTGATAAATAATTACTATATTTCATCCTTACAGTAGCCATTGCTGAAAAATCTCACAAAGATGCAGGCATTCCTTAATCAGCAAGTGCAAGACACTCAGTGATTACCAAGTAATTTTGGTAAAAATTCAGATCACCTCACTTCTGAAAAATTATATTTGAGGGTCCTAGCAAATGATAGTTCAAGGAATTGTTCTTTTTGCACAGTTTTGTGACATCAGCTGCAAATGGATTTCAAGCCCACTCAAAACTCTGTTTCTTCAGCAGAAAAATTTCAACCAAGCAAACTTAAAATCATCCTTGCCTAAACACGTAACTACGGTAACCATGGTTGCAGATCTAGTGATGGATCGCCACAAGCTGTCTTCAGTGACTGTTGCAGCTCCATCTCTGATGAGCAGGTACTGAAGGCAGCATCTGTGCATCAGAGGCAAGCTGCAGCTGTCACTCAAAACAATTCCCTGTGCAAGGACTTTGTGATGAACTATCACCAAATCAGTTGCCAGCCTCCAGAGAGCAGTACCCAAGTGTTAAAATGTAAGACTTGAGCCTTTTCAGTGTTCCCTTTTAAGTGTCAACACAGCATTATAACATGCCAACAAAACAAAAAGTTGAAATAGGTATTCTCATACCTGTTAAGAACAAGCAACTATAATTATTCTGGGTTTGAACAGGCTTTGTAACCCATTTGCAGGTCCAACACACAAGTTGGGAAGCACTGACATAGGACATTCTATTTTCCTAAGCAGAATAATGAAGTTGTCAGCTTTTAGGACTTTATAAGAGGCTGAATATTTATCAGCATAGGTATCATCAAGAAGACAAACAGCATTTACTCCCAAGGGGAAAATGCATATATTCAGCATTAAATAATTCAACATAATTTGATACGTCACTTAACAGTACATTTTAAGCATTTACAGATACTGTAATTAACTTCTAAGGTAAATCACATCTTCTCAGGCCTCAGGATTTAGCAGATGGTTAACCACAACTGCAAGCGCTGGAAGTGGGGTGCTAATAAAAATCTGCTAATTACAAGCCTTTAGCTCTAAGAACTGTGAATCGCTTATTTTAATTCAATACCCTTCTAAAAGCCTGTCCACCTACTCCAATCTACATGACAGAAGTACAGTGAAGAGTAAGCAGATGTGAAGAGGAGCATCCAAAAAAACTGAAAGAAATGTAAGGTTATCCAACAAAACTCTGAAAAAGGCATTAGTAGCTTGAGTGTCAATAGCTGAGCAATTGAGGAACTGTTTTCATGGTGATGACTACAGAAGGAGCTTGCAACACCAAATCCCCCAGTATGCTTCCCAGCCCAAGTGAGGCTGGTCTAACAGTAGCCCTCAGGCCCTCGTAACAGCCATCTCTGTACATCCATCTCTTTACTGCGGGTGGAGGGAGAACAGATGATGAGAGGGTAAGTGAAGGTAAAGGGAGTGATTTGAAGTCTCCATCAGTCCATCTTTCCACCCAATAGCCTCCACTCATTAAGTCTAATAACTATTATGCAAACTTCAGAATATGACATTACTGTCACATGCACATGTTCTGGTGGCAACACAATCACTTCAGTTTATTAAGTCAATGTACTATATATTTACAATTACCTTTTTCAGCACCTGTTAGCTGGTGACTTGGAATACAATCATTGCTATGTTCTGCTTCATAATCATATTTTTCTTCTAATGTCTCGGCATATGCAGTAGGATTATCGCGTCTTGAGTAAATGAATTGAGCAGCTATAACATAAACAAAGAGTTCAACAGTTTTGTTCAATTCCCAAATCCTAAGACGTTTTGTGCCATTTAATAAATCAGGCTATTTTTTAACATTTACAGCAAAGCAAATATTTGTTATTCTAACGATTCATAATATGCTTTTCTGTAAATGCTTCAGATTTCTATGGTATATCTTACTCTTGCCAATTCGGTTTCCTAGTATGATCAACACAAGTTGTGAGCAACTAGTTTGGCTTTAGAGGACTTCCATCTTTCACAGCAATTTGTTTTTAGCATAGTTATATGGCCACAGCAATATAAAATTAGTTCAGTTAATCATAGAATTGTAGAGTTGTAAGGGACCGTATCATCTAGTACAACCTCCTGCAATGCAGGAGTATGCAGTTGTCCCATAGGGAATCAAAGTGTTGTAAAAGTAGAAATACTGTACTGTACTGGAGATGAATTCTAAGCTTGCCTCTAAAAATGATCCTACACAAGTGACCTTAGCAACTTATGCCTCCACTCTCCCTTTCTTTCATTCATTTCCTTGCCAAACGATACACAATTTTTAATGTAGGCCAGTACATTCCCTCTAGGTCAGATGGCACACCATACATAAATGGCCAAATATTAAACTAACCTGTTGAAGGTGAAATGCAAAAATCATCCTCTACAGACTGTCCATAAAGATCATCTTCTTCAAAGTCTAAGAAGCAAGAAAGACAATTTCCTTACAACTGAATTTAAAGTTTTCTTATACACATTCTTATAACAAACATTAAGCGGGTGGCGTTGTGGGTAAAACCTCAGTGCCTAGGACTTGCCGATCGCATGGTTGGCGGTTCGAATCCCCACGGCGGGGTGAGCTCCCGTCTTTCGGTCCCAGCTCCTGCCCACCTAGCAGTTTGAAAGCACCCCTAAGTGCAAGTAGATAAATAGGTACCGCTTTATAGCGGGAAGGTAAACGGCATTTCCGTGTGGTGCTGGCTCGCCAGAGCAGCTTCGTCACGCTGGCCACGTGACCCGGAAGTGTCTGCGGACAGCGCTGGCCCCCGGCCTCTTAAGTGAGATGGGCGCACAACCCTAGAGTCAGACACGACTGGCCCGTACGGGCAGGGGTACTTTTACCTTTACCTTTAAGCTACATTATAGCTCAGGTGCATCACCTTCCAGGTCATTCTACCTGGCCCTCAGAACTTTCTGCAGACCATGTTCTCCTGAAGCCATATCCTCATTGGCCATGCTCTGTGTCCTTCTTGTGCACTTTTGCCTGGCTAGAATGTGTCCTTGAACAGTGATAATGATAGAGGTGTGCAGAAATGTCAGACTCTTGAGATTAGGAGGGTTTTATTTCCTAATAAAGTAATTAAATTATGATTTTAGGCCTCAAAGATGAAACACAAGGAAATCAAATTCCTAAATTTTTAAAGTCAAAGCTTTAAAAATATTCTTCTTTAGAATAATTGAAAAGGAAATATGTGAAAGATACATAACATGAAGGCATATGACAACAAAAGGGCAGTAATTAATCCAGAGTAATGTTAAAAATAGAGTGTGCAGGTAGGATATAGAATATTACTATACTATAGAGGAATCATGTTGGATTTGCCCATCTGATCTTAAATTATTAAAGATATTTCTAAATAAAATTTAATCATTTACAGCACAACCCTAACCATATCTATTCAAGAAGGGTAGTAGTCAAAATGTTCTGCAAAACATAGATTACAAATAAAATCCCTTATAATTCATATATACTGAAATGCCTATTCTGACCTCATATGAAAAGATAGTATGTCATAGATGTATGGCACATAGCATGTGCCAGATTTTATCTTGTTGATATTATTGCAGTTTTTATACAGTGGTTTTTTTTCATTATAGGTGTGCAGCTCTACAGTACTTAACACTAATACGTATATTCTCACATTTGTTTTAAGTACAGTACTTATAAGCTCTACATGAATTGTGTGATCACATAAAATTGATTAAGCACTATGAAAAGGTTTCTGGGGAACATTTAAAAAGAAGTTTTTTGAGGAACCTAAACTTGGACCAGTGCAATACATGGATGCATCTTCAGCAGCGTAAAATCAGATTGTTTATATACATTGTGATTATGTGTTTCTACACTGAAACTGGCAGGATTTTCCAACAGCGACCAATCAACCGCCCCTGCTAGCAGGCAGATTGTGCATCATGTGTGTTCCTTATACTGAGGAAGTGGAACCTGTCGCCTTCCAGATGTTGTAAGGCAGCAGCTCCTACCATCTGTTACCACAGCGTATGCTGCCTGGGGATGCTGGGAGCTGGTGCCCAGCAGCAACTGGAGGGGCTGCAGGTTCCCTATCCTTGGCTTGCAGTACTCCAGAGGTCCACCATATCGAACCACGAAGGGTCCTTACTTCTTGCCAGTTCTTGAACCCCTTTAACCCTCATCAGCCATCCCCACTACCACACACACTGCGGCAGCGTCCCTTTCAAAATGGTTGCGCCTCTGTCAACAGTGAGGACCACAGGTTTCAGGCTCCCACCAGGTATGCCAACAGGTGTGGTGAGCCGTGGGGCAAAACAGGAGGGAAGGACTCCAGCTCCTCTCCAACGAAACCCGACCCGCCTCGCACCAAGCGGCCTCCCCACGCTTAGCCATGCCTTCTCTTTCTTGCCCCCCCTCCCGCCGTGCCTCTCGGCTCCCTCCGCCGCCGCGACCCCCTCAGCGCCTCGCTCGAGACCCCCCGTCGCCAGCCAGGTCGTGGGCGTGCTATTGACGTCACTGCCACTCTCTCCGAGACTCTCCCCTCCCTCCGCCCCCCCCCCCATGCCGAGCCGGGCTAGTCTGTCGTGCGAGGGGCGGGGTGGGCCTTCCCGCGAAGTTGAATGCGGAGGAGCAGCTCTCCCTTAACACAACAGCTCTCTACCTTCGTCGTAGTTATAGCCACGCACGTTCCTGTGCCGGGCCATGTCGAGCGCGCCGATGGCGACCTGAGGTAGTTGAGAGAGGCTAGGCCCCCTTGACACCCCCTCAGACGAGGCGTCTGTAGCGCCCCCGGGTCACCATGTTGTTGGTTTGGGCCTACCAGTGCTGCCGCTACCCCGCCCTCCTCGTAGGCAGCTTTTCGCGCATGCGCTACGCTGTATATTTTTCTCTCTCCTCCCCTCACCCAGACCCGGTACGCGCAAGCGTGTGTCAGGCTGGAGTGAAGCGGCAGGTGGGGGGGGGCGTGACGTACTGCCCCCGTCCGGCCTTGGCGTGTTGTTGTTTGTTCGCGCTTTAGCTGGGCTACGTCAGCTAAACTGTCCGATCGCCGAAGCGTCAAGCGGCCAATCAGAGCCAGGCCCGCGATGACCAGGCCCGCCCTCTACTTAAAGCCGCGTCAGCGCCGCGTGCGTTGCGAGTTGAGTGGCGGGCTGCTAGCTATGGTCTTTCGACGCTACCCTCTGAATTAGGCGGGCTCACACGAGGGAAAACACCTCCTGCTTCAGTATTAATTCCTAATGCTCATTCCTGCGCTCCACGTCAAGAATTAGGAGTTCCCACGACCAGACGTGTGTCCTTCAGAGTTAATGTGGCCCTCGCAAGGTTTTGATTTTGTTTCTTTTTGCATGTTATGTGTGGCTACGTTGGTGGCAGACGAGCCAGTCAAGTTGCCCTTGACTAGCCAAATAAGAGGTGTTTTATTACAGTTTATGACGTTTCGAAAATCATTGCCTTCCTCTAACCAGCTGAGGACAACGGAAATGGTTTACCCTCCGGATGAGGTGGGTTAGGCTGAAAAAGATGACTGTCTCAAGGCCACCCAGCGAGCTTGGTGACTGAGGTAGCAGAGCACACTTCCCTGGGAGTCTTACTGGACTCAGTGGTGCTTACTTCTGAGTAGACATGTACAGCGGTACTTCAGTTTACAGACTCTGCTAACCCAGAAATAGTACCTCGGGTTAAGAACTTTGTTTCAGGATGAGAACAGAAATCGTGCGGCGCATTGACAGCAGGAGGCCCCATTAGCTAAAGTGGTGTTTCAGGTTAAGCACAGTTTCAGGTTAAGAACGGACCTCCAGAACGAATTAAGTACGTAACAAGAGGTACCACTGTATATGGCCAAATCATGGAGGGAGATTTGAAAGCAAGTGCCCTCATTCTAGCCTTAACACTTAAGTTTTAGCTACACTGGTTCTCCCAATAACAAAGTCCAAAGTGGCTACTATAATTTTTTCAGTTTTATAAATGGCAGTTGTACTGGTGGTAAAGAATGGTGCTTTGCTCACAGAGCCCTCATTTCAAATCTCTTTGTAAAAAAATAACCTATGTTATGCAACGAGGCTTTAGCTTATGTTCTCTGTTTGTAAAATGCTCGTGATAGTGCTTTACATAGTTACTCCACCAAAAAGCCGGTGGGGGGAGGGGGATGTTTTCATCTGGTGCAGAAAGGATAAAATTTTTGGTGCCATGCAAGCTCTGGGGAAGGAAATCCACCAAATGGGTGCAACCCACCTTACCTCAAATGGGGGAAGGGGGTTGGAACAAATCTCCAAAGAGAAGGGAGAAAGATCCTAAGGAACATAAAACTTTAACAGTAAACACCAGCTTCATTCAATGAATGTGATAACCAGCGGGAAAGAACTAAATCATCAGTTTGTTAGCATGTTTAAATTTCACAAGTCCTAAACATAAAGAATCTATTACTCATTGCTAGAACAACTGTGCTATCTTTGAATAACTAATCTATGACAGATGTATTCTCCATTTTATAAATCTACTTGAAAACCTATCTGATAAAAGATCATCCCTGCAGTATAATGATTTTGTTTATATCAATGTGCTTGTCACTCTGCCCTTGAAAAAAATTATCGTAATACCACAAAGTTGGGTGGATATTGAAAATATGCAAGGCCTTGATAATGAGACACACTGCCCACAACTTTTAAGAAAAACATGCTAAGGAGAAAAAACAACAACCCTTCAGGCAATTTTCTTGTAGTGTTAAAAACAGTATGTCTAAATATTTCAGTATGTGTGTCTGTGACCAAAAGAGAAATGGGTGGGTGTCACATGGTGCTTGTTTCCATATAGGAAAAATGCCACATGTAAAGTAAACCTTTCTGGAAGTCTTCATAACTCTCACGGTTACAGAGATGAGGATAAATACTTCACCCCTACAAGCTAGTCTATTTTGGCTTCAGTTCTATTTAGTTATCATCATCACATCTTTACATGGTGAACAGTTCCTGTGCAATGATGGACAGATACAGTATTCTCTTTGTTCATCTGCCCACTGTACTTTTCTAATGAGGGCTCTTGCTGTCCCACTGGGCTGCATACACACAAAACTTTTAAAGTACGTGGCTTCCCAGATAGAAACCTGGATACTAATTTACCCTCTTCCCTGAGCTACAAGTCTCTGCAACCATAACAAACTTCAGTTACTGGGATTCTTTGTGGGAAACCATGTCCCAAGTCAGGAGGCTTTGTTTTGAGGGAAAGCTTGTGGGGGGTCTTTTTGTGTCTGATGTTATGCTTCCTGCCACATACACAAGCTCCTGCATGTGGTGTTTGTTCTAGTGGGATCTCTATTGACATTACTATGTTCTGAATGGGTTTGCAAGGGTCCTCGCACTGAGGATGTGATGCCACCGAATATAACCACTCCCACATTCCTCCAATGCCAGATGTCACACTTGCCCATTTGTAGCCAGTGGAAGGCCTTGCATGGTTTTACTGTGCCACCTGCATTTCTCGAACCACTTACAAGTGCAGGCTTTCTGGGTGCACCAGTCCAAGTTAGTCTGGCAAACTTACGTGAATAGATTGCCAACAGGAGGCCAATAAACGGCTGTTTAATCATTCTGCAAATACGTCTATCTAATTGTGCTCACAGGTACACAACTATCGAAATATACAAAAAAATAAAAAAATTGTCCAGTAGCACCTTAGAGACCAACTAAATTTGTTCTTGGTATAAGCTTTCGTGTGCATGCACACTTCTTCAGATACACTGAAACAGAAGTCACCAGACCCTTATATATAGTGGGAGGGTGGGGTGGGGTTTTTCTCAGGAGGGTAGTAGGAGATGGGTGATTGACTCAATGGGTACACAACTATGTTATAAAAAGCTTGTTGAACTTTGATGTACGCATAAGGCCACCGGTCACTTCCTTCAGTGGTGCTGCACTGTTTCACAGAGATGAATGAGGGCCTCCACCCCACCTGTGGACATTCTGGTTTACATCAACCTTTTCCTACATCAGAGGTGGGGAACCTTTTTCGCTCCATGGGCCAAATCCTTATCAAAATTAGCCTCATAGGCCAAATTTGACACGTGGGTGGTTTTGTCCACGTGTTAATCGCCTGACATCACAATGGCATCAGGCTGAAGGTGCTTTGAAGTCCTGAAGTTGGGACTTCAAAGCACCTTGCAAGGCAGAGTTAAAAGTCCCACCCCCTCCATTTTAGCAGAGGATTCTATGCAAACCTCTTCCTGAACCAGTCTACACAGTCATGTACCACTGTTTGCCCCATAATCAAGCAAACAAATTTGGAAATCTGAATGGCCTTAAACTGTCAGCTCAATTTCAACATTCTATAACCGATGATAGGGTCAGACTGCTAATAAGATAATAAAGCATGCTAAAATGTACTAAAAAAGCTAATCAGGGATAAACAGTAATGAACATTAATTGTCACATCACTCAAAAGCAACATGTTTTAATTTAAAAGCCATGAAGATTCCAATTATGTTTTCTGAGGAGTTTGCAAAATAAAATGGCTTCACCCCAAATAATATTAAAGCATTATTTTGCATTGAAAATGCTTTTTTAACCAGTTTTTTTTAACTTCAGCAAAATCTGGAGATATTACAGATATTAAATTAACCCGTATTCTATAACAGTTGTTTGGTTAAGTATCTGTAATCTCTTTTCATTCTTTTTGCTACACAAGTCAAAGTTTGAAGTATTGTATCTAATCAGTCACACATAACACACCATGTCTTAAGCAGGCAACTGGAAAGTAAAGAGACCATAGAACAGCCTTTGTTTAAATATTTAATTGATGCACCTTGACCATAATGTAAATAAGGAAATATTAAGTTGTCAATTAGAGATAATTGTCATAAGATAAGAATTACTATTGGGAGCAATTCCAGTGATTTTTTTCCGCCAAGAATGCATGTACTGGGCACAATGCTACTTAATTTGGCAACTGCTGTTAAACTGAGATCTAACAAAGTAACACACATAAATAAATCAATGAGACTGGTGTTTAAAAGCAATGTAATGCCACTGTGGTCTACAGTGGTACCTCTGGTTACCTCCGGAGGTCTGTTCTTAACCTGAAACTGTTCTTAACCTGAAGCACCACTTTAGCTAATGGGGCCTCCCGCTGCCCCCACGCCACCACCGCGCGATTTCCGTTCTCATCCCGAGGTAAAGTTCTCAACTCTAGGTACTACTTCCGGGTTAGTGGAGTCTGTAACCTGAAGTGTCTGTAATCCAAAGTGCCTGTAACCGGAGGTAACCACTGTAATGGATATATCTTTGACTTTTCCCTTGTCTCCAGTGCTCTTCAGAGTTAGAAAATCATTACTACAAATAGGCAGGCTTTTCCTCCTATAACTGTTTTTGAAGTGAAAATGAGATAATCACTACAAACTACTGAGTAAAAGAAAAGGAAAGTGGAAATATCAGTTGGTTGGTTGATTGATTGATTGATTGATTGATTGATTTCTGACTATACATGCCTAGCTACGATTGAGTACAAGTCCTAGAGAGTTCAGTGAAACTTAGCTCCCAGGTTAAGAATGCATTTGATTATATTTCTCGACTTGATTATGTTTCTAGACCTTAGTATCAGATTCCTTGGTCTTTACTGCTACTTCCGTTACATAAGTGCCAAATATATTGCAAGATCAGTAGCTTGTTAAGGGTGCTGGGAATTGTAACTCCATGTCTGAGTAATAAAGTGGTAGATTGGGACTATATCACTCCAGATGGTTGATGGGGATGCCTTTAAACAAATCCTTTCAAGTAAAAGAACTAAGCACACAATTATTTGAATGCTGCCCTATGTGAAAATAAATCTCCCTTCCAATAGGGGATCTCAATAACATCCCAGTAGCATCTACAGTGTTACCCCAGGTTAGGTACTTAATTAGTTCCAGAGTTCCGTTCTTAACCTGAAACTGTTCTTAACCTGAAGCACCACTTTAGCTAATGGGGCCTCCTCCTGCTGCTGCTGCGCCACCGGAGCACAATTTCTGTTCTCATCCTGAATCAAAGTTCTTAACCCGAGGTAATATTTCTGGGTTAGCGGAGTCTGTAACCTGAATCGTATGTAACCTGAAGCATAACCCAAAGTACCACTGTATTCCACTTTCTTAAGTCTGCAGAATTCCTGACTACAGTAGGGAAACCCACATATAACGTGAACTTCTACTGTACACAATAAACTATATTGAACAAAACTGATAACATTTCTTAGAGGAGGCAATGAATATGGCCACCTCTAATGAGAGCAAAGTCTCTTCTCTCAGTGCACTGTTTTTAAAAACTGTTTTATATCCCAAAGCATACTAACTGCATGTTCCCCTTGAACTCAATAGGACTTACTTCTGCATTGGCATGTTTTAGAATTGGGCTGTTAGCCAGTTAACTTCTGTGCTCCTCCGATTTGAACTTTTTTGCTCATGCAGTATTAAGCAGATTAACAAAGGGTGACAAGGTTAAGCACTTGTAAAAACTATTTACACATGATCTCTTTAGATCAGCAGCACTGGGAGAAAACTTACACTGGGGTAGTGAATGGATGGAAGTGTTACTTCAGAGTAACACATTTTCTGCAGATGAGAATGCTTAAATTGAAAGTCTGTTCAAGGGATATGCATATGTGATTATTTATAGTCTCTTGCTGAATGCGCCTCTCGCACACTTCATTCTGTGAACAAATAGTTTTCCTGGGTTAGAAAAGTGTGTGTTTGTAAGCATTGTCACATGGCAAGTTGTACCTGCTGAGAGGAATAAGGAACAACAGCTTGTTCCCTCCTAGGAATTAAGAGGTATAGTTATGGGCTGGCTATGTTGTTTTCCGCTTCACAACAAACCCTTGATTCTTTCATGACAGGAGATTTAAATATTTTATAGCATACTGTGCAAAACAGTCAATAGCTCATGCTCCAGTACATTGCTGAATGAATTAATCTGATCAATAGGTGAGATGCCAAGGACTTGTGTTTTGCCAAGCAGGCAAAATGTGGGTTTTGTTTCCAGATCATGGGATGGAATGAACACACACTTAATCTGAATGAAAAACAATATTCTGTTGATATGCTCTCTGATATTGGGAAATAATACGTGAGGTTTCCTATTTAAAACAGAGTTCTTATGAATCGCCAGATCTGCTCAGAAAATTATTGTTGCCAATATTGGATGAGCTTCTCTATTCTGATACGTTTCTTCCTCCTCACCTTAATTTTGTTTGTAGACTCCTTGAGGTAGGGAACATCTTTTGATGACATTACTGACACACTAATGGCACCATTTATTTATTTTTAATGTCTGCTGCTTTCCTCCTCTTACTCCTGCCGTGCAGAACAGATACAGTACAAGCTATATAACAGTTCTTCTGTTAAGATTATAAATACTTTGCATTTCAAATAGATCCCTTAAGTGGTATGAAAATTCATGATACTTAAATAATAGAGATCAGGAGGAATTGCCTGCCTGTTTTGTTATCCTTTATTTCCGTATCTTCAAAATGCAAGGAAGAAGGGCATCGGAACTGGAAATTATATTTTATAGACCTTTACAGGGACAGTATTGCAAAATTATGTGGCAGCTCTTCTTTCTTGTTTTGTTTTGGATTTTTTTTAATAAAAAAAAGGCCCAACAATTAGCTTTCTCCAAAGCCATTACCAATATAAGCTGCCTGAAGGTCTGAGATGTTTTCACGGTAACACTGAATGTACCTCTCAACAAGAAGCAGTTTTTATAAAGCTACAGCCGCCTTTTGTGGTTGGAATCGGGGGGGGGGGGGGACTTTAGAAATGCACCAGGTGTTATCTTACAACACAAAATGTAGGAGATACAGCAACCCCATGTGCCAAAAAAATATATATACTGTGTATATATATAGCAAGACACAGCTCTCTCTATTTTCCGCCTATTAAACCCTCAAGATTCTGGAACTCATTCCTGCAGGTGGGCTGGATGAGGTTGAACTGAAACTTAACCCATGGTGGAAGTCCTGTGGGTTGGAAAATTGGCCAGTCTAGATGGAGGTGTACAACCAGTTCTGGGCGGGTTTGCAGTCCCCACGGAAAGGCCAAACTTGCAGCCTTGTGGTTCTAGATTAGTCACTATTTGTGGAGGTTCAGGTGACAGTGGTAACCAGGGAAGTCTTTTTAGTAGTGTAGGAATTGCATATTTAGAGCACTTGAACCTTAGCCTTAGTTACTCATTCACCACTTATATGCAGGCTTAACTACTACAGTTGCACTTGTGGAGTTGCCTTTGAAGACAATTCAGAAGCTTCAATTGGTGCAAAACCGGCACTTGGTTGTTGTCAGAGGCAAGAAGATTAGAGCACGCAACAACAGTCATGCACCAGTTGCTGTTTCTGGGCCCATTTCAAAGTGCCTGTGTTAACCTTTAAAGCCCTAAGCAGTTTTGGACCAGATTAACATAAGGACCTCCTTCACCCGTACTATCTTATCCATTTGCTGAGATCTTCAGAGGCCCTGCTCGTTTGCCTGCTGCAAGATTGATTAGGTTAGACTGAGCAAGAGATAAAGGGATGTATCCAAAGAATACATTGTGTGACTGAAACTACTTTCACACACACAAGGTAACTTCCACACTCTTCTCCCCCATGCACCCCGCAAATCTGCTCTGGGGGTTCCCCCTAAGCCTCTGATTTTGGGGAAACAGGTGCACTGAGTGGAGGGAGAAGAAAGGGAGAAGTTCCACTGAATAAGCAGAGGTGGTTCCGCTCTTGGAATGACTTTGTTGGATACAACATAGAACCTTCTCCATGTCAGCCCCACCGTTTTGGAACTCTACTGCGTTTGGCCTCTGCAGTACATCCCTTCCAAATGAGTCTTAAGAATTAGCCTTTTCTATGGCACATTCTAATGATGGAGCCAGCAGTGAAACGCTGAGCTGTTTCACAGACAAATTCCATGGAAGTTTATTTGGAAGTAAGACCCATTAAGTACAAAAGGCCTTATTTCCTAGAAATTGTTTAGAAGATTTGTATAATTAACATGTTTTATGGAAATATTTGAATTAGGCTTTAGGCCTATCTTATAAGCTGATCTCTTAAAAATGTCGGCTATGCTTGATCTCATCATTTTAATGTACCTTAATGCATCTTATTTTGTTATGTATGCTGCCTTGTGTTGTAAAAACAAGAACAAAAAGGAATCCTTTCCAGACTGGACTACTTTGGCATACCCTGCAACATGTTGAGTCCCAAAACCTGGATACATATCTTCCCATCCGTGCTCCTATGTGAGTCATATGACCTGCACAATATTACAGAGCCTAAAAGATGTGCTTTTGGTGGGCCATGCTTTCTCAGTGCCAAAATAACACATGTTTTGGGGCACCATGTGGAAATCTTGGTGTGAAATCGCACAATATCACAGTGCCCAAAGTGGCCACGGTGCTCTTGTGGGAAACAATTGGATGTCCTGTTGCAGGAGTGGACTTGCAATTCTGTATATTTAAATACTCTGAAAACCCCTGTTAAAAAACAACAGCAATGTATAAGAAAAACCTCCATATCAAAAACTATAATTCCTAAACTTTTCTCCCTGTCAATTTTCAGACAGGGAGGTGAACCACCAGGAGCATTCAGCCTTTAGATAATCCTAACTGCATTAAAGTACATGTTTGCTTTTTCCCCCTGCACACTTGAATGCAGATGGAAGGCAAACATTTGGGCAAATGGAAAGCTTATTTCTAATAATCGGGAAGAACGGTCATGTGTTGCATTCAGGGTGGGTTTGATTTAAATCAAATTGATTTAAATCATGATTTAAATCACTAGTCAGTAAGACTTGATTGAAATCACTAGTCAGTAAGACTTGATTGAAATCATTTTTTTACAGAAAGACCCATTCTTACTGGTATAATCTTAATATTTACAACCAGAGGAAGTTTTCATTTTTGGAATAATAAATTTTCAGAGTAATTTTTACAGTTCTATAAAAAATTACCGATTTGGTTATACTATTAGAAATACATAGACTGATAATTATGAAATTATTGTGAGGTTTAATAAGTTAACTGCTTTTATTTGGACAACTTTTCTGCTGTACTTTATTGGAAGGAGAAAAACAATCATTTCCTTAATAACAATTTAAACAATTTATTTAACTAAAACAATAACATTATAGCATATGTATCCATGTTTGTTAACTGATGTAGTTAAACAATTTAAAAAAAAAACAACTTAGACTGAGTTTAAGCACACATGAAAAACTTAAAACAAATCCTTATTTACTGATGCATAGCCTTTGGACTATGTTGTTGTTTAGTCGTTTAGTCGTGTCCGACTCTTCATGACCCCATGGACCAGAGCACGCCAGGCACTCCTATCTTCCACTGCCTCCCGCAGTTTGGTCAGACTCATGTTTGTAGCTTCGAGAACGCTGTCTAACCATCTTGTCCTCTGTCGTCCCCTTCTTCTTGTGCCCTCAATCTTTCCCAACATCAGGGTCTTTTCCAGGGAGTCTTCTCTTCTCATGAGGTGGCCAAAGTATTGGAGCCTCAGCTTCACGATCTGTCCTTCCAGTGACCACTCAGGGCTGATTTCCTTAAGAATGGATACGTTTGATCTTCTTGCAGTCCATGGGACTCTCAAGAGTCTCCTCCAGCACCACAGTTCAAAAGCATCAATTCTTCGGTGATCAGCCTTCTTTATGGTCCAGCTCTCACTTCCATACATCACTACTGGGAAAACCATGGCTTTTACAATACGGACCTTTGTTGGCAAGGTGATGTCTCTGCTGTTTAAGATGTTGTCTAGGTTTGCCATCGCCTTTCTCCCAAGGAGCAGGCATCTTTTAATTTCGTGACTGCTGTCACCATCTGCAGTGATCATGGAGCCCAAGAAAGTAAAATCTCTCACTGCCTCCATTTCTTCCCCTTCTGTTTGCCAGGAGGTGATGGGCCCAGTGGCCACGATCTTCGTTTTTTGATGTTGCGCTTCAGACCATATTTTGCGCTCTCCTCTTTCACCCTCATTAAAAGGTTCTTTAATTCCTCCTCACTTTCTGCCATCAAGGTTGTGTCATCTGCATATCTGAGGTTGTTGATATTTCTTCCGGCAATCTTAATTCCGGCTTGGGATTCATCCAGCCCGGCCTTTCGCATGATGAATTCTGCATACAAGTTAAATAAGCAGGGAGACAATATACAGCCTTGCCGTACTCCTTTCCCAATTTTGAACCAATCAGTTGTTCCATATCCAGTTCTAACTGTAGCTTCTTGTCCCACATAGAGATTTCTCAGGAGACAGATGAGGTGATCAGGCATTCCCATTTCTTTAAGAACTTGCCATAGTTTGCTGTGGTCGACACAGTTAAAGGCTTTTGCATAGTCAATGAAGCAGAAGTAGATGTCTTTCTGGAACTCTCTAGCTTTCTCCATAATCCAGCGCATGTTTGCAATTTGGTCTCTGGTTCCTCTGCCCCTTCAAAATCCAGCTTGCACTTCTGGGAGTTCTCGGTCCACATACTGCTTAAGCCTGCCTTGTAGAATTTTAAGCATAACCTTGCTAGCGTGTGAAATGAGTACAATTGTGCGGTAGTTGGAGCATTCTTTGACACTGCCCTTCTTGGGGATTGGGATGTAGACTGATCTTCTCCAATCCTCTGGCCACTGCTGAGTTTTCCAAATTTGCTGGCATATTGAGTGTAGCACTTTAACAGCATCATCTTTAAAAAATTTAAATAGTTCAGCTGGAATACCATCACTTCCACTGGCCTTGTTATTAGCAGTGCTTTCTAAGGCCCATTTGACTTCACTCTCCAGGATGTCTGGCTCAAGGTCAGCAACCACACTACCTGGGGTATACGAGACATCCATTTCTTTCTGGTATAGTTCCTCTGTGTATTCTTGCCACCTATTCTTGATGTCTTCTGCTTCTGTTAGGTCCTTTCCACTTTTGTCTTTTATTATGGAAATCTTTGTACGAAATGTTCCTTTCATATCTCCAATTTTCTTGAACATCTCTGGTTTTTCCCATTCTATTGTTTTCCTCCATTTCTTTGCATTGCTCGTTTAAGAAGGCCTTCTTGTCTCTCCTTGCTATTTTTTGGAAATCTGCATTCAATTTCCTGTATCTTTCACTATCTCCCTCGCATTTTGCTTGCCTTCTCTCTCCCGCTATTTGTAAGGCCTCGTTGGACAGCCTTTGGACTATAATGTAACTTAAATAGAAAATTATCTTTAGAAAGATTTTTCCCCAAAAAGCATTTTATTTTAAAAATCCGATTTAAATCAAATCCTTTCCCCCCCCCTCTTTGATATATATATTTTTTAATCATTGATTTTTATCCACCCTGGCTGCATTGGTCTTTTCAAAATTTTAGAAATACTAAGAATGAACTTTACTGAAAGCTGTTATGGAAACCTACCTACACATATGCATGAGATACTTTTGGACATAGTTAAAAATATGTCAGAAACACCCATCCTGACAGAAAAGGTCAAGAAGTTAGCTATTTGAAAGACGCTTACTTTCCTCCCACCCCTGAGCAGTAGTCAGGATGCAAACCCAAGATTTGAATTAAAAGAAAAATGTTTTCTACAGTATCTTCTGATAATGAAGAAAGTATCATCTGAAAGAAGGGCTGCAACAGACTCTCAGCCCAAGGCATTTTTGCTTTGTTTTTATTGCTATCATGCCTTTTGCATAAACTCCCCAGCACCATCTCACTATTCCTGCCAACACTTTTCTTATGAGTCAGCTGAAAACCAAAAGTCTGTTGTTTTTTAAAAAATGGAAACACATTTCTAGGCCACCTTTATTGTACAAATGCAGGTGATAGATGTGAAAGCCTATTTTCCAGGCTCAGCTCTTGTCTAACCAAGACCTACTGTATATTCTGGGGTGGTCACGACTGCATTTGTCTGGCCATTGGAGGTGGTAGGGATAGTCCCTCCTAAACGGAAACAATGACTAACAGCTGCACTAGTGGGTCAGATCCCAAAGGCACTCCAATCATAACCAGAAGACTACTGGTGCATAACTTCCAGGTGTCTAATCAAAACTGTAGAAGCTACAAGAATATGACTACTATAGTCCTCCGCTTTAGTAGCAACAAATGATTTGGCCCAAGTCAGCAGATGATTTGGCCCCATTACAGATGATTTGGCTTAACATCAGAATCATCTGAATAATGATGAAAGTTGCGGTAGCTGCAAAGGAAAGAATTAGGAATAGTGAGGGTGGGAACTTGAGTGCTAGTTGCCTTAGAAGAAGCAACTGATGAAACTGCTTGAAACAGTATTTCGACTGAACACAGTGGGAGAAGCCACATAGTGCTGCTTGGATTCAGGTCTCAGTAAACAGCTAGCTTCTCATCTAGCCCCAGACTTCAGAGCCATTATACTATTGAAGTTCAGGCAGGGCTATGTCGCAGGGAGGTACTCATCTAATGCCAGTGCTCAGCTTTCTGATAGCATTGTGCTAAGAGATGGATTTCCCAGTTGTTTTTCCCTTCCTGCAATTCTTAACAGGCCCCATCTTGTTCCTTCTAATACTGAACTTGGTAGTCCCATCATTGCTACCACCGGGGAAGTGAAATGTGGCCAACCACAGACAAGTTAAGCACTTGAATAGGTGGGAGCAATGAGGACTATTCTTCCCCTTTATTCAGACAAATCATCCTCTCTCAGCTATAGAAGCAAAAAAGGGCTAGGTTTGTGCTAGGAGCCAGCTCTAAGCCTGAACCTTTTTGCACCATATAACACACATCCAAGCTCCACACCATGGCATGTCCTTGGGGTGAAACTTGAAATTTTGCAAATTTCTTCAGTAAAGCATCTTAAAAGTATGTTTCTGGGTGTGAGGAATTCAAATCTGCTATATTTCTTTGTTATTGAACAACATTTAGCTTGGTAAGTCTTTTTTGATGAAGAAGCACCACGGCTTTTGGATAACCAAAGAATTTTAATTTTACCTTCTGAAAATGTCAGGTAATGCTAAATGCTACTACCACTAAATAATTATATTCATATATAATATAACTGCAAGTACTTGGCAATCGTTTTTAATGATTTCTGTGCAGTTTTACACACATTTTATTTACCAGCAGAACTAAATTATTAATTTAAGCAAAATATCTTTTGAATTCCCAAGTCATGTTACAGCTTTTCAGCACCCTTCATCTTTGGAATTTGAAAGTTGAAAAATTCAACACACCCTATTGCTACAAGGTTCCTGTTGCAGACTGATTGGAGGTAAAGTGAAGGGGAACACTCATGTTAGGGGCTGGGAATGCACCAGAAGATTCTGAGTGCCCAGCTGTTCATTGTTGTTTAGTCGTTTAGTTGTGTCCAACTCTTCATGACCCCATGGGCCAGAGCACGCCAGGCACTTCTGTCTTCCACTGCCTCCCGCAGTTTGGTCAAACTCATGCTGGTAGCTTCAAGAACACTGTCCAACCATCTTGTCCTCTGTCATCCCCTTTGCCTTGTGCCCTCCATCTTTCCCAACATCAGGGTCTTTTCCAGGAAGTCTTCTCTTCTCATGAGGTGGCCAAAGTATTGGAGCCTCAGCTTCAGGATCTGTCCTTCCAGTGAGCACTCAGGGCTGATTTCCTTCAGAATGGATAGGTTTGATCTTCTTGCAGTCCATGGAACTCTCAAGAGTCTCCTCCATCACCATACTTTTAACATACTTTTGAGATGCTTCACTGAAGAAATTTGCAAAATTTAAGCTGTTCATAGTATTACTCAACTACACTGGAAAGACAGATCCTGAAACTGAGGCTCCAATACTTTGCAGGGTATGCCAAGGTCCTGTACATACAAAGATCATCAACATCCAACACTGTTGCTTTTCCTATACAGTATTTACCGTAGGGCAGTGTTTGGTTTGTTCTGTGGTTTACCAAGCTTGTGTGAGGCAATGGCAAAGTCTAATGGGACTGGCTGGCACAAAGTGATAATGTGACGTAGAGCATGCCCCAGCATTCTCTGCAACTCACAAGTCTTCCTCAGCAGGCAAATTGAAGAAGAATTAATTGAGGGCACAAAGCTTGAAAGCCAGTGCTATAAAGCAAACAAAATAAATGACATCCACCATGTTAGTCAAACAGACCAGCACATTCTGTATGAGACTTTTCTTCAGTATATAATATATCAGGACATGACACTTTAGTCAGTTGACAACTGTACTACGTTCTGTATTCATTTGGTGTCTATAAGGGCCTCTGTTCACCAACACAGAGGGTGGTCAGTATTCCTTTAGGTGAAGATCAACTAGTTCCTCTGTTCTAAACAGTTAAGAATAGAGTTGCTTATAAAATGTAGGAAATGCTTTCTGGAATTTAGCCAATAAAAGTTTTTGATCTTAGCTTGATCTTTATTTTCACTAATCCTTTTCTTTTTGTGTTCTTTCCTTTTGTTGATCTGCCAAGATTCTGTCACTCTTGTTCTTCCTTCTCTCTCTGTCTTGGTCTTGCTCTAAAAATATCTTTGCTAAGTTTAATTAAACATTTTACCATATTTGCCAAGAGCAAGTTCCCATAGTGACATAGAATTTCTCATCGAAGTGCCCTGGAAATTAATAAGGGTTTATTGTAACCTTTAGATTTTATTTTACAAGATTTTCATATTTTTCAGGGGTAGGGTGGGGTGGGGAATAGGCTCCTTACATCACTCCAGGCAGTTTCTGTTATGATCCCCATGTCAGTCTCCAGGCTATTATTGTTATTCATTTATTTATTGCCTGACCTCTGCCCTAAGGTCCCAGAGTGAGTCACAACATCAAAATACAACGTTAAAAAACAGTTTATAACTTACAAGCATAAAAAATACAATCCTAAAAACAGGCACCCCAAGTGTCATGTTACAATCCTAAAACACATACCACAAGTGTCAAAAGCCGAGATAAAGCATTGCGTCTTCAGCATTTTTTGCATCAGCATCCCTCTCTCCCCCCCCAAAAAAGATTCCCCCCTCCTGTCTTTTTGTGGCATTTTAGTTGGTCCTAATAAATGTATTATCGTACTGTGGTTTGGCCATTACGAGATCAGCATGCTGGACTATATGGGCCATTGGCCTGATCCAGCAGGCTCTTCTAGAATTATTAAACAAAAAATAGCAAAAGGATGGCTTGAGATATAGTAGAAAGGCCCCAGTATGGGCCATGGAGTAACATCAGAAATGTAGAAATTATAATTTCAGAATTATAATAGGAACTTTGATTTCATGACTCAAATATCATGCTACATCTTTGTACTATGGCCCCCCCAAAATTACGTTTGACTCCTTCCGGAACCTGCTGAGCTCTGACTCTGTCCAGTTACTAGCATTTTTAATTCAAAAGTTGGCAATTCTAGAGGCTGGTTAAGCCTGTGGGCTTGGCAGGCCCCCTTTATAAACAAGAACTGCTATAGCACATTGAGTTTCCAGAAGACCATATGTGGTATGAACATAAGTGATCAATATCATGGGAGGAGTGTTTCTAAGACTAAGGTGAAACTGAGTCTCCTTTGTTATTTTTGTTATTGGATCCCACATGTTGTTTAAGTAGTCTTGCTATATTTATAGTATTTGAATTGTTAGTTTGGTATGTTGTTATATTTTTGTTTTGCTATGCTGTTATGAAATTTTTGCGATGTTATTATTAGATTGTATTTGCAGTGTTTGTTTGAAATACGTACCTGTTTCTTTGCAGTGAGCTCCTTAGAGCATGATTTTTTTTTGTGGAAAAGCGGCATATAAATCATGAATGAACATTCATTACCTCCTAGTTTCCGCCCTTTATGACACAGTTTAAATATGCCAACGTTAGCATTTTTGAAATCCTGGTATGAAGAGTGTATTCATTCCGCTTCCTGAACTGGACTTCCGTATGTCACCAAATGTTTTGAAAACGGTTTTTTAAGTCAACATGTTCCGAGATTGTAGTGGGTATGCTTCCTGATACTGAAAAACTTGAGAAATTGCTGACTAGCCAGCAGGAGGAACAGACTCGTGGGATTATGTTTGCGCGGCTGCAACTGCTTGTGAATGCTAGCAAAGAGAAGGATGTGGCTTCTTCTCATGTACTGGGAGAGCAGAGGATGATTCAGATCGGGGTTCTGCATAAGGCTCCCATACCTAATAATCTGGCCCTGAAGGGTCAGGCATATAAAACTGATGCTAGGAAGGAAAGTTGTGTTTCCTACAATTAAAAAGTCATTCTTTATGGGGGGATAAAAGAAATCCTGGATGGTCTCCAAATGTCAACAAGATTATAATCAGCTAATTTGTTTCGGGAGGAATTTGACAGTTTGAACATTTTACCGTAAGCCACCATCCCTCTCCTTCCTTCAGCCATGTTCCCTTCCTCCTCCATTAATTTTGGCAAAGTTAATGGCACTATCTCCATTGTCCTAATACTCCTATGCACACAACACCTTTGGGCAGAGAGGCATGTATTTTCCTCTGTCAGGCAGCATCACAAAAGATATTATTGACCAAAGAGGAAGATTTCCTAATGAAGCTATAATTCATTGAAACATATGATACCTGCAATTACATAAAACATCCTTTTGTTTTGTTTCTGTTTTTTTAAAAAAACCTCCAGGCCTTTGGTTTGTTTTTTTCATTCAGACACAAGCCCTTCTGCTCCTTATTACCCCCAAGCTATGAATGAGTTTGGGCGTTCATCAAATCCCCTACCTCCTGGTTTCACCCACTGTCATCCCACACCTGCAAACCTGAAAAGCCAACTCTTCTGGCTGACCTCTTCTTCCCCATCCCATCTTCGCTGTCAGCATTACTGTATAAAACTAACTCAGTGAAACACTTTTTGAACAAGGGAATAAAAGAAGGCACTTTTCTGGTAGATAGTTTCAGAAAGCGTTTGGGCCACAGCAAAAGAATATCCACTGTTGGTTGCGGTAATGTTTCGGAATACCAGTTGCTGGAAACTGCAGGAGGGCAGAACAGTCAATCTCTCTCCACAAGAACCTTTGGTTGGGAAGCCATGAATGTTTGAAGTGGTATCATAGCACTTTATGGTGTGAATGCGGCCTGGATCTTGTCCAAACTTTATGGTTCTAATACTCTTCTTCCGAACAGTTGGAAAAAGTGAATTTCACACACTGGTGAGGCAGACACGCTCACATGCTCATAAGCCACATTTCACCCCCACAAATGTGGAGAGAGGGCAGGACAGAACTCCCTATGCAGGTAAGTCAATGAGGGCACAAGGAAGGCATATTGCAAGGTGTGACTGACTTGTGACTGTTTCCCATGTCTCCCCAACTCCCACCCCTTGTCATGCCTCGGCTGTCTTGCCCTAAAACTCTTCTCCTCCAGTAGTGGGAAGCAGTGCTTACCTCTCACACAGGGACTCCGTGGCAGCATTGCTGTTGTTTCCATCTCTATGGGCAGGTAGCGGGAACAGTATAAGTGAATGCTGAACATCAGGGAATGCATGTGATATTTAGGAAAGCCAATCAGCCTGCCCACCGTGGAGAGGGTCCAGTGCAGGCCTCCCCACACAGGAATGGAAAGATGCTGGTGACTATCCTCTAACTTTCAGATGGTTGATCCGTGCTTTGCTTTTGATACAGTCACTGATAACACAATTCACAAAAGAAAAAGAAAAGAAAGAAATCACACAAATCAGGTTTGTAGAGATGACAGTTTAGGCCATGATGGAAAGAACATAAATCAATGAGCACATCTTTCTTTCCATGGGCGTTTGATAACATCCTCTGACTGTAGGCCAAATATATGTCAGTACAATTTACTGTGGAATATAATGTCAATAACATATAAAGTGCTGTCTAATTAGTAGGAGTGGGGTTTTTCAGAAAACAAAAAAGATCCTATTATGTAAACCAGAAGAGCAATGCTTCTTTCCTTTTACAACTTGCTAAAAGAAACGACAAAAATGCCACATATATATTTCCAGACAGGAATAAAGGAAGAACTGCTTAAGTCAAGAATGGGGATCCTCCAGATGTTGTTGGACTCCAGTTCCTATCAGCCTCAGCATGGCCAATGGTCAGGTATTATGCAAGCTGTAGTCCAGCAACATCGGAAAGGCATTGATTCCTCACCCCTGGTTTAAGTTTTACATATGAACCTGCCTTGTACTGAGTCACCTTATTGGTCCAGCAGCCCTGGGACCAGGGTCACCGCCTTGAAGAAAATCGGGGGGGGGGGGCAGACAAAGATGGTTATATGGGTGGGAGGCAGGGAGGAAGAAGGGACAGCAGAAAATAAACTTGAAACTAAATAGTGAAGCTCTGAACAATGTCTCTTGCTGTTGGAAGTACATGTATCAAGACAGACTGTGCACCCCCCCACACACACACATACACATACAAACTTTGCAGAAGTAGCCAGAGAACACAAATCTCCGTTTCCTCCTCTTGTTTGGAATGCTGAGGTGCCTGGATTTCCTCCGGTCATTCCCCAGCCCCCCTGTGCAGATACCCCTTCTAGCTTCAATCGCAAGCCCCATAAGGAACATTTTTGGAGGTTTTTGCCCAATCCCAGCTCTCTTTTCATCCAACAACCCTTTTACAAGTTCGTTACATGGCTTGCCGGAAAACGAAGTCCAAACATGGCAAAGAAAGAAGGCAGCAGTGCTCATCAATTTGGGGGGAGGGGTTGGCTCTCTCAAATATTTTATGGGGGGGAGGAGTGAAGGGACCTGGCCCCTAGGATTTGGTGCCTAAGCCAGGGACCTTCTGCATGCAGAGCAAATCATCTACCCCCAAGCTATGAAAATAGCATTCAGATAATAGTGTGGTAATCAAGAATGTTGGTTCAGATAACTAAGGCCTAAACTAGAGGACAGGAAGCATGAAAGTTTAAATGCAGTTAATTTATTGTAAAAGAAACTTCCAGAAATACAGTTTCAAAAGATGTGGGAGTTGAAGTGAATGGTGATGAGATTAAGATCATTGTTCCATCCGAAGCAAGTGCATTTTTCATCAGATAAAAGGGAAAAAGGAAAGTAAATTTTTCTGAAGATATGTCTAATGTGCTATCTATAAACACAAAGGGCACAATCCAGTCAAAGTGCTTCAGAGCAGAATCTTAGATGTGTTTAAAGTAAGCTCCACTGAAAGCAATGTGCCTTACTCCCTGTAAGAGTGTATACAGAATTGTAGCCTCAAAGTCCTACTGCTTTTCACAGAAGTGAAGCAAATTTATTTCCAATAGGACATAAAAGTGCTGAGCTTTGGCTAGATTGTGACCTAGATCAACTTTGACTGACCTTTCAACTTGCCATTGAGAAATAAATTATAAACTAAGATTGTACATTACCAAGTAATTCGGAGTGTGGTTTCAGTAAGAAGCAGGTGTATGTGTCTATTAAATGGTTTTTATTTAATAGATTCAATTTGCAATAAAAGAGATTCCAAGCATTGGGAAGAGATTTCTGCCTCAGAAGGTGGTAGAGTCTCCTTCATTGGAGGTTTCTAAGCAGTGGTTGGATAGCCATCTGTCAGGGATTCCTGCATTGCAGGGGGTTGGACTAGATGACCCTTGGGGTTCCTTCCAGCTCTACGATTCTATGATTTTAGTAGGCTCCTGTGAGATGACGTGATTATTTTTCATTCAGCGTTCATTGTATAGTCAGATTATGAAGAGAATCAGGTCATCTCTCACGCAGTCTTCATGCTCGATGAAGAGAGTTTGAACAACAGAAGGCCAAGAAATTGGCCACTGAAAAATTATGGACGTTGACTGATTCCTTTCTCTGCCAGCTAAGCTTCTCAAGGTGCAGTATGGAACATGTGAAGTAGTAAGTAGAAAATGCCTCTGAGCATGTGCAGATGCTCACCGTTCTCTCATTGGTATGACAGTGAGCACACCTGAGATCAGTGCTAAGGCTTTCCGGGCATAGACAGCATCAAGCCGTGGCATCTGTCACTTTCTAAATTAGGCACTGGATTGTCACCAGGCCACTATATCTACATCAGTAACAAAATGATCACAGAATTCTGGCTATGAGGAAAAGTTAATTAAAAATCTGGGCTCATCTTCAAAATTGAAACTGCTTCTCTTTCTGCCACGTCTCATATTTTCCTCCTCCTCTCATATAAGACCAGAACCTGGATCATCCAGTGAAGCTTATTAGCTGGAGAGTCAGGGCAGACAAAACATAGGACTTCTTCACATTAATGCACAATTACTTTATGAAAATGCTGCCACAAATGTGGTCATGTTTGCTGGCTTAGATGGCTTTAAAAGGGGATTAGAATAATTCACAGAGCATTAGTCCATCAATGATAACTAATCAGGAAGGCTTTGGGGATGTCTAGAATAAGGGGCAGTTGTTGTGGAGTAGCAGCATGGGTGGTAATTGACTGGCCCTGATCTAGCATAGCCCATTTTGTGCTTCTATATGCATGTTATAGAAAAAAGGTGCATACTGACCATTCAGAAGTGTACCTGTACATATGGTAGCAAGTACTTCATAGAGCAATATTGGTTCCATGGGTTGATGGACTGTATGTATGAATCCACCCTTTGCAAATCCTCACTGAATCAATTGGCCATCATTAACTAATCACATTACAATATTAATATGATACTTATACCTGTTGCTTCATTCATCACTGACAGTCACTGACAGATGGAAATTAAAATGCAACATGTTAAAATTCTGTTCGTTGCCCTAGGCATGTTCTAGTTGTTCATTTTGCCATTTCATGTTTAATCGTTTACCTGATGGTTATGAGTAAAAATAATAATTAAACCCCAATTTAAAGAAATACATTAAGTTCTTTCATTGGGGATGGCTTAAAAGAAGGCATGGAATTATCAGATTTATTAAAACTTTAAAATGTTCAGCAGAAGATAAACAACCACCCTCTTTTCTTCCACTGTATAAAAAGCAGGCAGAGAGATGTTGGGATCATAATTTGCAAATACAAGTAGCATCCTGCTTTTAAAAGATGTTCATAAACTGCTTTTTAAATTTGGGAAGATAAAGAATAATTTGGAGGTTCTGTAACTTCACCTTCTGTGAGCTTAATTCCCGGGGGGGGGGGATACACATTCCTTCTTTGGGAGCCAGCGTGGTGTAGTGGTTAAGAGCGGTAGTCTCGTAATCTGGGGAATCGGGTTCGCGTCCCCGCTCCTCCACATGCAGCTGCTGGGTGACCTTGGGCCAGTCACACTTCTCTGAAGTCTCTCGGCCTCACTCACCTCACAGAGTGTTTGTTGTGGAGGAGGAAGGGAAAGGAGAATGTTAGTCGCTTTGAGACTCCTTCGGGTAGTGATAAAGCGGGATATCAAATCCAAACTCTTCTTCTTCTTCTTAGAGTTACCTTTGATTTGGGGTGCCTTCAGTTTGTCAGTATTTTGTAGAAGGGATTCAATAGGTTTGTGTGATAAAAGTAGATTAATGTGATCTGCCACCCTAGTGCAGCAAATTCATTTTCTCATAAAGTGCAATTTTTGTTGATTGGGAAGTGATGGGGAAATGCATAGAAAAGTGTGGGATGAATGAATGATTAACAGGAATATTTGTTAATACCCTGCAAGCAAATCAGAAACAATGCTCGTTGTCTTATAACAGCCCTGAAAACAAATCAGAATGAATCAGGGGTGCCAACTTGAATAAAATATGGGGGGGGGGCAAGTAAGCCCTGTCCTGCATAATCAATCACATGACATGGTGCATGGACACCATTTGAATGGCAATGGGGGGCAACCCATCAAATATTTTATGGGGGGGACAAAGACCCCTTCGCCCCTAGGAGTTGGCTCCTATGGAATGAATGCTCAATAAACAAGTCATTTGGAGGAGCCCTTGAGCAGTTGAGGGCAAAAAAAAAAATCTGTTGTTGAAGAGCTAAGCTTAATGATGCAATAGCAAGGGAAATTAAAGTTTCTAGGGTGCGCCTAAAGTAATTTGTATATTTTCCAACTAAGGAAAGTTAGTTGAAATCATAAGAAAGAGATTACTTGTTATTGGACATTTGTTGCTGAGAACCAAGCAGTCCCCCTCACCCTGTGCCCATGAAATGTGGAGAAATATGGCACTCAATCTATGTTGTCCATACCATAGATCTATGGGAAGGTGGGGGGGGGGGGAATGGACTACTTCAAATTTCAATCACTAGTTAAAAGGGGCAAAAAACATTGGCAAAGCCAATTTAGCCAACATTTATAAAAAGCAGAGACATCACCTTACCGACCAAGGTCTGTATAGTTAAAGCTATGGTTTTCCCAGTTGTATGGAAGTGAGAGCTGGACCATAAAGAAGGCTGATTGCCGAAGAATTGATGCTTTTGAATTATGGTGCTGGAGGAGACTCTTGAGAGTCCCATGGACTGCAAGAAGATCAAACCTCTCCATTCTTAAGGAAATCAGCCCTGAGTGCTCACTGGAAGGACAGATCGTGAAGCTGAGGCTCCAATATTTTGGTCACCTCATGAGAAGAGAAGACTCCCTGGAAAAGACTCTGATGTTGGGAAAGATTGAGGGCACAAGGAGAAGGGGATGACAGAGGACGAGATGGTTGGACAGTGTTCTCAAAGCTACCAGCATGAGTTTGACCAAACTGCGGGAGGCAGTGGAAGACAGGAGTGCCTGGTGTGCTCTGGTCCATGGGGTCACGAAGAGTCGGACACGACTAAACAACTAAACAACAATGAAGCCCAATAAGAAAAAGATCCTTCAAGACATCAATACATAGTTTTGCCACAGTGTTTCATGTAGCAACTTCTGTATCGTAGCTACTTATCTTCAGCTTGCCTGAAAGGAAAACAACCACCATGTGTTTCCTCAAGACAGATGATATCAGCTTTGTGATGGACAGTGAACTTCTCTATCTGTAGACAGATGTCAAAGGATGAAGGGTTGATAGAGGGGCAGCATTGCTGACTTGTCCTTAGATGGTCATGGCTCTTACTGTAGGTTATGGAGGCATGGACTTTATAGTCATGTACGAGTACTCCTGGGTATAGCCACAAGCATACGTTTAGAGGATTTCAGAGTTTGAGCTGCACCATTTGGATTTGTGCAATGTTTCTAACTGAGGGAGAGAGAATGCCTTCAAATGTCAGAATCAGGAATTTAAAGTTCATGTGAAATGAACAGTCAAGGTCACAAAAGAAATGACTGTTAAAGAACTGCAGGTGTGGAAGCAAAATATCTGTGCGTGAATAGCTCAGTTGGTTAGAGTGTAGTGCTGATAACACTAAGGTTGCAGGTTCGATCCCCATATGGGACAGCTGCATTGCAGGGGATTGGACTAGATGATCCTTGGGGTCCCTTCCAATTCTACAATTCCATGATTCCATGATCATAGAGGAAATTAATGAACATCAATATACAAAGCATGTATGTCATTGGCACTTTGAACGGGGGGGCAGGGCAATGATTGTGAAAAGGATGCCCATTGCAACTTGGTTCAAGCTGGCCAGGGCTGTGGCTACTTGTGGATAGCTCTGAATGTTTGGACATGGTTTCTCTACTAGTAGCATGCTAGACTGCAAAACCCAAATTAGTTCGACCCAGTTAACACTGTCTAAATTCTGTGGAGACTCATCTTCACTTCTGGGGCAATAAGCAAGGGAAAAGACAATACTATATTTTACTTTATTTTTTATAAAAACAATATAAAGGGGATTTCCCAGCTCAAGAGGCAGGGAAAGGGAGAAAGCACACCTGTAAAATCTAGATATTAGTGCTAATTTGGCATAGAATTTGCTTCCTGTACCAAAACTTGCTGGAACACTTTGGAACACTTTCCTTTTTAAAAACAAAATACAAAAAAAGCCCCAAAACCGCAAAAGCCCTCCTTTTTGTTACTGTGTAACAATTAAAAAAAAATCCTAACACCACAAAACTGTAGTTTCCCACTAGTTCAGGTCTTAACATGATTAGACTGTTTTGCGTTTAGACAAACATTGAAAATTGCTTCCACCTCTTTCCGATTCTTTTCTGCTGGCCTCAGTCTGTGATTTATTGTCTGCCTCTCAAATGTGACATTTTTGTTGATATTCTTAACAATTACCACACCCACCAAACTATACTCTCGACACAGGCTTTCTCTCCACTTTTGTTCAGCTTGCTTGTTGGTGTGCCACGATTCAGATAGTAAGCTAGAATGCACAAAGCTGATAAACTCATTCTTTTTCGTTTATGAAGTAATGGTTGGGTCAAGGTTGCTCAAAGTAGATTCAGAAAGGACCTGAGCTACTAAAATATTACAGAGGTTAGAGTCTCTTTTGTACAGCAAAAGGCTAAAGCGCTTGGGGCTTCTTGTTCAGAAAAGAAAGACTTCAGGCCTTTAGTGATTCTGGGCAGTTTGGGCATCCAGTAGGATGGAGAACAAAAGGCAGTAATCTAAGACCTGAGAAATAAGAGCAATAGTCTGGAAGTGCCATAAGATCAGAGTACAAAAACAGGAATATAAAACCAATCACACATGGAAGCAGAACAAAGACCCAGCTTAGTATTTTGACTGTCGAAACAAAAAAATCTTGGAGCATTTTATTCCAAATCCCAGTGCAGAGACACCACCATCTTTATACCTTAAACAGATATCTTTCTTGTACCACGCAAAGATAAAAGATGTGATCTGTCTGGGGCATCTATTGCAGAAGCGATAAGTTTATTAAAATAAATTCCAAATAGAACAAAGCATTTTTTATTAATTTTTAGAATGTACACAAAATAGTGGTGATTATAGAACAATGTATATCCTTATCATTGTCTCTTGCCTTCTTCTATCAGACGTTTAGTAAACCTTTAATCCGTAGGCAGCTGTAACTTCTTTTTTAATGCTTTTATTATATATTATTCAACTAGAAGGGGAAAGTGTGACTTCCTAAGCACTGATATCGTCCGCAATTGTAATCCCTCCCACTGATTGCCTGGATTCAAGTCTGTCTTACAGGTTTCACTTTTTCAGTATGAGGAGAACGAGGTATCACTTCCCCCTGTTGATGTTCCTTGACATAAATCAGTGTGTTGACTGTGTGATATTTAACAAAAAGAACCTCTAACATTATGCAGCCACATACCAGCATGACATCTGTTGTAGGGAAAAGGTGTTGAGCAATGTTCATACAGATTGAAAAGTTCTTTAGTACTTTACATGAACTTTATGGTAGAGACAAAGGTGGGGGGAATCTCGGCATGGTCCAAATTCTGCTACCTTTATCATCCTAACACATGCTCTTGGTTGGAAAAATGGGGAATGATTTCTAGGGCATAAAGCACAGGTGATGGACTTGTGGCCCTCCAGATATTGTTGCGCCTCATCTCCCATCAGCCCCAGCTAACATGGCCATTGACCCGGGATGATGGGAATTTTAATCCAACAACATCTGGAGGGCCACAGGTTCCCCACCTCTAATGTAAAGTTTCAAAGTAAGTCTTCTCTATTAAGAAGAAGCATACAAAATGAACGTCTGAGCTTACCTATTTCTTTCAGTGTGTAGCTCTTGTGTATGGTACTGGGGTGGGGGTGTTCACAGCAGTAAGACACTGGTGCTCTACCATCTATGCCACCTGCATTGTTTCTATGACAAACCTGGTAGACTGAGCTTGAATGATACCATCTAGGATGCGGGACCAGCCTGTCTGAGCCTCCAGTTGGCTGGTTCAAGGGGCAACAGGTCCTAGAAGAGTCTGGTCTTGTTCCTCAGCCTTAGCAACTCAATGTGGGGACTCTGCCTAGTTCCTGCTGTGTTCTCCTTTTGATCATGGTGACCACTACCTGTCTTTGAACCTGCTTCTGGCCTGAGTGACTCTCTGTTGCTGCCTTGGAGCTTGACCTTTTTCCTGACCTTGAACACACACCTGCCTTGGGCTGCTTTGAGAACCTCATTTGCTGCCCTGGAACTTGACCTCCTGCCTGATTTGGATCGTGCACCTGTTTTTGTGGACAGCCAGTTCCTCAGGCCTCAGAACTTGATCTGAGAGAAGTCAACAAATGGAACATAGGCTCTTTTAACTAAACGTGTTATGAGAATCGATTCCTTGAAACAGATCATGTGGCACATTTCCCCCCCCGGCCGCTGCCCTGGAGTTTTTCTTCCCCTCTTCAGGAGTTTCTGCTGGTGTTCATTGTCATAGGATCCTGGCAGTGAATCTTTTTCAGTCTCGTCAGCTATTTCTGCCCTCTCTGTTTGCCTTCCTGCAGCAGCTATAACAGTTGAGGGCATCAGGAAAAGGGAAGGCTACAGCAAGCCAGTCCTCAATGTTGGGACTCGGCTCCAGCTGAAAACCCCTTTCTTCTAGCAAGAGGTGCCAACTTGAATAAAATATTGGGGACCCAGGTAAGCCCTGCCCCACATAATCACCTGACATAGCATGCACAAACACACACCATTTGAATGGCAATCAATGTCCACCAACTTTAGGGGTGCTGGTCCTTTCATTGGAAACTTTGGGGAGCCCTGGCCCCCCAGCTCCTTCCTTGATTCTCCTGCTTCCAGCAGCATTTTAATTGCTGTGAGCTGCTTTCTGAGATAATGTTCAACTGAGAATTAGTAGTAATATAATACAGCCTATTTCATAAAAGGTAAAGGTACCCCTGCCCGTACGGGCCAGTCTTGACAGACTCTAGGGTTGTGCGCCCATCTCACTCAAGAGGCCGGGGGCCAGCGCTGTCCAGAGACACTTCCGGGTCACGTGGCCAGCGCGACAAAGCTGCATCTGGCGAGCCAGCACAGCACACAGCTGTTTACCTTCCCGCCAGTAAGCGGTCCCTATTTATCTACTTGCACCTGGGGTGATTTCGAACTGCTAGGTTGGCAGGCGCTGGGACCGAGCAACGGGAGCGCACCCCGCCGCGGGGATTCGAACCACCGACCTTTCGATCGGCAAGCCCTAGGCGCTGAGGCTTTTACCCACAGCGCCACCCGCGTCCCTAGCCTATTTCATACTGGCCAATATATTACATGTCCCAATACGAAGTTCCTCCCAAGAAAATGAAACCATTTACTGCTTCTCAACAGCCTGCTGCTGTCTCAGACTAGCAAAAGATCATATAATCCTTTAAACACTGAAAGGAAATTGTAAATAAAACACAGGATGGCCCCCAGGGTATTAGAAAGTGCAGCGAAGACAGAAAATCTGATGGTATAGAATAAAGGCTCCTGGGAATTTAAGAGCTCTGCCAGCTTAATATGCCAAAAAGTGAGGGGTGGGGTGGGGCAAGACCATTTCTGTTCTTTTCTTCAATAGGGTGTTATTCTGTGAGCAAGATGGAGAACAGCCATGTTCGGAATGAAATAGCCTGCTTTTCTAGGTTGCACTTGCCAGATGTGTGTGTCAGGGAGAAAGTTAAGCACATGTGTTTGATAGGGGAATTCCAGGCCAATGTCAGCACAAAATGGACAGTTCTTTGTAGACTGGGATATCAAAGACTGTATGGCAAGATATGATTTCTTCTTAACATATGAAAAGCAGCCTTCAGTTTCCTCAAGCGACTGCAGAGGCTTAAAGAGATGAGCAGACAGCTATTGAAAGCAAGATTGTGCCTGCTTGGTGGTTCTATCTGACTTCCAGATCAGCTCCCAAAATAGGAGAGGCCTGGTAGACAAGTGAAAGCTATTATGCTTTTGATGTAAGGACCAACATTTAAGCAGATGGAGGAGAGTGAAAGGGGGAGATGAGGCATTTGCAAACATCATGATAAAAGGGAGACTATTTGAGAAGTCACTTAACTCTGTGGGGAGGAGGAAAGCAAAGAATTATCAGGAGGGGTCAAGGAGACTACCAACTCATCCCAAATCAACAACGAAGCAGTGTAGGAGAATTTAAGAAGAAAGCGGTAACTGAAGGAAGGCGTCGCATTACGCTCCTCCAACCTTCCTTTCAGAGCTTGTGGGTGCATGTTTTCTTGACATTTACAGAGTCCAAATTATTCACCATCCATCTCAGTGATTTAACACCAGAGGCAGGTGGTAGTTACTATCGAGCAGATAATTTCTTAGCTTTGTGCCAGGGCACACAAATGTGCCACAAGTGGGGCTGAAGTGTACCTTGGAAAATTAAATTTGCATCCACCACTATATACCTCAGGTCCCAATATAGTCTTCCATTCACAAAGAGGGTGGCAATTTTTTCCACCACCTTCCAACTTTATACCTGACCCCCACTATTCTCAAGGGTGAAAACAATTGCTGGGAACACAGGAAGTGTAGAGTAACAATTGCCTCCAACTTTAACCCAGCCTTGGGTGATCAGAAGTTTGTGAAGCTCTCTGTTAACACTGGAGCTCATCCACATATGAAATGCTCTAAAGGGCAACATCCACTGAGGATGCCATGTGAATTATGAAACCCAGAGAAGAGTAGGTGTGCTTAGGATGGGTTCTATTGAAAATCAGTACACATAGTTAAATGCTAATGCTCCACTGTTTCAAATGAGACCTACCTTTGTGTCAGGCTGCAGCTGGGGGTCTGATTTTGGCAAGACAGGGATGAATCAAATAGGACAGAGGTGTGGTCATAGACAGGCTGGAGATCAGCCACTGAATCAGGCAGACAAAGGCCAGGGCAGAGACATACTCTGAAGATGTGCTAGTGGTTGGGTTCTAGGTTGAACAGACGAAAACCAAATGACCAGCAACAGGAATGAAGCCTCAGAGGTTTGACAGTTGCTCAAACTGAGCAAGGAGTAATATATAAGCAGCCAGCCCCTGTTAGTCCCTCAGAGCACATGGTCATGGCTAGACTGAAGAGATGCAGTTCTGGTTCTGCCCACCATATGAGTAGCACTGCCACTAAGGCTTCAGCCTAAAAGTTGTCCCTGGGGCACAGGGAGTGAAGAGCTCAGGCTCCATTGCCTTGGTGGCCAGTTTGAATATCCTAGTGCCTTATACTTCCTGGGGTACGGATCCAGGGGCAGAATTTGCTACCTCCCTGTCCCGTCCCGTCCCCCATTGCAGCGCCACCATCACACCTCTCTTACCTGTGTTGTTGATGGTGCCTGTGTAGTGCTGGAAGCAGCATTGGCTTCCAGCAAGACCTCGCAAGATCTTGCTGGAAACCGTTGCCGCTGCCAGCAGAGGTGATGGGGCAGGGAGCGAAGGCAAGGCAGGAGCCTCTCTTGGGCTTCCACTGCTCAAGGCGGGCACCTCACCTTGCCTCATCTGTGGGCCAGGTCTGCTTGGATCAAATGGTCCTCTAGCAGTACAAGTGAAAGTACTTCTGCTTGTGCATGGAGGAGTGACTTTCATTTCAGCTCATTTTCCTCCACAGCTGCACCTGGACCTCTGCATAGCATTGAATGCTTTCCTGAAGTGTCTCCCAACTCTGAGATGCAAGTGGCTGTACCAAAACGGGAAAGTGAGAAAAGATCTGTGGTTTTCCAAGTAATTTCCAAATTTCCATATTATTTATTCTGGTGTAAGCTGACTACAATAATTTCTATGTTACTTGTCACTATAAAATCGGTTGCAGTGACTGCCTCCCAATAGCCAAAATTTAGTATATCTTCAGCTATATTGATATAAATAGGGCAATTCTTATCAGAGGATGTCAACCAATGTGTAACAATTAAAGTATGCACCATGTCCTCTGCATTTGAGTAGCCACACAAAATGCCCACAAATACACCCTGTCATCCAAAACAATTGTCCGAATCACCATTTTCTTGCTCTCTAGATTTGTGTGTGTCTCTTTACACATGCACTGCATAATCATTATGGCCCTACTTACATGAGACGGCAGGCACCCTACAACTCAGTATTATAAAACCATAGAACAGGGTCAGCCCACCCAAGCTAGTGGTGTCCAATGCTTGGCAAGTAGGCCAAAGCTTGTTGGGTCTACTTCCCCTTACTATGCAAAACAAAATAAACATCCAGGTATGGAAGTGCCTTAACAAAACTATTTCTGAGTGTGAAACATACCAAGGGCCCTATCGCTTAGTGATAGAGCATGTGTTTTGCATGCAAAAGCCCCAGATTCAATCCCTGATAGGTGGCAGGACACTGTTTAAAAATATCAGGTATCCAGAGAGGCAGAAAGCCTGTCTGGAGACCCTGCAGTGTCATTGCCAGTCAGGGTATACTATTAGACTATAAATGGACAAATAGCCTGATCTGATATATGGTAGAGACTCCTGCATTCTTAGATAAGATGCCTGAATAAACGTAGTGTGTGATGGACGTGTCACCCAGGGGTCAGGTGCTTTGGCTGAATATGCACATCATAATTCTGCTCATTTAGGCTCAATGAACAGAACGTTGATTCATTGATAAGGGTGTGAATAGTCCAGCAGTGAGACGCATGGGAACTTGGAAGCAGCTGGCAGCCCCCACCAGGATGTGACAATGTTAAAGGGGATTTTTCATTTGCCACATTTGCTTGTATAAAGTTGGCACACTTACAAAAGTTCATTCTCGATCTAAAGAGATTACTGTGCTAGTCACATTCTCTTTTACAGGGAAGAGCTCTTAAAATGAGAGCAAACTTTTAAAGGTGCAACCAGCTAGGCTGATCACTTATGTGCAAGGAGTAAAACACCATCTCTTCCCTTTAACTGCAGTTTTAAAAATCATTATTAAAAAAGATGACACAACCATGATGAATCACAGCATGAATGGCTCCCATACGCAACCCAGAGGCACTTTTCTGTGAAGTGCTTCCATTAACTTCAGGGTGTAATAAGTTTGTCTCCTTTATGCCCCATATCATTGAGGGTGCCTGGTCCTGGCATTATTTGTTTGTTACATTTCTAGACTGTATTTTGGGTGAAATGACTACTCTCATAGCTTTACAACAGTCATGAAATACAGCTGAAAGCATAAAACCCACCATAATACAGATAAGAGCAAGAGATACAAAAATACAGTTACAGCACAAAATAAGCAACTAGCTGCATTTATCCACCTGGAAGCAACACCCCTGAATGTCAATCAACTAATTAATTTATAAAGTCAAAGCACAATGGCCATAACCCAAGTAAGAGACGAATATACATGAAAGTACACAGAGCTGGAATTGCATATATGGTTGTAGCTGCAGCAGTTTCTCCTACTGAAGTCTAGCTTCTTTTGAAACAGAATAGTCATCTGTTTCTTTGGCAGTGAGAACTATTGAGTAGCCCAGGCAAAATAGTATCTCAGCTAGAAATTGCATTCTCTTCCATGCTATTTCCTTTCTTTGGATCATGGTTTTAGTTAGGCTACAAGCCCAAAAGGTGATAATTATTTCTTTGAATGACAGTCAAGGCCAGAATAATTATACTATGTAATCTTGAAGTCAATAAATCACTTAGAGAAAACATGAATGAATATACATTTACTGTTCAGCTAATGGTGCGCGGGTGGTGCTGTGGTCTAAACCACTGAGCCTCTTGGTCTTGCGGCTGATTGGAAGGTCAGCGGTTCAAATCTGTGCAATGGGGTGAGCTCACGTTGCTCTGTCCCAGTTTCTGCCAACCTAGCAGTTCAAAAGCATATCAGTGCAAGTAGATAAATAGGTATCGCTATGGCAGGAAGGTAAAGGGCATTTCCATGCGCTCTGGCACTCGTCACCGTGTCCCGTTGCACCAGAAGTGGTTTAGTCATGCTGACCACATGACCTGGAAAGCTGTTTGTGGACAAATGCCAGCTCCCTCGGCCTGAAGCGAGATGAACACTGCACCCCATAGTCACCTTTGACTGGACTTAACCATCCAGGGGTCCTATACCTTTACCTTTTTACCTTTTACTTTTCAGCTGTATGTCTTTAAAAAGTACTTCAATATTTTATATTTTCCGCTTGAAACAAAGTCTTTTTGTTGTTGTTGGTAGCCTTACAGATGCATTTGCTTTATATTTAAGACACGCATGCAGGCACACACAAAACCCCTGAGGCTTTGAATTATTTTCAAGCGGGGAGTGGGGGAATACTGTCATTTTTTCCACTGATCATGACCACATCCAATACAAGTCAAAACAAGTACTCGGAAGACAAGCTATGACACTCTAGTACAGAAATTAGAAAAACTAGCTGGACTGTTCCTTCCTGGGCATCACCTTTACAGTTAATAATTCAAAAATCAGAAGTAGGTGATTCATAATAACGAGCAAAGGGCAGAATGTCTACATTGACATTGGCTGGTTAGCACTGGCATTATTAGGCATGTTTTTCTCAGTTCACTAGATAGGTCTAGATATGACTCAGTAGATGTAGACGAGTCAAAATTGCAGAATTCTAGGATGCAGTTTTTAAAGCAATCACTTGATAATCATGTTGAAACAGATGAACCTGCTAGATAAATGGCTATAAATTGAAAATTAACTACCTTTATCAAGCTGTAAGCAAACCTTCTTGTGCCCTATGCCATGAGAGGTTTTTTAAAAAAAATACAGATGAAGGTAGATTGATTTGTATCCTGCCACTTCCACAGAGAAAATTAGCAAAAGCAAATATATATCCCAATCCCGCTATCTTTTCTAGCCAGTAGATGACTAGAATACTTTCCACATTGATTTCATTGGGGAAGTCCATTCTTACATTCTCAAAGTTTGTTCATAGGGTGATACATACATACATACATACATACATACATATATAGTGCACATAAGAGATAGATCTGTGCTCAAGTGTAAGTATAGGATACAATATCTACTAACATATAAAATACAGTTAATTACAACCAATTTGCCCCATCTGAATCTTGCTTAATGAAAGCCAGCTCTCACAGGAGTTTTTACATCATTCTGGAAGATTTAGGGCACAGCCTTCCAGAATATCTTTATTTTAAGCTGGATATTTTTAGGTTAGTAAAGGCAGGTCATAGGGTCTATTGAATTTGCAAGTGTTAAATTCTCCTTCAAAACAAAATACGGGGCGGGGGGGCGGGAATATATCAAAAAGGTAAATATGCTCAGCACATTCCTTTTAATAATGTACGCTGCATGTTTAGTGTCTGTATACACAATCTGGTTCTTTCCCTGTGCTTGCCGTACCAATACCAATTTAAAGCCCATACTCGAAACCAACAGTAGATGGCCCACTTTTCATAGAAAGAAAGACCTGGAGAACCCAACACTAGGCCATGAGGAAAAGGAACAGATGCACGCACACACAGCCACACACAGCCTTCATTATAAACCTGGCAGTCATTTGCGAGAACAAGTGAAAACATGATTAGGAAAAGAAAGAGGTAATTTCTCCCCCAAATCATATGAGAAACAAGTAGTCATAAAACATTAAAGTAAGACGGATACAGAAACCAACATAACCCAGAATGTAAAATCATTATAGGAGTAACAAAAAGAGATAAGGATAGTTAGCATAAAATTCATAAGCTATGAAAACTTAGCATTAATTAAATAAACAACCCACCCTCTCTTTTTTTTAACCTAAAGGAAATAGTTAGCTAACTAGGGAATATCTTCAGAAGATTTTTCAGAGAAAATTCGATTGACACTCTATGCCCTTTTAAAATGTGTTGGGGGTAGTTATTGGGTTGTTGTTGTTTTTATTTTGATTATGTATTTTGTGGTTTTATATTCTGATTTTATTCTGTGAACTGCCCTGAGACCTGCAGGTATAATAGGCCCATATGAAAAGTGCTGACGACTGCTGGACAGATCACCGATTAATACATTCCACGATGGCTATCAAGATTGTATCTCAACGTAGGCTTCAAGGAAGGAAACCAAGGCACAAAATGAACACTCAAGCCCTTCAAGATCTTATTAAGTGGGATTGCTTCCAAACAGCTCTTAAGGACCATCTGCTTTTGGAGTTCCCTGACAACATTGAGGAACACTGGACCAAGCTAAAAACATCCATGATTGCAGCCTATGAACAAGCAGTTGGATATCAAACACCAAGAAATGGTTTGATAAGAATGACAGTGAGATTGAATGCATTATTGACAAGAAAAGGAAGGCCTTTCAGATCTGGTAAAGAAATAGAAACTGTGCCACTAAGACAAAAACCTATGCCAACGCTAAGGCTGAGGTTCAAAGAAGAACCAGAGAACTAAAGAGCACCTGGTGGATAAAAAAAGCGCAAGAGATCCAGCACTTAGCCGAGACTCATGATGCACAGGGTTTCTTTAAAGCCACAAAGACCATCTATGGGCCAATAAATCATGGCATATGCCTCCTACGCTCAACAGACGGTACCACACTTTTAAAAGATAAATAAGCTATTGCACTGCGCTGGAAAGAACATTACCAGCATCTCCTTAACCGCAACTCCCCTGTAGCTGCCCTGAGGTCCTCTTACAAATTCCACCCAAAAAATAGAGATGAGTTTGCAATATCTCCAAATCTGGGAGAGTTGTGTACAGCTATTAACCAAAGGAAAAACAACAAAGCCAGCGGGCCTGGTGAGATACCTGCCGACGTCTTCAAAGTGGGCGGAATTGAACTTACACAATAACTTCACAAGCTCATCGAAAAAGTCTGGGAGAGAGAGGAGATCCCAGCAGACTTTAGGGATGGCAAAATTATCAATCTCTTTTTAAAAGGTGATAGAATGGATTGAGGAAACTATTGAGACATCTCTTTATTAGCTGCGGCCAGCAAAATTATTGCAATGATCTTAGCAAATCATCTCCTAACAATATCCAAGGCTACTTTTCCTGAATCCCCAAATGGTTTTCGACCTTGTAGGGGGACAGTGGACATGTTTTTCACTGCTTGACAGCTTCAAGAAAAATGCAGAGAGCATACTGCCTTCATGGATGCTGCTCCCTGTCTGCCTTAATATATGCCGCTCCTACAACAGCGGAGACCATTAGCAAAGATAAACAAGGATGATTTGAGGGTAATTGTCCTTGCAAGCTCCCCCCAGGGCCCGGGGGGGGGGGAGTGAGCTTCATTCGCAGATCGTCTTGGTACCTGGCTCTCACTCTGGCATGGAATTTGGGAGGCAGGGAGATGCTGAGTGCAAAAGCACTTTGGTAACAACAACAACAACAACAATAATTTATTATTTATACCCTGCCCATCTGGCTGGGTTTCCCCAGTCACTCTAGGCGGCTTCCAACAAAATATTAAAACACAATAGTCTGTTAAACATTAAAAGCTTCCCTAAACAGGGCTGCCTTCAGACGTCTTCTAAAAGTCTGGTAGTTGTTTTTCTCTTTGACATCTGGTGGGAGGGCTTTCCAGAGGGCGGGTGCCACTACCGAGAAGGCCCTCTGCCGGGTTCACTGTAACTTGGCTTCTCGCAGCGAGGGAACTGCCAGAAGGCCTTCAGCACTGGACTTCAGTGTCCGGGCAGAATGATGGGGGTGGAAACCCCTGACACAGCCATTAATGAAGCAAAACCAACCCCTGTATATGGCATTTATTGACCTGACTAAGGCCTTCAACACTGTAAATCGTAATGCTCTGTGGACTGTCCTTCTGAAAATTGGCTGTCCAGATAAATTTGTGAACATCCTTCGGCTCCTCCATGATAATATGACAGCAACAATTGCAGATAAGAATGGCTTTCAAAGTGAACCATTCGCAGTGGGATCAGGTGTTAAACAGGGTTGTGTACCTCCAAACTATCCTAAATATCTTCGCAGAAGCTTACAAAAAGCTTGGCCCATCGCTCAACATCCAAAAAACCAAAGTGCTGCACCAACAAGCACAAAGCAACTCTGCACTGTTGTTTTGGATCTTTTCTGACATACGTTTCTTACAATTAGTGAAAGTTCGTTATCAGTCCAGATAGCTGGAGTGCAGGTGACATTTGTCTGCAATACAGAAAAACAGAAAGGGTGCCAGCAACATAGTTTTAAGAAATGAACAGCTAGTAGAGTGAAAAGAACATTCAAGAATCAATGAGGATCTAGAAGGAAAGTGCGAATATGGGTCCATTTACTGTAAAATACAGCATCACATTTATTTCAGAGAAAAATAATTCTCACGCAAGTTTTATATTAACTTCTGAGTGTATTTCCCCTAGTTTCACTATTGGTGTGCTACACCTACCCACTCTGTATTCTTTAAATCCATAAAGGCACACTGTTCCAAGATGAGCAACACAACAACCTCAAGCTGTTGCTGCACAGCTGCTCTGTCACACTGGCAATTTCAGTCCTTCTTCACTGCTACAATGATTGCTTGTAGTGCAGCCCTGAGATTTTAAGGCTCGCCCTCTCTGCAACCTATGATCGTTTAATGTAAGGTCTGAAAAGAGCGCCATCAACAGAGCTGTGCATATTCCATGTACGTGCAGGAATCTTTTCAGATCTTACCATGGGCAAGCATAGGTCAGAGATGGAGTTTGCCATCTCAACACTATACTCATCCACACACATGTGTACAGCCAATTCACAAACACCACTCAGTGTGTTATCACTTGAAGAGTTATCACTCGATTGCTTACAATTGAACACGTCAGTGGTACACATGGAGAGAATATTGTGCTTGAGGTAATGAAAAGTTTGGCTGTGACAATTGCTCTGTGATGGTTGTTTCGCTCATGCAAATTATCACATGCTTTCACCGTTATGGAGTGCAAACATGCAAGTAGCATTGTGACATCTAACTCTCTAGGCAGTACAGTGGTACCTTGGGTTACAGATGCTTCAGGTTACAGACTCCGCTAACCCAGAAATAGTACCTCGGGTTAAGAACTTTGCTTCAGGAAGAGAATAGAAATCGTGCTCCGGCAGCGCAGCAGCAGCAGGAGGCCCCATTAGCTAAAGTGGTACCTGAGGTTAAGAACAGTTTCAGGTTAAGAACGGACCTCCAGAATGAATTAAGTTCTTAACCCGAGGTGCCACTGTATTGGCAATGCACACCTCCCCTCTTTGTGGCACAGGGTATTGTCATTGAAAATACGGCATAGTCCTTTCATTTAAGCTAAAGCTTTTAGGGAGTATCTACACTGCTAATTTAAACCAACCTGAAAGACAGTTTAACTGTTGTGGCTGCCCCCACTCCATAACCTTGGGAATTATATTAGATACAAAAATGTGATAAAAAGTATTAGAATCCTTAGCACTTTGTTAAATTATTTTTTCCTGGATTTCTCAACTAAAAGCCCAAAGAGTTACTATATAAGTGTGAAACTGGTTTGTGTTTGTAGTTTAGACAGGCATATTACTAAAAGCTTAGGACCCAAGTACTTGAAAGAGCACCTCCCGCAGTACCAGCCAACCTATGTTCTAAGTTCTTGTGAGGAAGCCCAACTTGTGATCACATACCTAGGATATGATGATGAGAAACAGGGTTTTCTAGGTGGTGGTACCACATTTATGGAATTCTCACGCTGGGAAAATACATCTGTGTTGTGTTGTGTTGTGTTGTGTTGTGTTGTGTTGTGTTGTGTTGTGTACCATCCTGTGTTCCTTGAGAGGAAGGGTAGGATAACAAGAAGGTATTTCAGAATGTAAGGGTTTCAGGTATCATACCCTTGTTCACAGAGTTGGACCATAAGCTCTTCAAACTCTTTTGACAGCCAATGACTCATTGATAAAATTATCTTTTAGGACATTAATCATGCCTTACATTTCAGCGCTTGCATTTTTGAATGCAGAGAAACCGCTAGTAACATTGATGCCAGGTACAAATAACATATTAGAAAATAAATACACAAAGTTATGGAACAGACATCTAAGAGCTGCAACTCTTGTAATTCAATCCTAATTTCTAATCCTAGAAGTAAGACAAATCTAATTCAATGGGACTTACTCCCGGTTAAGTGTGGTTAGGATTGCAGCTTTGTTAGCAACAGACCTGTAGGCACAATCTTTCAAGTACAAACATAATCTGGAATTCAACTGCAATATATTTCCTTCCATGGTTCTGCAGGAAATGCATGACCTAAACCAGGAGTCAACAAACTTTTTCAGCAGGGGGCTGGTCCACTGTCCCTCAGATCGGGGGGGGGGGCAGACTATATTTTTTGGGGGGGGGAGGGGGAATTCCTATGCCCCACAAAAAAACCAGAGATGCATTTTAAATAAAATGACACATTCTACTCAGGTAAAAACACGCTGATTCCTGGATCATCCGCAGGCCGGATTTAGAAGGCAATTGGGCCGGATCCAGCCCCTGGGCCTTAGTTTGCCTACCCATGACCTAAACCAAATTTTGTGACTCCTAATATTTTTTCTCAACTACGTTCTTCAACTCAGATTATGATAAAACATGGGCAATGAGGATGCCACCCAGTTATAACTTAATTGATAAAAGTTTTAACCAATTAACCATCATTTTGACGAACACGTTCTTTTTATGTGTAGCACAGCAGGCACATCTGTAAGAGGTCCCTTCCTGTGTGTTAAAAATGGAATAGGCGTCTTCAATGATGGTGTCTGTCATCTGAAGTTTTTAAATACCTTTATTTAAGTACCTACATTAAAAATAATTAACATTTTTTTTAAAAAAAAGTCCAATCAATTTGGGACACCTTTTATTTGATCAAAAGTTTATGAAGTGATATTAATCAATGAAACACTGCACCCTAAAGACCATGTGCAAATTGAAAGAGAAAGGCAACTAACAAACACGAGATAGACAGGCACATCTACCAACCACTTTTATTAGTACTTGTGGACATTCCTTATTCCTTTGAACATTCCTATCCAAAAGTGACAAAGCCTTTATAAAATAGCTGCAAATATGACTTCTCATGCTACTAAAGCAAGAGTGCTAAGTGAAAGTGTTCTTCAGTATCTGAAAGTCTAGATCTGTGTCTAGCCCACGTGACTGAACACTACTCATATGTGTGGCTGAGTGAAATATAAAAAACGCAAAGCTGTGTTGTGCATGTAGAACTAGTGTTGAGATTCTTTGTCAGCAATAGGATCCCCTTTGGAGTCAGAGATGTTATTTGTTTATTCCTCTCCCACTGTCTTCCAAGGAGCTCGAGGTGGCCTACACTGCTCCCTGACCCCATTTATCTTCAGAACAAACCTGTGAGATCGCTTAGGATGAGAGACAGTGACTGCCCCAGTGAGTTTTATGGCTTTGTGGGGATTTGAACCCTGGTCTCCCAGGCCCCTAGTCGAACACTCAAACCACTACTGCACCACATTGACTCTACACTATGCACATGATATGGAGACCATGAATTCTTTTAGAAAGTGCAGGCATGGCGGAAAGGGGGGGGGTCTGGAAAAAAAATATTTCTGAAGAGGAAAACAAAGGAAGAATTGTATGTTGTGAAGAGAACTATTAGCGTGTGTGTTCTTTGGAGAAGTTCTAGCAGAGATTTCCAAAGCAGCTGACAAGAAAAACTGACCTTAAGGGCCCAAGCAGTTTTAGATACTGGCCTGATACCCAAGTAGGTTGTAAGAATGGCTCCTGATAAATAGTAATAACAGTTCCTACCAAAGAAGGTATAAGATTTCCCCCTTTCCCAAAAACACAGGGAGGGAAATGGTGGAATGAGGATGGGATCAGAGGTTCACGTGAAATACTGCCTCCGCAATCGCTCTGTGACCACAGCACTGGCTACCAAAGTTGTGCAAAGTTACACTCTTGCTCCATTTCCTGCTCTGTGATTAAACCTGTGGCCTCCAATCCTTGTTTCCAGTTGGGTATTTAGAGTTAGTTAAAAAGCAGGTCATAAGGCACTACAATCTGGCATTGCAAACAAACAGTTATAATGGTTACAAGGCTAGGGTTTTGAGTGACTGTACCTAGAATTGAAGACCTGGAAGGCACACACTCCTGCACACTGTCTCTAAACATACTGATAGTTCACTCTGCTTTCAGTGGAACTTAGTTCCAATTAGTATACTTAGGAGTAGAGCATGCAGGATGTCTCCCTGCTTAATAATAGGTTTGAATCTTGCACTCACTTTGTGTTCCTCATGCTAGGCATTGCGAAGGACTTATCATGAAGCTTGTAAGTGATTTAAGGCATTGTAACATGACAATCCTACACGTGGTGGTTTTGCTGCATGGGCATACAGTGCTCATGCTAGAAAGATGCAGCTAATATGACTGATCTATTCATGTATCAACAGTGAGATTCTTTGTATTCAACTAACACTCAAAGCACACCCATTGAAATTAAAGGACTGAAGATGATATTATTATTATTATTATTATTATTATTATTATTATTAACTCACTCTTCACCCTAAGGCCCCAGGGTGGATTACAACACTTTAAAATGCAGCTTAAAACTGTTTGCAAAACTTACATTCACAAACACTATTGTGAGTACTTTGATTTGGGCCTGGAAACAAAACTGCCAACCAATGCAGCGGTTTTAAAACAAGGGTTATATGTGTTCTGAGTGGAACCCCAGCCAGCTGCATTGGTTAGTTAGGCAGCTGCATTTTTGACCAATTGGCGTCTTCAAGTCATCTTCAAGGCCAGCTCTGTGTAGACCACATTATAATACAGTGGTACCTCTGGTTGCGAACGGGATCCATTCCGGAGGCCCATTCGCGACATGAAAAGAGCGCAACCGGCAGCGGCGCGTCTGTGCACGCGCGGGTTGCGATTTGCCGCTTCTCTGCATGCGCGTGACGTCATTTTGCTCTTCTGCGCATGCACGATGAAACCCAGAAGTAACCCTTTCCGGTACTTCTGGGTCGCTGTGGGACGTAATCTGAAAGAATGTAACATGAAGCGGACATAACATGAGGTATGGCTGTAATCATGTGGAAGTTACCAGAGCATGGAGTACAGTGGCCAAGTCATTTGTATCTAAAAATGGCCATAGGTGGCAAACCAGCTGGAGCTGGAAAAAGACACTCCTAGGCCACCTGATACCCCAGTGAGAATGTTGAGGTGGCTCACACCTTTTAGGAGCAGCTGTGGCCATTTATTTCAGTGCATCTACTCTGGCAAAAAATCACTTGAATGTGAATGATCCTGATGCCTTCCATGAAGAATTGTGTATCTTGTAATAGCTCTTCATAGGTTCATATTTCTGAATGCCATGCCTTTGCCAGTCTTAGCTATAGGCAAAGCTGCACTGCTCTAATAAAGCAGAAGTAAGAACACAAGAAGAGCCTGCTGGATCAGGCCCATCTAGTCCAGCATCCTCTTCTCACAGTGGCCAACCAGGTGCCTGTGGGAAACTCAAAAGCAGGACCCTAGCACAAGAGCACTCTTCCCTCCTACAGTTTCCAGCAACTGGTCTTGAAAAGCATTACCACCTCCAACTGTAGAGAAGAAGCATAGCCATTGTGGCTAGTGGCCATTGATAGCCTTCTCCTCCATGAATTTGTCCTTTAAAGCCATCCAAGTTGGTGGCCTTCACTGCCACCACTGGTGAGAGTTCTATAATTTAACTGTCCTTTTCTTATCTGCCCCGAATCTTCCAACTTCATAGGATGTCCGTGAGTTCTAGTGCT